ACCCTAACCCTAACCCTAACCCTAACCCTAACCCTAACCCTAACCCTAACCCTAACCCTAACCCTAACCCTAACCCTAACCCTAACCCTAACCCTCTGCATGGAAAGATGCTGCTAGGTTTCGCTGATCACTCCGCGCGTCGTCGGCGCCTGGCTCTGTCGATTTAGGGGACCGAGCAGTCCACTGGCAAGTCGAGTTTCGGAACTGGATTGCGGCACCAAGATAGGATTCTCTGAGCCCTGGGAGCAGCCGCTAATATTCAAAGGCCACGATCCATTGTTCTGCGGACGGAGCACGTCGTGATTCTAGTTTTCATTGACCCGAAAGTTGCCCATGGCCGCAGCACCATCGATCGAAGCTGCGAAGCATTTCGGAGCCCAGCAGCAGTGGGCGTAACTCAGCGAGGTCCATGGGATTCGTAGAGTCTCGTCGGTATAGTATAGACATTGCGCTCTTCGAAATTACTGAAAGGTAGCTGGGCCGAAAAGGTGGCGCAATTCCCGTAGCGAAGTCGTCGAGACATCGCGAGAACGCGCAGTGTAATTTGACGTCCCTGGCTCGCTGAAACCCCGAGCATTAGCCGGCTGCATGTAAAATTTCAACAGAATCGCAGGATGCGTTGCTTCGCTATACCTTTCCACTCCCAGCTCGCTCGACACAAGATACTTGTGCTCCGGAGCGCCCCAGTCGTCCCGCAACTTAGCTCTTCTGTGTTGGCGAATGTCAGCACACAAGAATCACTTTAGAGCTCAGTCCGCTCTGCGGCACCTCTGAATGCGCGGCGGCTTTGGCCCACCTTGTCGATTCTACTCCCCGGTCACTCGATGCAACCCCGGAAGCGACATGCGATCCCATGACCCTGTTTGCACCTCTGTTGTCCTCGAATCTCCAGCATTCTGCTGGCATACGCTCAGGTCGCGGTCTTTGCGCACCCGTCACGGTCGTTGTTATGAACATCTCGCTCATGGGTCTTTCCACGTATTCCCAGTCGACATATCCTGCTTCTGCCGACGATTTAACATTGGCACGACGTTCCTCTAGTCCTAGGCTGTTGTCTCGACCGATCTGGACTCTTTCAGGACAAGGACGGTTGCGCAGCGGATTCCATTTACGCTGGCACCCCAATTCTGATGCATCGGAAGGCGGAACAAATATGTGATCAGATAGGCTCTCCTACTCGTGCACATCGTTTTCTGAATGAGAAGATCATGCTTGGGGACATTCGTCTGTCGCTCTGCCCGTTTGAGCTGCGGAACAGTAAGTCCATCGGAAGAGACCTGCACCTTGACCTATAGCCAGGATATGAGATTGAGCAGCCATCAGGAACCAGTGTGCCCATCACTCCCTGCGTACACCTACAGACTCTCCACCACTAGTGGATACTCCTGAGCTCAGACCAGTTCTCGGTCATGTGTTCGAACAGCGGGAACGCTGAAGCCGGGTTTCGGTGTAGAATGTAGCACCGCTGCCGCCTGAGCGCCATCAACAATCCAGGGGCGGATGAGTCTGGCTTTACTGCCATAGCATCGTGAGTACCAGAATTCACTTCTGGAGCAAAAGCAGCTATCGGTCATACGTTGCTGTTGACGTGTACGGGTCAAACAATGCCGGATGGAGTTTGCGCGATTCTGATGCGATTTGAGGAGCCACTGAGAACCTGCTAACGGCCTACTCTACTTCTGTATCAGCGGCTTCCTCTTCAACATAGGATACTTCCACAGAAAACTCAGCAGCCGCTCTCGCCATTTGAATCACGCGTAAGCGCATATCGACATCTGGTCGCACTCCCGCCAGCTCCGACCACATCACACTTCCATGGCTCGCGACCAAGCACCTACAGATTCCCCTGCTTTCGGTACTGCAGTATCTTCCATTCTTTATGTTTTGGGCTTGGCTACTGCTCCATCTATTGGGTGGCGTTTTCAAAGATTCGATGTATACTCTCCTGCTCAGTATTCTTTGCCGCGGCATACATCAACCTCCATCGAATGACCGATCGGCAAAGCGTGGGCAGACAACTGGTAGCTGCGTGCTGGAACACACTCCGCCTCCGCCTTCAAAGACTGACTCGCGCGCATAGTCCTCGAGTCGGCAGACAGCTTTCCAACACAAATTTACCAATGCAGGCAAACCACATACCGGTGTAGCGACACTACAGAAGCGATGAGAGGCATAGCGGCTGCTGCCCCAGACTCTGAATAGCGCAGATTGGACTCGCGCGTTCCCGTACGGTTCCTTCGATAATTTCCGTTGTCACGCCGGTCCTCCAAACAATGGTCCACCGCAACCCAGACCAGAACCTAAGCCATGCCAGGGACGCGACGTATTTCGCTAGCAGGAGACTCTTCATGAGCGGAATCATCTTTAGCACCCTTGGTTTCCGGCCTTAATCGACCCGCCCGACTTGTGGCACACAAAAGCCTACCTGTCGATCTGAAGCATTTCTATATACACCGACGATTGAAAGTCTTCTAGGGTCTCAGTGATGCCTGCTTACCCCAGTTCATTCTCCCGGTTATTGAATTCAGCTCGGTCCCTCTGTCTAGCTCTCGGTCTCATAAATTCGCAACTAGACTTTGGAGGAACTTCGTAACCCTAAGAGTTGACGACTCGACGCTTCGGTGAGTGACTCGTCGGCCGCAGACATCGTGCGATGTCGGTCTGCCCGTGGCAGCGTCAAAGCCGCTCTCGAGCAAGGAAGTCGTCAGGCACCTTCGGCTCACATACGAGTCGGTTGAAGCCTAGCCTTGCCCTCGTGCGACTATAGCTATCGTCACTGGGCTTTTGCTTCGATTCATCATCCTTGATCCCGTCGAGATACCGCTCAGTTGGTGGAATGGAATCCAGATTCAACTTTTTGCTGTGCTCCTTGCCTTGCTGTTCGTCCAGAGGCTGTTGGATTCCACATTGCCAGTATCGGAGGGTAGCTGCCTGAACACCCTTCACGAGTTCATAGACTGCACGGCCACATTGGCACATCACAGTATTCCAGGCGGCGGCAACGTGTGCACTGACCTTGTCGGATAGGTACTTGAAAGAAGAGTCCAATACGCATCTCGGTCGTGAATGTACTCGTTCACGTCCTTTGCCCAACACTGTGTCCAGCTATACACGGCATGCTGAGCTTGCACCAAATCCGTCTCGGGAGGCTGGCGGTTGAACAGGTCAAGCTCGCCAATAATGTCTTCCCAGACTGATTTGACTTTCTTGAAAGTGTGGACTTCTGTCGCTTTGCAGGCACTCCTGGCGCAATGGCCAAGCGTATGACACAAACGGCAGTATTGTATTTCCTGGACCTGCTTGTCCTGCTTCTTCCTCTTATTTGTCTTGTCCGCATCTTCGGCACGGGTATCCTCAACCGCACCATCCTGTCCACGCTTTCTCTTCGTGACAGTTGAGGTGAGTGTAGATTGATTCCCATCCGTTGATGATTTCAAAGTGTCCTGCTTTCCCTGATTTTGATTCAGTGACGGTGTTGCATCTGTGCCAGTTCTTCCGCGGGTGGCTGCCAAAGCAGCATCCGGGTTATCCTGTGATGCGCCACTGTCTTTTTCAATCTTGATGCTGGCTTGGTTCTGGCCGGCGCCCATGAAACGAAATGCGTCTGCCATTCCCCTCGCATAGTCGTCGACGCCACCGCCATTGCTGCTGAGGTTCCCTCGACCACGACTACCGCGGGGATAGTGGCCAGCTCGGCCTCGGTTGCGACCTCGGTGATTTCCACGATTGAAGGGATTGTGGTAGAAGTCCAAGTTTTGGTCTCCTCCAAAATCACGGCCTCTCTGATTTCCGCGGCCTCCTCGATTCGAATGGCCGCCACGACCACCTCGATGCCAGCGGCCATCACCACCACGCGGGTGTGCTCCGTCGTGCAATCCAGGCTGATGGCCCCAGGGATTATTGACCCAGGCCTCAACTCGATTACTGTTGGCGTAGCCTCCGGGGTTGTGAGGATTGCCTCTTGGTACTCCCAGCGGGCTTGGTCGTTCTTCTTGTTGATTCACCATTCTGCCTCCGCATGGGCAAATCATCCCAGCCTGTACGGAAGGGCCATGAAAACTGGTGTGACACCAATTGCACTGGAGCTGCACCATCTTGAAGGTAGTGAGCGCCACTGCTGGCTAGTGTTCGATGGAGGAAATGAGTTCAGACTGCGGCTGCAAAACCGAACGTGTGAGCTGGGAATATTTGCCAAGCCTTTTTGGAAGCGTGCATCAACAGCGACCTGGGAATGCGCAAGGAGCCCTCCATTCTCAATTTTTGGGCCCACCGCGGTGGACATCGGTATTACGATTTCAAGTTGTGGGTTGCACTTCTTCCTATAGGTATTGCAGAAACATGTCATGCAGCCGTCCTTCGAGTCGTTTTTCAACCTCTTGCTATTCTTGCCTTTGGGCCTTGCCATCATTCTACATATAGCATGCAACGTGCATCACAGCTTTGGCTTAGAGCCCAGCCAAGCATTCCCCAAGCATCAAATGATCCCTTCCGTCTTGTGTAGTCGCCTGGTGCCGTAAGATTCTCATACAGGACTACCCTGGTATGCCTCTCTTCCCCCGTCAAAGAAGTTTGAGATGTGGAGAATCCTTCTCCGCGCCGTCAGCCCCCTATTCCACAGGCCTTGCGTTTTGTGATTGGACGTTGTCAAAATGAGCAGGGATTCCAGCGAAGCAGCACGCTGCTCTCCACACCTGGACCTGGTCTAAGCCTGATTTGACCACAGCCATGACCGTGCTCCGCCTTGTAGCAGTGTAACACGATGCTCTTCGACCGCGTGCTCAAGTCAAGAGCAATTCCTGTGTCTTCATCCGGGTCCAAGCGCAGGACAAGGTGGGCTCCGATCGTAGGTATCGAGCGCGACTTCCGCCCCAAGCGCGGAAAGGCTCATATGGTGCGCCAAAGAGTGGGCGTGTCGTATAATTGGGGTGGTGCCGATCAACTGCAAGGAAGGTCCTCAACCAACACTTGAATGTACAAGAGCACCGTTAGCAGGGTTCCCAGTTGCAATAGTTGATTATTCATACAGCTATCAACTCCCATGGGACAATACCTTCGTCGAGTGAGGCAGGCGAAAAAGATCTGTGATGCAAAAGCGTCGAGAACCTGCTGCGGGAAATGAGGTCTGCGACCAAGGGGTCAGAAGTCGAAGGATACTGCTGAAAGGTGGACATTGGAGCTATTTCGCGCCGACCGAGTCGCCGGAGCAGTAAAGAAGTTGTCGAGGTTGCGGTTGGTGTTCTGTCGAAGGGATTGTGAATTGGTGAGGGTGGATTGAGTTGCTGCGCTTGAGCGTGCGACCACCTTTTTATGTAAATCCGAACTCTTTTTCTTCCGATCTTTCCCACCCATGCTCATTCAATCACGCCACAATGGCGACCAACAAAGATGGGAATGATCCGCCAGAGCACCCAGCGATGGAGTCACTGCGGGAGCTCGAACGACGAGCTGCAGCTCAACAGGAGGAAGATCACGCACAGGAACGCGCCCGCCGTGGACTGCCGCCCGTAGCAGGCCCGAGATATCTGCTACCTGGTCAGCGGTTACGAAGCACTAACCGCATCTCGAAGCCTAGTACCGGCAGAGTTAACGCAGCCACTGGTCGCGGTGTTTCGGCGAAGGAAAGACGTGAGAGGTTGGCTGCGGCAGCGGATGCGGCTCTGGCTGTAGATCCGGAGACTTCCCACAGCGCACCCTCCTCGAATCCTTCAGCCGGCCGCACCGCCAGTGCCACTTCCAAGCCTGCATCGAACAGCAGACGAGCTGCCCCGTCAGCGACCCATACGTCCCAACATGCTACAGCAGTGGCCGACGACGATGGCGCGGGACGGGGAGGCTCGAGTTCTGCCAGAACAATACAGATAAAGAGCAGGAAGGCCGCCAACAACAGACAAGGCACGCTTACAGGTGCTTCATCAACCCAAGAATCTGATGATGTGAGCGGAACTGTGCAGCCCTTGTCTGAGTTGCAACACGAACATAGCTGCAAAGCCTCAAGTCCTGCGGAAGGGATCTTGCAAGCAGAGTTCAGCCAAATGGCCTCCATTTTGACGTCATCCCTTACCCAAACAGTGTCGCAAAGTATGGGAAGGTTCGTTGCAGACATGGCTGCCAAGGCGGACGAACAATCTGCGAAGATTGCCCGAATCGAAGCTGAGAGCCAGAGACACTTTTCCAAAGCCCGGGATGCACAGCGGGAGACTGAGGCAAGACTCATACAGGTTGAAAATGAACAGCGGAAAAACGAGGCAAGGTTCTCACAGACCGAGAATGCATTTCAGGCCCATTCTCAACAGCTGCAAGCCTCCCATGATATGATCCATCATTTACATGTGAGAGTAAGCAGCGAGACTCGAGGTATCAGGGCAGCAATCACCGACCAAGCCCAAAGCATTTCACAATCCCCGGGCGAATTACGGCAGGTCACCCAGATTCACCAAGAAAACATGAACAAACTCGGTGAAGCTCAGCAGCAGTACCAGCGGGATGTTGCTCTGAACACCGACCGTGTAGTTATGGTGGCATCAAAAACCCTGCACCCTGAAGCTGATATCCATCTTCTCGCGCAGCAACTAGTAGGTGTGCAAGCTCAGATACAAGGCTTGAATGCTCTTAGAGCGCCTAGTCAGGTGCTCTATGTCGAAGCACCTCAACATCAGTCATCCTCCGACTCCGCGCCGCTTCGTGGGATTGAGTACCCAGACACAGGTGTCGCTTGGAGTACTCAGCCGAGTTTGGCTCCGCCGTCTGGACCGACCGGACAACCTGTGATGATGCCCTGGTCTTCTCTGGGCGCCTCCCACGACGATGTGGATCTTTTGGAGCATCCACTGGCGCCCTGTCGTCGGGATATTGCCAAAGAGCAAGCGGCCTGGGTCGAGAAGAGGCAGGATCTCGTCAGAACCTATTCAGACGGTGAAGAGGAGCTCCAAGTCAGGGTGGGCACAGTCATTGCACCCTATGATGTGGGCCGGAGCCAACTTCGCGACCGACCCAAGTTCGATTCCGTCCGTAAGACGTTGGCTGACTTTGGTCTCAATGCCCACCGATATTTTGAGTTCGTGCTCATTGAGGCTGAGAAGGAGATTTCGAAGATCTGGAGAGAATGTGACGAGGCGATCCAATACACCTTGCGCGACGGCCGGATTGACGACGAGCAACTGCGAGCCGAGTTTGAGGAGCATCGCTCAAGAGCTTCGAAACTCGTCAGTGATGGGATTCCTCGGGAACTCGGGGTCATACTCGAGCGTTTCAAGACGACTTACCTGGATTTCTTCCGACAGTGGCCTAAGCCGGCATCGAAAGACCATCAAGCGGAGTTCTTGCAGCAATGGCGGCCGGCGCACGACCAGCTCATAAAGATGCTAAGCTTGGATGAGCCTAGATACGCTGAGCACCACCGTCTTCCAACAACTGATGAGGCTTTCCGCGTAGCGACCGCCATGCAGCCACTTGCAATCACTGCCTCGACAGATTTGCCGTAGACATACCAAAATGGAGAGGTATGGGATTGCAATTCTGTGGTCTGGCTAGGTTGTGGGACGGGGGATGGATGGTCATCCAAAGGTAGAGAACAAAATATTTGAAAATCACATCCTCCTCGTCGCCACTTGTTCCACGTTCCAGGTTCTAAAATCTGCCTGTAGGAGGTGATTTAAGATCTACGGAAGAAGATAAGTGTAGAAGTTGCTTGCTCAATTTCATTGTGAGTTTATGACTCGGAAAGGGCACGTCGAGGAATTCATCTCTCATTGTCTCCCGCTTCCATAGACTGAGATCCATTAGAACTAAACCGAGCCTCGACGCCACGTTGTCAAAGGTATCGCTTTGGACACCTACTCCTCCGCGGATATCTGAAGCAAAGTTTGTGCACAAAAGCTACCTTTGTCGGGAACAGAACGAAATCACACAAGACGGGGTTCCATCCAGTCTTGGGTCTTCGAGTGTTTCCCAGCGTCTCCAAGTACTAACACCGACCCTACCATGTCCATGCCCAAGCGAAGGTCCGGCGCATCACTCAGCAGGCCACGATCCCAGCAGTCTCTGTTTCGAGACTGCATGTCTCTAAGTCTACCGAGTTCTCCGGTGTACCGCGCTTTGAAGCCTGAAGCTCGGGGATTAAGGGTGGCCCTTCGTTCTCCGCCTAAACAGGTTAATGAGCGGAGTTATTGGTGACATCAGCATCTCCCATGGAATGGGCGCCGACTTCAACCGTATTTTCCTCACAAGGCTTAAAAGGTAAAATGTCCTTGTCCTCAATGTCAGTGCTGTCCTCTAGATCTGACACTGTAAGGTCGAGAATCTCGTCGTCGGCGTTGAAGTCGTCCTGTGTTCTACCAGAGACTTGCGATTGAGCCACGTCTATCCATGTCGCAGTTGAGCTGGTGTTCGATGCTGAGAAAGATGTAGTTTCATCAAAGTCATCTTGGTCGATTTCCATTTCCGATTCCTCCGCCAGTTTCTTGTCAACCTCTGCCTCGAGTTCATAAGCTTCCGACGCAGAGAACGAGGTTTTGACAATGTCAAAGTCGTCCACTATTGTCGCATTTGGCTCGGAGGCAAATATATCTCTGAAGACTGCGAAATTCTTCGCACTTTTCTTCTCCGGATCGTTATCATCCATGATAGCCAGCACAACAGTCTTCAGTCCACAGTCGTACCAATTGTCCCCATCAGGAGGATGAAAGAGGACCGTCTTGGTGATCTGAGCGACCTCTTGTGGTGGATTCTTGGATTTTCCGCACCCAAACGCCCCGAGAATAAGGGTAGTGACGCGCTTCAGGACTGCAGCACGGAGGATTGCAGTAATCTTATCCAGCATGAGTCTTCTGTCACCGTCGTTGCGATATCGTGGGCCGTTTGCGGGGTGCTGGAACCGGGGTGGCTGTCTGGGCGCAGCGCAGCTGATCACGTCCAATTTGAACGGCAGTCCGTCATCGCTAACATCGAAAGGAAGAGGGTCCAAGCCCCAGCAGCGAACACCAACAGAGTACAGCAACGCATTGGTCTCGATTCTGTAGGTCTTCGGGCCTTGAAGGGTCGGCCAGAGAGACGTTCGCATGCACAAACTCTCTTCTTGCCCACAAGAACCTATGACGGGAGTCACATGTGTGTGACATTGCCTCAAAGCAGATTGCAATCACTGGACATGGGCGGTATTCAGAGCAGGGCCCTTCAAAGTCAAGCTGGCATGAGAACCATACTGTCGAAGTCCCCCTGTCCTCTGCGATGGCACAAGCTCAACGGGAAGTAGCAGTCAAGCAACACGGGCCCATCTCCGCATGAGGAATGATTTTGCCTAGAGAAAAGCCAAGGAGAAAATACATCTCAACATTGATCTTCCAGTTCGCATAGCTGTTCGTAGTTGACTTGATTCCCCATGCATTGACCTTCACCTACAAAAGTCCCCTCTGACAGGTTCCAGCACCACCGACCTTTTTTTGACGTCACTTTCGCATATTCTCAGCTCTTATGCTTGCAATACAGAATCCCTCCGATCATCCAGCACAACTTCCAGCAGTGACAGCGCACTGCCAGCAGGCTTTCGAATCTGGACCAGCTTCAGCCGTGCATCAGTTTCCAAGAGCAACTTCCTCCATTCACCTTCGTCACGCTCCAGGGCGTTGTGCATCACCATCATCTGCATGTCGCGCATTCTCATACGGCGCTCATCAACAATATCCAACGTGCCAAAGGGCAAAGTCACATAATCCATGATCAGAATTCTCGCGCCCGGTCTCATGGCGACCAGCAAGTTCTGGAGTATCGTCTTTGCATATTTATCTGCCCAATCGTGGAAAATCATTCGCAAAAAGTAAACGTCCGCTGACACTGGTTGCGGGTCGAAGAAGCTGTGCTCTTGAAAGGAGATGCGATCTGCCAGATAAGCGGGGACGATCGAAGTCGCCGGGTCGGTGGCCTGCACGACAGTCTTGGCAAGGTCCTGTACGATGCAAGTGAGGGTGGGATTCTCTTCAAGAATTGCAATGCTGCCGTGGCCGAGACTGCCTCCAACATCGACAATCTTCGCGTGAGACAGACTGCTCCACTCGAATGCAGCCTTGATGTGCTTGTGCGACATGGGTGCAGTTTTGGTGAACTGTTGCATGACGTTGTGGAAGTCAGCACCGAACCCCGGGTGCTGCTCGTGGTAGTCAAACATCGAAAGTGTCGTGTCCTTGAAGAGATTAAACGCTGTCTGGTTCGGTTCCTGTGCACCATGACCCCATTTGTCAATGGCATCGTTAAACCGGCTCGCGATCGGCCAGCCTCTGTCGCTAGAATACCTGCTCCATGTGGCGATGCCTTCCTTCAGAAGTAGTCGAGATGTTGTTGTATGTGCAACAGCTCCTCGGTCTTCTGCGAAGATACCCTTTGTCATAGCGTATCGAAGGACTCGTTTGAGTTGAGACTCGTCGACGCCTAGCTTGCCTGCTAATGCGGAATACGATATAGTGCTTTCTGCTGGGACACCTTTGGCGACCGAGAAGCGATTGATATACCTCAACGCCGTCAGGTCCATGATCTATAACCTGTAAGCCGCTGCATCTTTTGGGGACCATGTCACTCACACTACCTGAGAGGCCTTGCGTCAACACGAACTCTGGCGGCGTGACCATCTGCAAGAGCCTTTGAACAGATTCTAGCATGGACAGGCGAAGATTGCGCAACTCAGCCTCCGTAGATGGCGAAGTTGCATGGCCGTTCGAAAGTGCGGAAGCCTTAGTAGCTTGGGTGATGGCACCTGCTTGGACGAGGCATGTTGCAGCGAGAGCCTCAAGCTCGGATAGTTCCGAGCGTGCCATGGTGGATTGGGGTGGGAGGAGTTCACGCACTGGCACTCCCAGCAACATCCTGGGATATAAATCGCGTCTGGTTCGAGCTGTCACAAACCCGCCTTTTCTGATGACAGAGTGGCAGATGCTGTGCTCTGACTCCTGCATTCCAGTGCCGGCTCCTTATTGGCAGCTGTGCGTGTTCGTTGAAGCTGTTTCGATCCATATCTTCCCCAGCGGGTATCCGCCGCGTGGACTCCGTACCTGTGCTGTGCTGTGCTGACATTTAGCACGTCGGCTAGCGCATTCTCCCACGAGACGAGACCGTCAGCATGAAGCACACAATACACCTCAGAATGACTAGTACAGGGAGCGTGTCTGCAGGGATTCCAAATCCTGCGTATCGCGGGGAGCACGGCCTCAAATGCTGAAGGGCAGCCACCATGTCGAGTGGAGTTGGTTAGTGATCGAAGGCAAATGACCGTCCAACATGAGTTGACGTCTTGTAGCTTTCGGATGCAGCTGAGGCCTATGTCTTAAATTTATGATGATCTGGATCATGCTGACCCATGCGACATGTAAGCCAAGCGGATCACATTTTGGCAGCATTTCCCAAGGTGTGGGCGAGCTGCTGACCGCGTCAAACAAGGAGCAGGTGTACCTATCGCGCTCCAAACCCTTGCGATGCGTCGTACAATCTCAATGTAGGCGACAGAAACCATATGATGTGTTGTTACGCCTGGGAGACGTGTTGTTACGCCTCCGAGGGCGTAGCCTGATGCCATAGCAACTGATCAGAGCGGCATGATAAGTGCTGTTCGTTGTGTCGCGTTGGGCCGAGGCTGCTAGAGACTTCGCAGAACGCATCCAAGAACGTGGCGAAGCATTGACCTGACCAAGGAAACAACCATCGCTGCAGCCGGAACTGTGGCGAGGCACCCCAAGACTGGTGACGAGAAGTTCTTGACGGTCATCGCATCAGGTTCTGGTCGTTTTTCCTTGCCAACCCAGCCCAGACAAGGAACAATTTTTACCGCACACCCTTTCTGCTGCGGTCTGCTGCAGTCTAGAGATGACGACGAAACAGGGGTGTTCAAGCTGGGGGAGGGAGGGGTGAAATCACTGACATTGGTCGGGAGTTCACGGAGCGTAAGGGCTGGCGTTGTTCATCTTGTATGGAAGCTTGAGGCTATGAACGCCGTGGACGGTGCATAGGATGACCGATACCTTTCTCGGGTTCTGACGTGATCGCTGAGAGGACGCTGGACTCAAGCCTCCGTCCTCCTGACGAACAAGGGCAAGCACACCTCCGGAGGCACTGACCTTGCGGGACAACGAGGATGACTTCGTGATGTTCCGAAATTGATCAGCCCTGCAGCTTGCCTCGATGGACATCTTCCAAGGAAGCTAGAAGAGCCAGTTGTTGGGTTTGCCAGCAGCGCGGACTCGCTGTAAAGCTTGAGAAGCTCATACTCAGCAGAAGTTACCATAGAGTGACGCCAGACATCCTGCCAATTCTCAGGTGGCACTATGAAAACTCGTGTTACCTTGTATTGACATTGCGTCTTTGTTATGCTTTCTAAGTCTCTCTGCAATGCTTCTGGCTTTTCAGCAAATCATCGCGACTCTGTTTGCATTGTGTTGTTTCAGTCCAAGCTCTTCAATGAGGAGCTTTTCAACCACGACCTCGAGCGGTGGTCTCTCGACGGGGATCAAGACACGGCAGCAACTGCGCGGAGGCCGGTAAAAGGACGATCTTACGTCGATCGCGCGACTGGTAGGTTCTAAAGGAATAGCGTGGAGAAGGGATTGAGGTGTGCCAGCTCGGAAGACGTTACATCAAATGGCGCTTTTCGAGGTTGCGACATGAGTCGGAACTGGCGCTGTGAGGCCAAGGGTATTGCCCTCGTTGTCAGTCAACTTGTTGGTTGAGACGCCCTGTTGGCGATTTGTAGCCAGCAGAAAGGGTCTGAAATTCAGAGTAGCGCATGCGTGATTTCGACTTCAATTGGAGCGAGGACCAGCAGCGGTTGCAAGCGAGATGAAGGAGTGAATGGAGGAATCGAATTTGCATTGAATGAAGCTGATGACTTACTGAGAACGCGCATGTGGAGAAGCTCTGCTCTGGAGAAAATCGCCCGCCCGCCAGCTCAGTGCCGGCCACCCCTCAAGTTTCTCGACGAGAATTACGCAGTACTTCGCGATATCGTGCGCGACCAAAATCGACCTCGATCTTTACCGGATTGCGGTCCATTGTCAGTGGCGATATCAGCACTTGGCGGCTGAAGAACATGATTAATTGTCCCCTCGCAAGACCGAGTGAACGTTGCCTGTTTCACCGACTACACGTCTGGTGCTGAAGACCTCGCCGACCACGGTAGCGTCGTTCAAACCCGATCAGGCCGTCTCGTTATCTGTTGTGCCAGCGTTTGAACCACTAGCAAGAGTGACTGTGGCGGAAGAGTCTCAATTACGTCTGCGTTCTTCGTGAATGCGAATATGCCGCTTTCCAGATGCGACATCCACTGGTTCCATTCTGGCCTCGCTAATTCTAGGTGATCTAGACGCGGAAACGTGTTTGCGAGGATGACGTTCGATGCTTCAGCGATGAGTGTCTAGCTGAAAGGCCCGTGGAAATTTACTCAAGCTCATCACAAGGTTCAAAATGGTTCCTAAATTGGAGGAGCTCGGAAAACGAATCACCTCACCCACGGCTCGGGGTATCTCAAGACTCCAGGCGCACGCTCAGCCCCAGAAGCAAGAACTCCACAACTGTACTACACTGTCACCGACTTCGCGTCATGTACCACTTTTGGAGGGCATAGCCGTCTTCACCCCCCAGAGTTTGGAACATACTTTCAGCATGTTTTCCATTGCGTCCTTCTAGCACACCTTGCTCCTGGTACGGTTACTGATGGCGACTCCAGGCGATATATATGAGCGCACCGGCCGCCATCGCCATAGCACCAGATGCGTCTGCTTGAAAACCATCATTCACAATGACAGAAACAATCCCCGGTCCTCGTGGACTTCCGCTCATCGGCAACCTCCTGGACATCTGGGAAGACCGATCCATCCCTATCCGTGGCCTCGAGCGTCTGGCGTCCATGTACGGTCCCATCTTTCAAGTTACGATCAACGGCCAGCGACGTGTCGTCTGCAGTTCAGCTTCTCTGCTTGAGGAGCTGATTGACGAGAAACGCTTCGTCAAGATCCCACCTCCCACGCTCGCGGCAATCCCAGGTCCTAAAGGACTCTTCGTCGCCCGAAATGAAGATCCAGACTGGGCTCAAGGTCATCGAATTCTCATGCCGGCATTTGCTCCTCTGTCCGTTCAAGAAATGTTCTCCGACATGAAGGACATTGCCAATCAACTTATATTGTCTTGGGCGAGGAAAGGGCCCGAGAATAGGATTTTGGCCACGGCAGACTTCACCAAACTCACCCTGGACACTATCGCGTTATGTACCATGAGCTACAGATTCAACTCATTTTACTCCGACACAATGCACCCCTTCGTGCAGGCCATGGACTTCATCTTCAAGGAGAACACGGCAAAGTCAAGCAGACCTGCGTTTATCCAAAGCCTCATGTTCAAGGCAAACGCGCAGTTTGAAGAAGCTCGAAAAGTGTTACGGGAAACCGGTAAATCCATTATTGAAGGCCGCAGGACCAATCCGACCGACAAGAAAGATGTCTTGAACACTATGATCTATGGCAAAGATCCCAAGACAGGAGAGGTGATGCGGGACGAACTTATTGTTGAACAGATGATCACGTTCCTTATTGCCGGTAGGTCCAATTTCCAGCTCCATGAACTGGCTGACTCGGGTAGGACACGAAACCACTTCCGGAATGCTCTCCTTTGCCATCATGCAGCTGTTGAAGCACCCTGACGCCTACCTCAAAACGCAGAGAGAGATCGACGAAGTTATTGGTGATAGAGCGATCGAAGCCGGCGACATGCACAAGCTGAAGTACCTCAATGCGGTCCTTCGAGAGACATCTCGCCTTAATCCCACGGTGCCTGTCCTTCAGAAGCACATCAACCCTGCTATCAGCCATCAGATCGTCACACTCGATGCCGGAAGATACATGGTCGAACCCTCAGACCACGTCGTTTGTCTCGTGGGCAAAACTCAGAGAGATCCAAAGGTTTGGGGAGAAAGCGCCGAAGAGTTTGATCCCGATCGCATGCTGGACGAGAACTTCGACAAGATCACGGCAGAACATCCTGGTTGTTGGAAAGTGAGTAGCTCCGCGCTAGATCTGCTCTGGCTAACCCATCTCAGCCGTTCGGCAACGGGAAGAGAGCCTGCATTGGACGGCCTTTCGCCTGGCAAGAAGCTATGCTCGTGCTCGCAATGATCTTTCAGAACTTCGACGTCACGTTTGATGACCCCAGCTACAAGCCAGTTGTCAAACAAGCGCTGACGGTCAAACCGGACAACCTTTACATCCGGGTCACGCCGCGGAAAAGTATGAATGCAACAGCAATGGACAATTTAATTCATAGCAACGGCGTGAAAGAGCACCTAGCCGAGCCTACATTGGGTCGTAGCAGACCATCGGACGCAACCAAGCCGATGACAATTCTTTATGGCTCGAATACTGGCACTTGTCAGGCCTTTGCCCTCCGGCTTGCTTCAGATGCAGGGGCTCGCGGATTCAATGCCGAGGTGTATGACTTGGACAGTGCAACAAACTCGGTGCCCAAGGATCGTCCAGTCATCGTCATTACGTCGTCTTATGAAGGACAGCCGCCAGACAATGCCGCCAGGTTCGTCGAATGGCTCTCCAGCTGCCAACCTGGCTCCTTGAGTGGCACGCAATATACAGTCTTCGGGTGTGGCCATCGTAAGTGCTTCTCCTCTTTCCCTCCAATATCATGCTCACTGTCTACAGGTGACTGGAGCCAGACTTTCCACCGCATTCCAAAACTTGTGGATACTCTCCTTGAAGGTGCAGGCGCAACACGAATTGCTTCCGTCGGACTTGCAGATGCTTCCAGGGGGAATATTTACGGGGACTTCGAAGAGTGGGTTGATTCATCCCTGTGGGCGACTCTCACAACTGGCGATAGTCATGGAGCCAATCTGGCTACGAGAGTCGAAATATCCACCAGTGCTCGCTCGTCGAACCTGCGCTACGATGTTAGCCTCGCCACTGTCAAGGAGAATCGAGTTCTTACAGCCCAAGGGGAACCGACCAAGTGCCATATGGAGATTGAGCTTTCCCTTGATTCAACGTACCGGTGTGGAGATTACCTGGCGATTCTGCCACTCAATTCCGAAAAGATTGTGAAGCAGATCATGGCTCACTTCAGCCTACCGGGAGACGCGGTCATAACGATCAAAGCCACCGGCCCTTCCACGATCCCTACAAATACCCCGTTATCGGTGTTTGATGTCCTCCGAAGCTACGTCGAGTTGTCACAGCCAGCAACTAAAAAGAACATTAACACCTTGGCAAACCTCTCCGACAACGCATCGGAGAAAGCGGTCTTGCAGAGTCTGGCCAACGAAGACATGCAGTTTGAACAGGAAATCACGCAGAAGAGAACAAGCGTGTTCAACCTTCTGACCAGATATTCGTCCATCAACCTACCATTCGGGGAATTTCTCGGTCTGCTCCCACCGTTGCAGCTCCGGCAGTACTCGATATCATCATCACCTCTGGCCAACCCGCATACATGCACGATTACTTACGGCGTGATCGACGCTTCCGCTCTTGCCAATCCTAGTCAGCGCTTCGAAGGCGTGACCGGCACGTACCTCCGGGGTCTCCAAGCGGGTGACTCGATCCAGGTCAGTATCCGACCAACAGCCAAGAAGACGTTCCGCCTGCCTCCCGATCCAGAACAAGTTCCACTGCTCATGTTTGCTGCTGGGACGGGGATTGCTCCTTTCCGCGGGTTCCTCCAAGAACGAGCTCTTCAGATCGAATCCAACCCAGACAGAAAGCTGGCCCCTGCGCTTTTGTTCTTGGGGTGTCGCAGTCCGACCAAAGACAGACTATATGCTCAGCAGCTCGATGGGTGGGTCAGAAATGGTGTCGTAGACATCAGATACGCGTTCAGCCAGGAGAAGGAAGCATCCGAGGGTTGTTCATATGTGCCAGACCGAATGATCCACGATGCGATTGACCTTGTCGAGATCTGGAGGAATGGAGCTCGTGCATATGTATGTGGAACGCGGAAGTTCGCGGAGGGAGTACGTGGTGCGGCCACCAAAATTGCAGCCATGGTCGGGGATAACCAGCATCAGCGGACCGAAGTCGAGCAGGAAGAGCTCCAAAAGCGGTTCCGGGAGGCATTGGAGACCAGAGTTGCCAGTGATGTCTTTGATTGAGTGTTGCTATCTCCCAGGACCTCCACGGCGGGGTAGGCACTAATCTTGACAGTATTTGAATGCTTCCTGTATTCCTATAGTCCTAATGGCCATAACTCCACACTTCGAGGAGGAAGAAGGCACTTTGTACACCGGATTCGATTCGGGAGGGAAGCTCTTATGCTTGTCCTCGTCTGACTGTTATACGAGTCATGGCGATAGGTAATAGTAGCTGACGACGTCCTTCAGTTTTCTCATACCTCCTTCTGAAATCCTGGGCTCCCCACCTGATTTAGCTGAGAGGCCTAATATAAGGGCAGGTGCGTACGTGGCAACATTACGAATGTTAGACTGTACAGATATAGCTCTATATTTGGTGCAGCTTAGTCCTCAACTCCACGAAGCCCGAAGTCCCACAAGCACGGAGAGCGACCAGGCTACATTTCACGTAGGGCATTTACCTGGCCGGGGTCTACCCCCACAGAACTTTGAAGATATCATTGAAAGAGTCTTGGTCGCGAGATACTAGATTTGCAACTCCCGGACTTCGAATGCTTGAAAACGAATGATGATCCAATCCCCAACTCCACTGAATGACTCAGCCTAACTCAGAAGCAGGCTGCATTTAGCCTTGACTTGATCTCCGTGACCTGAGAGACCCGAATGCCAGGCCAATAGCTCGGATCAAGTCCATGGGATTCAAAGCATCAGGCAGGGACTTCCTTATACGGTAACGCGGGCCGTCCTTCTCTTGACCGGTCCGGTATTCCCTTACGTTGAAAATGAAGTAGTTTCCGACCATGAACATCAATGCTTCGACGCAGTTCAGCAATGCTGGCAGTCCAATAGTGATGTCGTGGTATGTCACTTTGGAACCGCCGGTGACCTTAGATCGGAGGATACCAAAGATGAACTGAACCGCGGTCAGATGGTTCCGATTGACCGGGAGCAAATTGAGACTCACCCGCTGAATGGTGGTGATAACCACAAATAGCTTGAACATCACCAGTTTCGCAACAGCTCTTTTACCATTCATAAACTCTCGAAGTCGACGCTGAAACCTGATCACTGCGAGGATAGCCCAGATGGTCGTGCCGAGTTCGAGGGCCTGGATCTGCCAACGCTGTTAGATCACCCCACAGTGAGGGACGGCACTCGTACCCAAATGTTTGCAAATCTCGGTTTGGAAGAAGTGCTGCAGTAGGCACCCGTCGCCTTTGTAATTTCTTGGATGATCACGAGAACCGTATAGATGACGACGTAGAAGAAAACCGTCCTCCAGGTGTTCTGCGCACTCGGTTCAGCAGAGAGCAGTAGTAACCAGAGATACACGTACCCAGAACCATCGAAGACTCCCACCAGGCGTGACACCTCCGTTCTTGCCTTTCTTCTCCAAGCTCTGGAAGAAGGCATCTCTTGTCGTGACGTCTGGAGTAACGTACTGAACATATAGCAAGAAGAGAGACGCGAGGGCAAACCCTTCATAGAGGTTGGCCAGCGGTTCGAGGTAGTCAGCAGCATGGTATGTGTGGGTAGAGATGACCGCAACAATCGTGAAAATCAGCGGCGTGGAAACAATTTTGAAGATCTGGCGCTGCTCGTTGGGAGCCTTGTATTGGCGCAGGTGAGGAATGACCAGGACGATCCACAGAATGGTAGAGGCAGCAAAGCAAGCCCAGCCGATGATCGAAACGAGATTTTGGAACGTGAGGGAACCAATGAGTGCAGCGCCTTTCTCGCCGGCTCCGGAAGGTTTGGCTGGACAAGCGTTCGAGTGTGAATCGAATTCCATGGTGACTTTGACAATCTCGACAGACGGCGGAGGCGGGAAGAGTCACACTAGAAGAAATGTCGTACCCGGGACAATTTGGTACTGCGATTGTTCCCAAGGTTCGTTATATACTCCATGCCAGGGGCACATTTGGCTCTCCAGCGACGACATGATCATGCTGGACCGGCGCGACTGACATGTCGGAGTGCTTGTAGAGAGCAAGACACCATCCAAAGGCCCGGAATTTCACAGGGATGAGGCCGGAGAGTCTGCGGCGGACCTTTCACTCCACGGTCCGGAGCAACTGAACAACCGGAGGCAGTCTTCGCGATTCAGCACGACGCTCAGCCCTGCCATTCGTGGAGCACCAAAAGTTTACTCCTGCTGTTGGTCCAGAATCATCGCTCGCTTGTCGAAGTCGCATCCAGTAGCTCACTGCTGGAGTCGGCAGTGAAGAGGGAGAGCTCACTGTGGCTGGAGGGAAAAAGCAAGGAAAGCTACGTGATTGTTCGGCAATCTGAATCTGGTTCTAGCGGCTCGCTTACTGAGGCTTAATTCTCTTGGCCAACAAACTGCGTCCACCATGAACCATTGCTTACTTGCATACCATTCTCCTCATGTTCGTATTTTGTCAAAGTTACTCTCCACAAACCCTATTCGCATGCGATACACCAATGGGGGAATCCATGCGAATGGGTGCGAGCTCTCTTCGTCCTCCGTGCACAGCCATGGATGAAGCGCTTGACTCTGAGTGATTTTCTTGACCATGTGCGCCGTCTGCTATGCTCCGCACCGATATGCCACGTTGACTTTGGCTTGCGGGCCCGATTGTGCCTGGGTGCTGACCTATTGCGCCGATGCGATGGTGGTCAGTTATTGGTGTGCCCAGATCATATTTCAAGGTGAGACTCTCGCTCCGCTTGCATTGCTCAGCGAAAGCAGAAAATGCGTCCATGAGCTCCCGTACTCTGCTAATCCTCCGGTGACACACATTCGCAATCTTCACTCTACATTCGTCGCGCGAGATGGACTCCCCGATCAGTCGTGCCTCCAGTACGCAGGATGACTACCGCGAAGTCTACGAAGCAGTGCTCTACGACCGTCTCCGTGACGGTATTCGGGCGCATGCCGAGGAGCGGAAGCCAAAACATCACCACAAGCTGCGGCCCATCAACAACAGAGATCCGGAATTGACCAGGATCGCAACGAACGCATCTAAACAAACGAGGGTCATACCAAAGAGACTTGCCGACATCGATCCTCGCCTCGATCCCGAGAAGGACGCGTTTGACTTTCGATTCTGGGCGACGACCTTCATCCAGCTTGTCAAGGAAGATGGCATCAAGCGAGCCAATGTCGGGTTTTCCTTCAGGTCTCTCACCGTTTCCGGAATGGGATCCAACCTCGTTCTACAGCCTACAGTCACAACACCGTGGATCGCCCTTGCTCGCCTTCCGATGCTACTAAGCAATCGCAAGCGGGAGCCCAAAGTGATCCTGCACCAACTCGACGGTTCTGTCAAGAGTGGGGAAATGCTGCTTGTGCTGGGTCGTCCTGGAAGTGGCTGCACGACTTTCCTCAAATCGATCGCTGGTCAGTTGGACGGCTTGACTAAGTCGCAGACTTCCACTGTCAGCTACGACGGCATTCCCCAAGACGTGTTCACGCAGAAATTCAAGGGCAAAGCGGTCTATAACGACGAGAACGATGAACACTTCCCGCACCTAACAGTGGGACAAACACTTCACTTCGCTGCATCCGCACAAACACCGCATGCACGGATCGAGGGAGTTGATCGATTGACGCAAGCCAATCACATGGCCGAAGTCATGATGCGAATCTTCGGCCTGTCGCACGTCCGAGACACCAAGGTTGGCAATGATACGATCCGGGGTGTTAGCGGTGGAGAGAGAAAGCGCGTGAGCATTGCAGAAATGGCGCTGGCTAGGTCAGTTCTAGCTGTGTGGGACAATTCTACAAAAGGTCTGGACTCGGCGACCGCTCTCGAATTCGTGCGGTCGTTGCGTACGTTGGCCGACGTGGCTGGTGTCACGCAAGCCGTGGCCCTGTACCAGGCAAGTCAACGGATCTACGAGACTTTCGACAAGGTGCTGGTCCTGTACGAAGGGCGCCAGATTTTCTTCGGCCCCATTGACTCGGCTCGTTCATACTTCGAGCGCATGGGATGGTTGTGTCCCCCACGTCAGACCACTCCAGACTTCTTGACCTCGATCACCAATCCACGGGAAAGACAACCCCGTCTGGAATACTCAAACAAAGTTCCTAAAACAGCAAGCGACTTTGAGGATTATTGGCTCAAGTCAGAAGAGTTTCAAGCCTGCATTGCTGAAATCAGCAGCGCTGAAACTGACGCCGAAGACAACGGTCGCCTCCAAGCCTTGCAAGACGCCCACCACGCAGCACAAGCTCACCATACGAGATCAACTTCTCCTTATTTGCTTTCAATCTGGATGCAAATACGCCTGTGCATGGAGAGATGCGGCCAACTTCTGTGGAATGACAGAGCTTCTACTGTTGCCCTGGCAGGAGGACGAGTCATCCTCGCTTTGATCATTGGCAGTGTTTACTTTGGGACGCCCGACACAACGGCGAGCCTTCAGACACGGGGAGCCGTGATCTTCCTTGCGACCCTGCTGAACGCTCTTATGGCCGTTACTGAGATTGGCGCTCTCTTCGGCAAACGAGGAGTCATCCAAAAGCAGAACACCTTCGCCTTCTACCATCCTTCCGCGGATGCACTCGCCGCTTTCCTCGTCGATATCCCCGTCAAATTCGTCATTTCAACGCTGTTCAACGTCGTCTACTACTTTTTGTCAGGACTCAGAACCGAAGCATCATGCTTCTTTATTTTCCTTCTGTTCAACTTCGTCTGTACGCTGCTGATGTCGGCTATCTTCCGCAGTATCGGAGCAGCCTCGACGCAACTCGCGAAAGCATATGCAGTCTCCGGCATTGGAGTCCTGATGATGGTTATCTACACCGGCTTCACGCTACAGACTTCCTACATGCATCCCTGGTTTCGCTGGATCAATTACATCAACCCGATTGCTTATGTCTTCGAAGCACTACTCGTCAACGAAGTCCACGGCCACCGGTTTCCTTGTGCTCCGCAGAGTCTTGTGCCGCCTTATGCCAGTGGGAACTCGAATTTTGCATGTGCAGTCATTGGCGCTCAACCTGGAGAGCGGACAGTTTCTGGAGATCTCTGGGTCCAGTCAGGGTATCAGTACAGCTACAGTCACATTTGGCGGAACTTGGGGATTGCATTGGCGTACATGGTGTGTTTCCTTGTTGTCCACCTCGTCGCTGTGGATTTCATGTCTACCGCAGACGCACAGCCTCAGCGCCTTATCTATCGCGATCGCAAAGCAGCACAGGCCTCGGAGAAAGACGTTGAGTCGGATGTGCACCAGCAGTTGGCGCCCTCTCCGAATACATCGACGAGCGAGAACGAAAAAGATGCTAATGCTCGGACCGGTGGACAAGCAGGCAGAGGTCATTCCGATGACATGGCTGAGGCAGCTGGCGTTCTCACCTGGGAAGACCTTACACTGGATATTATGATCCAGGACAAACCCAGACGTCTCCTGGATAATGTCACTGGATGGGTCGACCGCGGCAAGCTTACATGCCTCATGGGTGTCTCAGGCGCAGGGAAGACGACGCTCCTTGATACGCTGGCACAGCGCCAGACTACGACCGGGAAACGTTCCGGCAATATCCTAGTGGACGGGATGCCACTGCAACCCTCTTTCCAGCGCAAGACCGGATATGTTCAGCAGCAGGATCTCCACCTCTCAACGAGTACTGTTCGTGAAGCCCTGCGTTTCTCTGCCCTCCTCCGGCAACCTTCTTCGGTGTCCGCGGAAGAAAAGTTCGCCTACGTCGAGCATGTGATCGAAATTTTGGGCATGGAGCTATTCAGCGACGCGGTCATCGGCCAAATAGGTGAAGGGCTCAATATCGAGCAGAGAAAGCTCGTCACCATCGGCGTGGAGCTTGCGGCAAAGCCTTCAATCCTGTTCCTGGATGAACCCACCTCGGGCCTCGACTCGCAGAGCGCATGGACAATTGTCTCTCTGCTGCGAAAACTGGCAGACAACGGCCAAGCCGTGCTGGCTACCATCCATCAGCCCTCGGCTATGCTGTTTCAGCAGTTCGATTCCATCTTGCTGCTGGCGAAAGGTGGACGGACCAGCTATTTCGGGCCCCTTGGCGCGGATTGCCGTACACTGACACAATACTTCGAGAGGCACGGCGCCCAGAGCATTGCGCCGGAGGAGAATCCTGCGGAATATGTCCTCAACACCATCGGAAGTCCGACTTCCCACGACTGGACGCAGATCTGGCAGTCGAGCCAAGAGTGCACCGCAACCAAGGAGACGCTCCGCACCATGGTCGCGAGGACTCAAGCGGAGGAGAGAGGCGCCGCCGACCACGACGGCGAGTTTGCACTTCCTTTCACGGCCCAGCTCAGACTAGTCAGCCAGCGGTTGTTCCAGAACTACTGGCGCAATCCCAGCTACATCTACGCCAAGCTCCAGTTCGCAATGCTCTCGGCCCTCTTCATCGGCTTCACTTTCTACATGCAAAACTCGTCGGTAACGGGAATGCAAAACGTCATCTTCGCCATCTACATGTTGAATGCCACGTTCTCCTCCATTGTCAATCAGGTATGCCACCCCTCCACCAGATTTCGCCACATGTACTAACAGTCCGGACGCAGATCATGTCGCGGTTTCTCCCACAACGCGCGCTGTTCGAAGTCCGCGAAGCCCCCTCCAAAATGTACAGCTGGCTCGCGTTCGTGCTGGCGAACATTCTGGTCGAGATCCCCTACCAGATCTTCCTATCTGTGGTCGTCTGGGCGTGCTGGTACTTCCCCGTCTTCGGCATCCACCACGATGCCACCACCCGGGCGATGATGTGGGCGTTTTGCATGCAATTCTTGCTCTTCGGGGCGACCTGGGCGCAGATGCTCATCTTCGTCATGCCCAGCACCGAAACCGCCGGCGCGCTCTCCACCATCCTCTTCACGTTGACGCTCCAATTCAACGGCGTGCTGCAGCCACCCACGGCCCTGCCTGGGTTCTGGATCTTCATGTACCGCGTCAGCCCGTTCACATACCTCATCGGCGGATGGGCGGGGACCGGTCTGGCGGATCGACCGGTGGTTTGCGCCGAGAACGAGCTGGCTATCTTCGATCCTCCAGCCGGCCAGACCTGCGGGGCGTATCTCTCAGCATATCTCGAGGGCGGCGCGCCAGGTGCTCTGCTCAACCCGTCTGCCGTGTCCCAATGCGAGTACTGCCCCTTGCGAAATGCCAACCAATTCCTGGCCGGTTCCTGGATCCATCCCTCCGAAAATTACCAGAACATGGGTATCCTCTTCGCTTACATTGCTTGCAACATGTTTGCCGCCGTCGTGTTGTACTACGTTTTCCGGGTCAGACGCTTCTCCATCAAAAGTCTGCGGAAACCACGGCCGCACAGTGAGGGTCATGGAAAGCAGGTTGCGGGAAAACATCACAGGAATAGACTGTTCTATCCTGGCTTTTATTTTCATTTCGCCTTGGCGCTGCTAAGGAACCTCGCTCGATAGCTGTAGTTCAGGTATATACGTACATTTAACTGCGTTGAAGGATAAATAGTCTGGTTCACATTCATAAACATCCTTCGTTATCTTCTCTCTTCGAATATGTTTTATGGAAAAAGGTCAACTTGCGTCGACATTTCGACTCTCCACATTGCTTTTGGTCAAGTCGCTTATTATATCTCACTCCCAGTCGTCCCCCTCGGCGAATCACACCTGGGCCATTTTATTCTGCTCGAGTTTCTGCCGCCATTGTCAGTGGTCATGCCGTTGTTGCACGCTTGAGGGAATATACCTCCGTGATATCACCGACGGGGACAACAATATGCCCTATCGGATTTGACGTTCCAAACCGAGCAATATCCCTCTCCAACTGCAGAAGCAGTGTCACCGTGTATGGGATCCTTGCCTTCATGGATCTGAGCATGCCCATGAGCAGATTCAGCGACTCTGAATGTTTGAGGGCATCGACAGGATCTGGTTCGGACAATTCTTGAACGAAGACCCGGGCGGCGAGGTACAGACAGAACGGCAACCACGGCCCGGCCTAGAGATCCATCAGCATTGAACTCGAGGGGTCGGGGAGTGCGGGTTTATCACCTTCGCCATGATAGCAGCATCGACGACCCGCAAAATGGTCATCATCGTTTCTGCTGCTCCTAGACACCTCATGCCGCTCTCCACCAAATCGAATCCGTTGCCTGGCGCACTCCTGGCTTTGCAGATTGCAGCCTGGTGTAGACAAATCGTGCTTGCTTGGATGTTGATGTGTAGCTGGACCGCTGTGGGGTTGAGAAGACTCGAGCCAATCTGCAACTGAGTTGGGAGATATTCAAGGGTGTTCAGCAATACTTTGTCGAGGTAGTCATGCCGTCTCCGAAAGGCACTGTCGGGATCTTCCTGGCTGCCGTCGTCAATCTCTTTCCGGTGGAGATGCGTCAGAGTTCGACCGACGACAGCTGCTATCATGGCTGTCGCTGCAAAAAGAGTTAGGTTCTTGATACCTTGGTCCGTCAGTCTATGCTCTGCTGTGCTCTGCTCTGCCAGATCTTCACTCACCATCTGGAGTCATGGCAACTTGTAGGGAAATTGATGGTCGAGTGGCCTTCCCTGTTATGAACTCTTGCTCACTCGCGGGCAGGTTGGTGGCAATCTGAAGTGCGATCAGCAGCTCGTTTCTCCAACAGTACGGGAGGGCGTACATCTCGCTCATCGATAACAGATGGCCAGCCTGATGCTAGACTCTGGTACCTATCATGTACAAAGACTGCCCAGAATACTCGCCTCCTCTCCTCCAGCTCGGCCCAGTCCATTGCTGACGGCAGCATTTCCTTGACGTCAAAGCCAGCGCCGTCCAGCCTGTGAAGGTTCATCATATGACACAGTCGAATTGCTCTGCCAACACTCAACCATGCGCGGGGGAAATACAGCATCCGTGTCTCGAAAGTTGCCAGGTAGGCTGTCGCCTGGATATGCGCAAGAGTAACGACGCCATGGCCTCTGCCAGCCATTTCATCCACATCAATGTACTTCCGGGCGCGATGGTAGAAGTGCTCTGTGACAGCGTTATAATTCTCGCTCATAGATGCGGCGAGGCACCAAATCGTGTAACTAAGACAGACTGGTGGCCGAAGTCGCGATGTGGCTGGCAAATTCATCGCTGCGAGATACCTGCCTTTGTTGATGATGGGCGCTCCAGGATAAATCTTCTCAAAGAAAATTTGGTGTCTGAAGGCATTGTCAGCAGAATTCCTGGCAGTCCACATTGCTTGGGTGCTCACAGCTCGTCGATAGCTTCTTGACTTGGCAAAGGCTCTTGGAGCCCAACAGCGGCGAGTTCCCAGGAAGCGGTATTCTTGCCAGATTGCATGTTGGTATCCTGCTCTGGGCTTGTCGAATGCTGCATAACATCACCTGTCAAAGTTTCCGCCGCTTCTCCGAAAGGCTGGTAACCTGGCATGTAGCTGTCCCACAGTGTTGCATGGAGATCGTGCTCAATTGCCACAAGTCCATCATCGTCCGAGACAGTTCGGGATTGACCCTGGTCGCTGCCCGTAAATTTCTGGTTTTCAAGCAGAGACTCAACCTCAGCTGCGGGGATTGGTGTTAGACATGAAGCAATGAATCCAAATGCTATTGAGGACAGACCGAGTCGAGCTTCCAGTGATTTCACGTAACCTCGTCGAGGTCCAGTCTTCCGAAGAGTATCTTCCCAGTCGCATTCTCTGCCGGTGGTCTCGCAGGTCTTGCAGAGTGGACGGTTGCCGTTGCATCTCAGCTTGCGCTTTCGGCAAGAATTGCAAGCGAGGTGCTTGAACCTATAATGGGTCTTTGAGTTGCCACTGCTTTCACTGTGAGGCATCCTGTGCGTAGTGGATCGGTTTGCATCTAAACATTGGCAAGGCCAGTATCTGTAGAAATGGATAAATGGCTCTCTGTATACCTGTGGAGCACTCTTGCTGGACTCGAAAGGGATCCCCAGCTATGCCTGTGGGCATGATCAAGCAAGTCGAGGTGGATGGCTCAAAAAGGTACAGCAACTGAAAGCTCATGTCCTCAGCCGCAAAGTCTATGCGGCCACATTGCGGTGTTCTGGTTGATACCAAGGCGTACCTGCCTGCAGTTGGCCATGATTGGTCCAACATCAAAGTTAGACGAGAGTCTGAGAGGCGAAAGAGGAAGGCCTAGCCTGGTTGGATTCGCATGGTTAGCGCGACCAACAGCAAAGATGTTCATGGCGGGATTGCCCAGTCGCTGTTTGGTCCTCTTAGACTTGATTCTGCGTCGAGGTTTGGTGATTCGGCTCGAGTTCCGTGTTGACAACTGCCCAGACTACCACCAAGTACAATTGCGGCCAAGGTTGCCCAGATGGCTAGAATCTCCAGTGGGCTGGCATCCTCGCGAGTGATAGCCCAAGCCACGCCCGGAGGTTAAGGGCAAGCAGACAATACAGCTGAGAGGTTCAGTCCGCTAGACCCTGCGGATATTCGTCTAACCAGAGTAGTTGCGGAGTTTCGGGCAGATACAGCTTCCGTGTATGTAGCATTTGCGTTCGCGACTAGCAATTGACTTCTCCAGAATCGCTTGCAATGGAGGACGGCCTCCACCGCAATGGAGCTCGAGGATGACATGCCTACCAGAGAATGCACGCTAGTAAGCATAGAAAGCACTGAAGAAAGTATGCCATGGACATCGAATCCGACCTAAACCGCCGAGAAGTGTCTGAAGGTTGATGATAGTATGCATTTCCGATCGGAAACTGGACCGGGCTGCGAGATAATGGTTATAGATGTCAATGGCCTTGATGCCAGCCGTGTTTCGCGGCCCAGCCGTTGAAATCAAGATGCAACATCGTCCACTACAAGGGGTTGCAAAAGCCGTGAGCATGAAGATCGATTCGTGCTCAACCCTTTCGAATTGTGACATGGTCCAGGCATGGCGGCGGAGGGTCAGTGGATGAGGCCATCATGGATGATTGCGCCCTCTTATACTCCATACTGACACTGTCTTGTGCAGCACAAGCCCCGAATCCCAGACACCACAATGACGGCAAACTGCGGACCGAAGAGGCAGTCAGAGCAGCTTGGGTCCTCACGAAGTCGGGAGACTTTACGCTGTAGGTAAGGAAAGGCGGAAAGGTAGTCGAAGGACCACGGAGTAGAACAGACCGAGGTTGTCCTCCAGAGCTGGTAAGTTCCGTTCTTCGTCCAGCAGGTGTAGCTGTAAACCAGGCAAGATCTTGACAAGATCCATGTAGGATTTCAGGGAATCATGACATGGCGGAAGGTCTTGATCATGGGCCTCGTTGACATCCAGCTGACTGATCCTCCTCGTAACCATCCGCGGCAAGCATGGAACATGTAATTATGGCGATCCTTCAATACCCCTTCTTTTGTGGATGATGTCCGTCCTCAGCGGGCAGCCCTTGATCTGTCCCTCAATCAAGTGCGAGCGCATCTTTGTACTTGCTCAGCCCTATATCTGGTTCGGAATTATCCAGCCTCTTGTGTGTGATAATCAAGGTCCCGCGGGTCGAGAGCATTTAAGTCAAGAGTCTCCGGTGATCACCGGTACTCGCCGTAGATCCACAGTACTTTTGGCGGTGCAATTCCGCAGAGCGTCGAGGTAGGGCAGGAGACAGGATGACTGTGCTTGTAAAGACACAAGGTGCGTCAGCAATGTAATGGGAAACAGCCACTGGCTTACCTCTGTGCCGCCCCGTGCTGGATGAATCTGGTAATTCGAGATCGCGACGGGAATGCCGTGAGCACGGTTGGCCCTGATCGACACATGATTACTTCGAGAGCAGCCAGATTAGATCCAGGAGCATTCCCGGCTCTCGCGGCCGTTCCAGCCGACTGCAGGTGAGATTAACAACATCGAGAAGTGTCTCGTGAAATGGTGAGAATGTCGTTGGCGCAGGCTGCCCTTTGCAGATTGCTCAATCAGCAGTCAGCGGCCATGAGGTAGCTAAGGCCGCAAGACGGAAGGACGGACCCAGTGCTTAATGCGACCCAGCGTCCATCTTACTGTACGGAGTACGATGATCAGAAGACTGCAAAACAACTGCACCGAAGGTCCAATACTCGCGATTTCAAGGCGGTTCAGCGTCGGCGGATGCCCAATCCCCGCACTCTCGAGCTCGCTTGCATGTTGCTTTTCGGGCGATCATCGCTACCAACTTCAAGCAGCGCCCGCACAGGCTGAACCCAGGCTCAGCAACGCCATTCCCAGGGACTCAGCCAAAGGCGGGACAGACGGGAGCGGCTGTGCCAGGACAACTCCAATGGCCCGTTTACACTCATACTCGATGTCTGGGTGTACTTTCGTCTATGCCGCTTGCAGAAAGTGTTCTTACATTGCTGAGCTGGCCGTCTGTAGGGGTCGTCGCCCGATAGTTTCCTGCTTACGGAGCCTTCTCGTCCACCTGTCAAAAACTCCCTGGATACTCTTACATGTTTGGCCGTCTGTCGCCCAATGGCAAGCTTCTCGCACAATCGCACCCAGAAGCGATCTGAGGGTGCAGCGGGCGGCATGCTGATATTTCCGATGTACAGCGTGAGTTAGCGTTTGATTACAGCAGGGTTACCTGGTCAGCGCCACTGCGGCCTGAGGAAAACTGAGGGATAGCGACTGGATAGCGACTGGAATCTGATACAGCGTCCTTTCAGGTCTGAAATTATATAAGACTGAAGGATGTACTGTCAGAGTGTGAGAGCAAGGCAGGAGTCGGTGTCCATCTCTTCTGGCAAGCTGGTCAGCAAGTCGTTGAAGTATAATGTTCACTGCGTCCCGGTTATTCACTTCCAACATGTCTCTCCGCAACGCTCTTCAAGATTTGGCTCGAAGCTCTTCTTCCAGCAGTCGCTCATCGTCTTCAAGCCGCAGCGCAGTACGAACCGATTCGTGCTCGTCGCCGACAAGACTCCCTCCCACGCCAACATACCAGCTCATAAGCTCCTCATCAGTACAGCAAGAAGCACCGGCCCCGTCGACCTTACCAGGCGATTTCCTTGAGCAGACACTCGAATGCGAGCAAGGATGCGCAGAAGCACCACCGCCGTACATGCTACTATGCAACGGCGACAGAAAACCCCAATATTCGGAACGCCAATCGACGATGACCTTCGATGCCAACTTGACCCGAATGGACGGTGCTCTTTGCCTGCGATGCAATGCCAGGAAAGCAAAGGCCTGGTACATGCGACACAAGGAGCGTTCTAGGGGATGAAGCATACCTAACTATGCTCTGTACCACCCTGTATACATATCTTGTTGAGGTCCTGTCAGTTATTTCACTGGCAAGGCTCTTGGGTCGCATAACATAGTGTGGGTGAATGAGATGTTTCTCCGTCCTCACTTCTCGCTTTGAATTCATCCGTGATTGCCACCCAATCTTAACCATTCAGCGTTCACACCTTTAACCAATGGTATTTCCGCGAGGCATCGAGATGATCTTCAAGAACGAGAGCACGACCATAGAGCTTATCGCGGACTGAGCCTTTTTAGCTCCTCCCGCTCCGCCCTGATACCTACCAATCGTGTCTATTATTTGTTGCTCACACTCTATCAGAACTCAATCTTGCCATTCGACACAAGCCTTGTCCGCAGCAGTAGAGTGTAAGCAACTCACCAGAGGATGGTATTCCTGGAGTTGCCCCTAAGCAGGCTGCTTGCTCAGTGCGGAAAGATCATTTGCCTGGCACCCCTCGTCATTGGAAGTAGGGTAGAAACCCACACAGCGGCTTGGATAAACGCTGACTTACCGAACCCAGCCGCTTCTCCACGAGTCGGGACGACCAATTACAAATTGTGGCAAGACACTTTTTCTCGCTGTACCAGCAAACCATGTCCTCCTCCCTAGGGGTGTGCTGCGTTGAGCTCGCGCAGATGACGATACCGACGACGAGAGCATGTCTGCATCATCTGACGGGTTCGCCCAGAGAATAGCGCTAGCCAACGAACGTGTGCTGCCAGCGGCATCTGTCGACTTGGCCATTTGAGGTTGCCGTCGACTGCGAGACGCTGGCAAGCCTCGTTCCGAACTGTGGGAAGCGGCTGATAGCGAGGCCATATGCTGTCGGACGGCAAGAGGTCAGTTCGCTCTTTGGCAGAAGCTAACCTCCAGTGACGGGAGTGTTGTCGAGTCGGAAGTTGTCGACGCTCGTCGTCGAGTCTTGAAAGTACTCCCAACTCTCATGGCAGGTGAGTTGCGGCCATTTTCGCTGAGCTAGACAATAATGCCATGTTTGACATATCTTCAAAGCTATAGGGCTTACCTCGCATCGACCCGACATCTTTCTAAGACCAAGATTTGCACGAGAAGAGGCCATAGGATGGCCGAAAATGCCGATCGAAGGAGTGGCGCGTCGGAACCCATAGCCTCGTGCGCTCTCGACCTGCTGTCCTCCGGTGCCGATACTAATGACTTATGTGACGAGATCCCAGCAATTGATGCGCCAGTCGTAATCCCGCAGTGGCATGATGTTGGAGTGGCATGAGGCTTTTGGGCTCCTGATTTTCAATCCCTCCTAGCCGACATTTGTGACTCAAAAAGAGCTTTTGTGTTGAGCTGTTTGTTAATTCTAGGCAACCGATTGGTCAATTGGAGAGAGCCGCGGAGATGCACGTGGTGAGGGACATGAAAGCCAGAGAAGCGCACCGACACACGTTACTGCCGGCGGTCTCGGGTGTCGTGACGCCGGAAGACGAACCCACTCGCATGCAAGGAACGGCGCAGACTGTAACGGTCAGTGTCCGGTATCCGTTTATGTTGTTCGGGGAGGTGAGATAAGCGAGGCCGGTTATGGAACATCTTTCTTGCACAGGCTCATCCTCTGTATTTTATGGCTGCCGCGGAAATAGCTATTAGGAACGGAATACTGGCTGAGTCGTGAACAGCCGGGTCAGCACACGCGCAGTATATAATCCAGCCGACAGTACTGCGCAACGTGACTGCTCGCTGGCTTGACAAGCAAACAATAGCCACATTGAGGGCCAGAAACCACCATCACAATGGAGCACATCGACGGAACCGCTATCAACCAAGACCTCTCCGCTCGGATGAGGTATATGCAATCCTTCCTGCAATGGGCCCCAGAAAACGACGGAAAGCTCATCGAAGCATGCAAACCCGTCCTAGCTCCCATCGTCACCAACGTAGTCGATGCCGTCTATGATCATCTGCTAAAGTACGACATCACCGCCGCATCGTTCGCACCGAAACATTCGCAGGAAGGAGAGACGCAGGAGGCGAACGTACGAGAACTTCACCGGGATCATGAAAACATCAAGTTCCGCAAGGACTTTCTCAAGGGTTACCTTGTCAGGCTGGTCTCGAACCACGACTGGACACCAGAGAGCAAATTCTGGGAATATATCGACATGGTTGGCAAAGTCCACACAGGCGTCACCGACTCTGGCCTGAAGCACAGGAAGAACCGGCCAGCACTGTTCGTCGAATACCGTGAAGTCAATCTATTACTGGGCTGGGTCGAGAATGCTGTAACGGATATCGTCATGGGCGTTGAAGGGCTCGAAGTCCAGACAAAGGTCGACATCCTGAAGGCTCTGAACAAATTTTGGTGGATACAGAACGATTTGTTTGCGAGGCATTACCTGCCAGGTTCGAGAACGTCCCCAACAGCGCAGAATGAGCGTCATCTAACCTGGATTGAAAAGCTCAAGTCTGATCCAGTCTTCCCGGTGGTGTCGGCCGTGGTGCTTATAGCTGCTATATGGAGCATTCCGTTCTGAGCAATCCAAGGGAGAATACAGAATGAGTATGGGATGAAGACTGTCAGGGTTTAGAAACGTGTGATATACGGTCTGAGAGAAGACTGAATGATCCGTGAACCACATAGAATAGATATACCCGCCGACTTGACAGAACTCTCCGGTTCCCAAGCAGCTCCGAAATTCAAGCATATCTGCAAAGAAGCTACGCGAGAATAAGAGATCCTCAGTACTCCGTAATGTGGGTGTGAGCGTCGATGTCGGCGACGACGGCGCGATTAAAGGGATCAAGCTGTGGTTGAGCTGCACATCCTGCACTTCCGAAGATCGGAGACTTGCAAGGAACGTGCTTCAAAAGTCGCAGATACCACAGTTGAACCAATCACGCAGCAAGTTGATTGCTGGAAGAACGCTGTTCCGGTCGAACGTCTGAACCGAGTGTAGAAGGAGCTCTGCCAGATCTTGTATGCAAGTGCTGTCCTGATGGGCCACGGACTCTGTGGAAGTTGATGTGACCATGTAGGTCGGGAGGACGAACAGTACGTTCCCGCACCTACTTGGAAGGCTTTTGCTCTATCCAGCTTCTATAATTGCACTCAGTGATACATAGACCAGACACCCTCGAATGTGCCACAAATCGCTGCGCTTCGATGGCGTTTATGGAGTGGCCCCGTTCACCGCGATAACCTGTCCGGTGATGAATGATGACTCGTCGCCTAGCAAGAAGGCCACGGAGTCTGCAATCTCTTCGGGCCGTGCTGCTCTCTTCATGGGCATGGACGCTATCTGTGCCCTCGCCATATCGCCTCGTTGTCTCTGATCTTCCAGAGCACTTGAAACCATCGGCGTCGCAGTAGCCGCCGGAGCTACCATGTTGACGCGACATCCGCGTCCTGCAAACTCCGCCGACCAGCTTCGTGTCAATCCGAGGCCGCATGCTTGCTAGAGTAGTAAGAAGCATATAGCGGGAAGCCGATCAGTGAAGCAGTCGAACCGATGTTGACGATGCTAACGAGTCCCTCATTGGGTGATTCGGCGAACCGTGCAGACGCGCGTCGTAGGATTTCGGTCCCAAAGTTCCATGTGCCTCCGACGTTGATGTGCTGCGTTTTCCAGAACACCTCGTCGCTCTCGAGGTTGCCATCGCTCGTCGGGGAGATGCCTGCAGAGTTTACTAGCCCTCGAAGGCCTGGCGTTCTTTCAACTACGGACTGGAAAGTCTCCGAAACCGCGTCTCGAGAATTAACATCCACAGCAGGGTAGAAGTACAATTTGCCGTTATGGTTCTAGAATTCCTGAATGGTGTCACTGAGGTCCACGGCGTGCACCCAGCCGGAGCAACTTGCTGACAGACGCAAGCCCAATTCCTGAGGCACCTCCCGTCACGATATACGCCCTGCCTCCTAGTCTGCCGGCCATCTCTGGAGCAGGCTCTCGGCTTTCTTTGATGTTGCTTAGCCCAGGAGAATTCCCTCTGCGTCCAACAGGGTGTGTCAGCCTCCTAAGGCGTCTGTGAGTGCTGCACGGCAGAGATGAATTGATAGAACACGGGTGTTGTGGTGATTGCCCGACACTAAAGAAGTGATGAAAAGGCAGTAGGGTGGAGGATATGATATGGGAAGCGATGGAATCTGACCGCCGCCCCTTCCGCTGTCCGAACCTCAAATTTTTAAACGCAACCGGACACGGCGCGGCAGTTTGGACCGGTAATCAAGACTTTCCCTTGTTCAGTTCTCGGTCAATGGTGGATCTGGCTGGAGCTTCAGGAGGTAGGCCTTGAATCAGGGGGCCATATCCGAATCTGGCCATCAAAAATATACTTCAAGCATTTCCTCCATGTCCGAAATACGAATCTAGATCCAACTATCGCTTACCCTTGTCCGGGGTATCAACGTGGAGTGGCGGCCATCTCGCGGGTCCCGGTGGGTCGGCGAGCTCGACCACGCGAGGTCCATGCGAGAACGACAACATATGCAGTGGCATACAAGAAGAGCCGCTCAACCGCTCCGCTGGCTCCGTTTTGACTGGCCATCGTCTCGGTACCACTGAGCCGGCACAAGTGCCTCTATCTTGCTTCATTCTTCGAAATGGCAAGTGAAAAAGTGAACCACGAAGTCGAGGATGTCAGCGACCTCAAACCGACCAATGACAGAGTCGAATATGATGCGCCGCGCCCTGAAGATCTGTACCACCAGGACGCCGATGTGGTGCTTGATGTGAGGGCACAAGGTGATGTGCTCTATCTATTCCAGCCGACGGAGGAGCGCCGTGCGGTGCTAATATCTGCTTGCTGTAAATCACAGCTCCTCGATGTCCAGCAGCAGCACCCCTGATAACAGAACCTGACTTCCCAACGATTGAGACCCATTGGGACACCCTATCGGTTTTCGACGGCCACTTCGGTCATTCTGCAGTGCCTGAAGAAGCGTTCACATTCGACAAGGCACTGTTGGAAGTGCTGAGCAAGAAGGCAGAAGAGAGCGAGCGCAAGAAGGCACATGATATTGTTGCTGAGAAGACAAAACAATTCTTGCAAGAGCTCGATGTGGGCCTCCGCTTTGAGAACGCTGTTGATATTCTGAATGCTCATACTATCTCTCAAGACCAGACCACCAACTCCGCATTCTCAAAGGAGCTTCTGACCGCTCTCAGCAAGCCGACTTTGACCGAACCCATCCTTAGTTGTCTTCGACAGTCAGCGCGAGCTATCCCTTCCTTGGAGGGCTTGTTGAGAAATCAGAATCTTGAAAGGCACGGCACCGCCCAGCAACTCCCGCCTCGGTCCGTAACCGACGCACTCATGCCTCGTAACTCCTCAAAATACGAAGTGCGACACGGATCTGGTGTTGTTGAAAAGCCGACACTGACGCCTTCAAACCTCAGGATCCCGGTCAAGATTCCTCCTCAAGCAGAGCTCGAGCACTCTCGGTCATCCCTCAGACGGCCTCCCTTGTTCCATGAAAGCAACCGCGGTGGCCAAAATGACGGCGACGCCGAAATCGTGGCGACTAGTGCGCAGAAGGTGTCAGATCTCTCCATTGATGAACTTCAACGGCGCGTGGAGCAACTTGAACGGGAGAATGCACGCCTGCGAGGTCAATTTATCCCCGATGACCCCGAACCGGCTGAAAATGGCGCTAGGTATCAGGTTTTCCATTTGATCAAACAACGCATGTATCTGGATGAGCCCACCTGGGGCCCCAACCCAGAAGATGAGCATATCCGCAGCGTCCAGCCCGTGGATAATGTCGTCCACTTCTACGAAAGACACCCTGAGGTGGCCTTCGCTGTGATCAAAAAATACAACCCTCAGCAGAAACGGCCCCCAAAAGGGAGCCCTCCCCAGTCACCGGTGTCTTATCACCAAGAAATCCATTTTGTGACGTCCGAAATGAGGCGTGCGGTCGAAGACATGATTGAGCTTATTCCGCAACGCTCACTCTTATTTCCGGATTTTGAGGCCGAAAAGTCCATTGGTGCTCCGTACGTTCTCATTCATGCTTTTTACCTCATCAAAGATGAGATAATGGAGACTATGGATCCAGAGACAGGGAAGCTTATCCAGATGCTTTTCGACGTGGTTGTTCTTGACTATGGTGATGTATATCAATTGGTCAAGGACCACAGGGAACGTGGTGTGATATCATCGGTCTCTTTACCCTTTATCTTCCAGCCAGGAGAAGTCATCATATCAACTGAGAGCCAACATTTGCAAGGCTCCATGATACATTCTTGGCCGGAAGATGTGAGTCACGGTTTCCAGTCCCAACACCAAAGAGGTGGAGGACCTACAGTGTTCAAGTTGCGACCCGATCGTCCGGACGAAGATGTCTCTGATAACAGTGACATTCCTGCTGAGACAAGATGGGTGCCACAATCAGAAGGCAGAAGGCAGAAGATGACACTTCACGAATGGACCATTAATATCTTGTGGTGGACTTACGACGGTTCTCTCAAGCGGACCGACCGGACGATCATGATCGATTTTCAGACCATCAACAGGGAAGACGAGGTAGAGATCACAACTTTGAAATGGTATCCGCTGCGTTATGCTCCAGAGGCTATGATAAAGACTCTGGAGAAACGCGGGCGCAGGTTTAGCCAATTTGAGCAAAGAGTATTCGTCAGCTACTCAGAAGAAGACAATCTTGGTTTCAGCAATGTTAGTGGAAGATCCTGATTCCAGCACAAATCCCCTTTAATGACATGGCTAGATTGATGAGCGTTACATGATCGACAATGCGACCTACCATCGACTTCACCCAAATGTCGACGACAAATTCATCCCTGATCGGCCCGGTCGGTACGATCGGTACTATCGAGCCGAAGGTATGCCGCTTGAATACCCTGGTGGCGGTTATGGTCGTGATGATCAGAGCGATTGGAGCATAAATGAAAGCAACGATCTGGTCCCGGAAGGAATACACGAAGACCAGGTCATCTTCCTTTATCCTCCAACGGCAATTGGCTATAACATGCGACTCAAGAAATGGGGTCAGCATTCCCATCAAAGATTGTCTGATATTGAAACACCGTAACTGACCTTGTGACAGTGGATCTCTATGTCGATCGAATGTCCGATGTCAAGTGGAACGATCTTGCGTTCGAGCATCTAGTCATTGATCCGGATAGCAAGGATTTGGTCCAAGCTCTGGTCGGGACCAAGATTGCTTCGGACAAAGGCACCGACATTATTGTAGGCAAAGGGAATGGCCTTCTGGTGCTTCTCCATGGTCCTCCCGGGACTGGCAAAACCCTGACGGCTGAAGGAGTGGCCGAGTTCGCCCGCAAGCCACTCTATAGGGTCACCTGCGGAGATATTGGCACCACTCCCGAGGCAGTTGAACAGTACCTTCAATCCGTGCTACATCTAGGCAAGATCTGGGATTGTGGTTCGTATCCTCCGATTTGCGTTGATCCGTGCTGGCTCAAACGTGCGCTAACGAATATTTAGTCGTCCTCCTCGATGAAGCCGACGTTTTCTTGGAAGAGCGAGGGGAAGCCGAGCTTCAACGCAACGCGCTCGTTTCGGTCTTTCTTCGCTGCCTCGAATACTACGACGGAATTCTGATCCTGACCTCTAATCGGGTAGGCACCTTCGATGAAGCGTTCAAATCCCGCATCCAGCTATCCCTGCACTACAATCCACTCAACGGGCCTCAGCGCAGGAAGATTTGGCGAAACTTCGTGAACAGGTTGCGCGACATTGACAGTGCCAACATTGATGCCGACGAGATCTTGGACCATCTCGACGAACTGAGCCACCATCAGATCAACGGCCGGCAGATCCGCAACTCGATCACGACAGCTCGACAGCTCGCCCAGTACAAGGGCCAGAAGTTTAACTATATGCACCTCAAGCACGTGATTGAGGTAGCCAATAAGTTCGAGACTTATCTGAAGGACATGCGGGAGGGGCTGACCGACGACGAGGTCAAACGTGGCCAGGGATACAGATGACACATGCGTCTCCTTACCGATTCTCTGGTGCTTTGAAGGCGTGCGTGAAGACACAATAACGATACTTCATCTCGACACAATTCGACCTTTCCCAATATTTACGATATCCATAAAGTTGTCTGCCAGCTCAATGCCTTTAACAGTAACCATTTCTACAATGCCACGCAAGCCTTCTTCGCTTTTGTTGTGGGCATTTGCTCTTGGTTGTTCTCGATCTCATGGCACAGACAGGACTTGACCGGTGACTGAAGATCATCGGCTGAGACTTTCAGACCTGAACACCCCACGGCAGGCGCTAGTCTGTACACTGCGGCGATGCTATTCTGTGTACCCACATGATCATATTCTATGCACTTACACGCTTAAAACGCCGGGAGGCATTCTTAATCTGTACGCTCAGCGCCTGGCTACAGCTTGTTCTGTACACTCCCACGCAGCTCTATACACATCCAGAGTCTCGAAGGAACGCTCCAGGTATTTCTATAGACTGAGGGCACACCCACAGGGCCACTCCTACAAGGCACTGGGGGTTCTTACAGGGGCTATTTAGTACACCTTCATAAGTATAGTCTTGAAGGGGAAGACACAAGAGAAGACGAAAGTCAACAGGTCGAGGAGGAGCGGGACCTATAGGACAGCGATACACCGTCGTATTCTGACTTGTCTTGGTCTGTCGTTGTGCTTTCCTTGTTTGCCAAGCTTCCAGAAACGGTTTTTGGAGAAGTCTATCGCCGATGCCTGCGAAGATTCAGCACTTTGGATAGCAACACGATTCTGCGACGTTGCAACCGATCCCAGCATAACTCGGGCTTTCGCTCGTTTCCCTTCTACCACGCATTATCCAACGACTTTCTATCTGCGACATGATCTGCTCAAGCTGCCGTCAATCGCTGGTCTCGCGTTTGCGCACCCTCGTCGTCAGTTCCAATGCCTCAGTGTCGCCCATCTCCAGCCTACGTTATGCCTCTACGATTCCCGCGACTCCCAATGCTGGACCAGTCCCAGCCCCAATATCCATATCGATAGATCATCCGAATGTTTCGCAATCGTCAAATACCTCCGGCATCTCACAACCCCTTTCCGAACCACATACTCCCTCAACATCAAGCGCAAAGCCGTCTGGTCCTACTTCCACAAAAGATGGCAAACCTGCCGCGAAGCCGAGGAGCTCGGTCCCCGGAGGCAAGGAGCTGAGGGGCCTGGGTTACACGAAAGCAAAACCGAAAGTGCTTGCCATGGAGGATGACGCGTACCCGGAATGGCTCTGGACACTCCTCGATGAGAAGCGGCCAGGCGCAATGGCCGAAAAGGTAGATCTAGCAGGTACTGTGCCCGTCCGTCCCATCGATCACCCACCTCGCTTACATGAACAGCTATGACCAAGAAACAACGCCTACGCTACGAAAAGAAACAAGAACGACTATTGAAGGACATTCCAAAACAGATTCCCGTCCACGAGCAGAGCAAGGACCTGACCGGACCTGGAGATGACGCCTTGACGAGTTTACAACGCAGGCAAGAGATCACCAAGAGCGCAAGAGCGGCACGGAGAAGGGGCATTCGAGAAAGCAACTTCTTGAAGTCCATGTAGGCTCGCGGAAGTGGACATGGCGAATGTACAACATACTCGGCGCGGTATTGCACCAGAACTCGCACATATTCTGCCTCCGGTTTGAGAATCCTGGTTTTCAATGTCTATGTGTCATCCAGACTCCAGATGCTCTCAACGCCAGCCCTTCGCGCAGACCGAGATTTACCATGCATCGTGTACTTCATGCAACGTAACTCGCGTCCAATCGTTCGGCCCAAACCGGTGTTCAACATTTATCTCCGCCGGGGTATCATCACATCTCGTTCGTCCCTGGCCATGAGCAGAAGTTGTGCTCCATATAGTCGTTTCTAGTTCCCGGATGCATATGACCAAACGCCGCATAACAATGTCTCAGGCGCGAATGCTGCTCGCGGCCGTGCTCCACCTCAACCGTCTCAGTCCACCTGCACTGGATTTTATTGCTTCTTGACCACAGTTCCCACCCGGGAGGCCCATCTCTCCTTCGATCCTGCCAACTTCACGACCCCAAGCATAGCCCGCACTGAAGCTGATGGCCGAGAACACCAGAACCACGCCAGCAGAAATCATCCACGAAGCAAGGGTCGGGCTAATTGACTCTTCAGTCGTGGTTGCTGTCTTACTCGTGGCACGGGCTTTCTTTGCGAGGCGATCTTTACTGGACTCACGAGACTTCCGCTTGGTCTGTTTCGGGGACGAACTTCTCCTCTGCCGGACCGGGTTTTGTAGCTCGGATTCTGGGATGAGTCGTAGCGCGGTTGGCTGTGTTGATGCTCGAGGAGGAGATGGTCTGGTTTCGGGGCCTTTGGGTCGGACAGCGGCAGCACAGGAGAGCAAGGTCGTCAAAGAGGCACGAAGAGCTGCATCATGGTCTGGCTGGTATGATGAGGAAGTAGGGCGATGCCGTGACTGCATTTGACGTTGGTAACTCCGCTGTGTGATTGTATGATCTGCATGGGGCTCGCTAGGTACTGCTGGGAAGTATGAGTCTGGCGCCGGTCGACCGTGACTAGTAGAGGTGGGAGGGTGAGAAAAGGCATTTGGTTGAGGTGTGAAGACCCTTCCCAAACTCCCAACGCCTAGAGCCGTAGAGGTATCATCATCTTCGGCTGCGTCATTTTGATCGATGTCCTCGTTAGAGCTGCTCATAACTCGATCACTTTCGCTTTCACTCTCTTCATACTCGTCTTGACTGCTTCCGGCCGCACTTGTCGACCGTTGTTGAGGCCGTACTATGTGGGAGGAGGTTCGGAGTTGACGTGAAAGGCGTTCGTCCCGCGAACGGACTTGGAGTCCGGTAGTAATGATATCGTTGTTTGTGGACGATAAAGAGGCCGATGAGGCTCCCGCGGAAATCTCAATCCAGGAATCTGCTGAGAGGTGAGCAACATATATTGGTACAGAAGACCGGTTCGAGGAAGACGCCTACCTTCGGAGCGCACTCCTCGTACACTGGCATTTGCCGGAAGGGATGAAGAATCTGCGGTCCGTAGAGTTCGCAATTCTGGTCGCTCACTTCTGTGTGAGCCAAAGGGCTCGGGTTGAGATGGTCGCATCCTGTTGAGGGGGTCTTATCGTTGGTAGGTTGATAGAAATCGAGGTCGTAGTACGTTCGGTCGTCGCCTGCGCGGCTGCGTTGCCTCGACCTTCGATGACGGACCGGTAGTGATTAGGAAATTGCAATGTGGACGATGATCCAAGCTTCTAAGAGATAGAGATGTAGAGAGTGATCAACGGCACGCGTTGCACCTGCCAGGTCGCAAACGGCGGTGCCAGGCTTGGGTCTCACCGCTGACGATGGTGGGGGGAATCTGGTGATGTACGGTGGGATTACGAGAACGCGACTGCGACGATCCGCGCCCGAAGGGTCTTGTGTCAGAAGCGGGGTCTGGCTGTATGAGCTTCACGTTGGCACGAGATTTGGCGAAGATGATGTTCAATGAACAGAGCGTAGGAGTAGGATGGAGAAAGGAAGATGGCTTCAGAAGTGTTGAGGGCCCGTATTCAATGGAGATAGTATCCAGCTGCCAGGTATGCGAGGCCTAGAATGAAGGGTTTCTGGAACAGGAATGCAGGCTTGACTAACTAGTCACCATTGTCCAGGCCACTCACTGGTTTTGCTGGCCTGATGGCACCGAAATGGACGGCCGATCTTGATTTGGCGCCTGGCTATCAGGTGTCATGGCTGGATGACGGAAATGCATCACGCGGGCAAGGGCTGGATGGCGCACGATGGCGCATCAGATGAGGCCAATCGTCAGCCGTCCTCGTCTTAGAGGAAGTCATCTATCTCCGAGCCCCGACATCGGCATGGCCAGGGAAAACTGGTGAGAGAGTTACGAGTTGGAGAATACCAAGTATATGTGGAATTACATCTGGTTCAGCGAGCGGTGTATGATCATTCCCTTCTAATAGACTCCAGTTACAAGAACAACAAGCATTTGAACTTTTGCCGGGTTATGTTGTGCACCCATCACCACTACGTATCTCGGTATACACGTACATGGACGCTGTTCCTGAAGTACAGTGGTGACCAGGCACAGTGAAATCCCCACCAGAACGCCGTATCCAGGTGTCCGCAGTGTCCCAGGTTTAGGACGATTGTCACTATGTTCCATTCATTCAAAAGGTGACCTTGGTGCCGGAAAAGTCTCCGAAGCCGCCGCGGTTCGTTGTGCCACCTCGGCCACCACGAGGAGCTCCACGACCGCGACCACCTCCTCTACCACCTCGACCTCCAAAGTCACCACGGCCACCTCCACGACCACCTCGTCCTCCAAATCCCCCGCGGCCTCCACGACCGCCAAAGCCACCGCGGGCGGGAGAGTCGCCACCATTTTGCCGGCGGGACGAAGCGTAGTCAATTCGGACCGGACGATTCTTGATGAAAGAACCCTGAGCGCCCTCCAATGCAGCTTTGGCTTCGTCGACAGATGCGAATGTGACATATCCGAATCCCTTGACGGAGCCGTCTTCAGGGTTCGTGGGAATGCGGACACCGGTGGCAGTGCCGAAGGGCGAGAACAGGTTGTACACATCGTCTTCAGTGGCCTCGAAGGACAGATTTCCGAGAAACAATGTGTCGGACGGCTCACTAAGCTGGTCGCCAAAGCGCTGGCCACGGACTTGTTGCTTCTCCTTTGCATCCTTCTTCGCATTGGCATAGTCAATGTTGAGAGGGCGACCGTCCAGGTCGGTACCCTTCTTCGCATCGTAGGCCTTAGTAGCATCGGCAGCATTGACGAACTCGACGTAGCCATAACTAGATATCGTTAGTCAAGTGACCAAAACGAGAGCAGCAAACCCCTTACCCTTTAGAGCGGCCGTCGTCGCGGTTGGTGATCAAGCGCACACCGGCGATCTCACCAAACTCTTCGAACTCGGACTTGAGCCATTCCTCATCGACATTCCAGGAGAGGTTGCCGACAAAGAGATTTGCGCTCGCCTCCTTTTCCTCCCCGTCGACTCGGGTCTTCTTGGACACCGGCTCATCGGCATCTTCAGCCTTGCGCTTGGTTGGCTTCACTTCGGCCTCGTCCTCGTTTGTGGACTCTTCAGAATCGGACGATGCGTCGCTGTCTTCGTCAGAGTCGGCGTCCTCGTCACTGCTTGCCTCAGCTGCGACACCCGTTTTCGTTTTTGCAGGGGTATCTTCGTCGCTGTCGGACTCTTCGGAGCTACCATCTTCAGACTCATCATCGTCCTCAGTGGCACCCTTAGCAGCACCGTTGACAGCAGGCTTCTCGTCCTCGGAATCCTCATCACTGGCGGATTCATCACTTTCGTCGTCCTCACTATCAGAAGTAGCAGCTGCCGCCTTTCCTTTAGGTGCAGAGGTAATCACTTTGGGAGCTTCGTCTTCAGAGGAAGAAGCGTCGGTATCGGACTCGTCGCTAGAGTCATCTGTGGCAACGACTTTGACACCGTTGGCTCCGTTTGTCTTGGCCTCAGCCTCGCTATCGCTTTCTTCCTCAGAAGAGCTTCCGGAATCCTCACTGTCTTCTTCCTCAGACTCAGACTCTGGTTCGGGGGTGGGCTCCTTCACAGGAACCTTCTTGCTCTTCTTGTCATTCTTCTGAGACTTTGCGGCAACCTCTTTGGCAACTTCCTTGCTCTTCGCTTTGGTGCTCTGAGCAGGTTTTGTCACCGAGGCACCTTTGACCTTCGAGAGGACATTTGGCTTGGAGGACTTAACGGCGCTAGGCGCGGTTTTCTTTGAGACTTTCGACATGATCTATTCAACCTGGCAGGAGCTGAAGGTTAGTCCGATGCCACGAAGAGGAGATGAAGGATCGTAGACAAACTGGTAATCCGGTTGAAGTTTTCCAGGCAGATGAATTTGAGCCCTCAGCAACCACAACGAAAACTTTGTGCGGCTAAACCCTCAACCCACTAAGTGAATTTTGAGCCCTCAGATCTCACTGGTCACTTGACGGAGCAAATGAATAGCAGAAATGTGAATTTCTGCTGAACGCGCAACGGAGCGGACTTGAGTAGAACTCGACAGCAGGATGAGACAAGCAAGAACCTGCGACGAGCTTTTGTGACAACCCTCAGCGGCAACAGACCCACAGAGCCCTCGATGAACCTCGATAATGATGCCCTCGGAAAATAGCCCACGGTGCAGATATTGCAGGTAAAAGGTATGGGAGATGCAAACTGCAAAAAAGTCGTACTTTAAACCATCTGAGATCACTTCGAAATTTTTTTCGAGGCGACCGCCACTCCACTGGCACCAGTGAAAAGCTTATCTTATCAAATCCGATGGCTGGGGCCACCAGGACTGAGTTGTGCATGAATCGCTTTCTCCACAGGAGCGTATGCAATGCCATTGGCCAGCACGAATCTGGATCTAAAAGCTCATCTGGACACTATTGCAGCTCGACTTGCTTCTCGTCTTTCATTGTGCACCATGTCTACTCCAAGCCCACACAGACCGAGAAAGAAGCGAAAACAAGGCCCTGCTCTGCTTCGGAGCAACACCATCACCGACATTGTCAGAGTCGCATCTGACGACAGCGATGCCATCACCCCAGAGTTTCCGCTGGTGGCTTTCCTCTGGCCAGCTAGAGGAACTACATCTCAATGGATTCTGCTGCCTCTGATCTTGCTGGTGGTCGGTCTGTTCAGATGGAGCGTGGGTCTTTGGGGTCACTCTGGCTACATGTCACCTCCGATGTACGGGGATTTCGAGGCGCAAAGACATTGGATGGAGATCACGACACATTTACCCGTATCAAAATGGTACTTCTACGATCTCCAGTACTGGGGACTTGACTATCCACCCTTGACAGCATATCATTCATGGCTCTGTGGCAAAATGTAAGTGCCTGCGCATTGAAAGTGGGTTTCACGCTGACTATGGAAGTGGATCGTCGTTCAGTTCGGCTTGGTTTGCGCTCGACAAGTCTCGAGGCTTGGAGGAGCAGAATCTAAAAGTCTATATGCGCGCAACTGTCCTCCTATCCGAATACTTGATCTACATTCCAGCCGTGGTGATTTTCCTTCGCCATTACAGCCGGGCCTATGGCACTGGAACCACGTTCATGTCGATCGCACTGGTCGCCATTCTTATGCAACCTTCGACGATGCTTATCGACCACGGCCACTTCCAATACAATACGGTGATGCTCGGCTTCGTCATTGCGACGCTCTCAAGCATCTATGCAGGTCGGCTGCTCTGGTCTTGCATTTTCTTCGTGGCCGCTCTCGGGTTCAAGCAGATGGCGCTCTACTACTCTCCTGTCATCTTCGCTTATCTTCTGGGATCTTGTTTGACTCCGCAGATTCGCCCAGGTCGACTCGTTTCGATCTCGATCATCACCATCGTTGCATTTGCCATATTGTTTGCTCCTCTACTTCTGGGATCTCTCTATGACAGCTATCGACAGATTTCTTTCGATGCCATGCCGCCCCCTCCCTTTCTCGCGGAAAGAAGAATATCCCTCAACCCTCGCAATCCCTACGACATGATCATTCTGCAAATCAGCCAGGCCATTCATCGGGTCTTCCCCTTTGCTCGCGGTCTGTTTGAGGACAAAGTCGCCAACTTCTGGTGCTTCACGAACACTTTCTACAAGCTGCGCAAATTGCAAGCAATTGTCGACCTTCCCCGTCTCTCTGCCATCACGACGCTCGCCTCCATTTTACCGACGATGCTTGTGGTCTGCGCCGTTCCAAAGAAGACGCTGCTACCATATGCATTGGCTACCTCCGCCTGGGGCTTCTTTCTCTTCTCATTCCAAGTTCACGAGAAGTCGGTGCTTCTACCGTTATTGCCGATGACGCTTCTCATTGCCAGTAAGCATGGCCTCAGTAAAGAGTATCGAGCGTGGATTGGATGGGCAAACGCGGTTGGTGTTTGGACAATGTTCCCGTTATTGAAGAGAGATGGCCTCACGATCCCGTACATCGTGATATCGCTGCTCTGGGCCTACTTGCTTGGTCTTCCACCTACAAGCGTCAGTGCGTATTACGATGCCGCGCACGAGAACATCATCGGCCGACCACCTGCACCGGACGAACTGTCAACAATGACCAAGATCCTGCACTTCCAGACGTATGTTGTAATGGCCTTCTGGCACTTGCTTGCAGCATTCGCAACTCCGCCTGAGGATAAGCCGGATCTATGGGTTGTGGTCAACGCGTGCATCGGTGCCGGCTGTTTCGGCATCTGTTACCTGTGGTGCTTTTGGAAATTGTTATTGGAGAGCGGACTGCTAGACGGGTATTTCGAGGATCGAGCGGAGGTTGAAGAGCACGATAGCAACCCGAGTGAGTCCTTGGCTGTGCCAGATAAAAAGAAGAGCAAGTGAATTTTTTTCATCTTCGCGGGGCTCGTCGAGCCTCCTTCACCGTTGTCGAGTGCCGTCATTCGGCAGCCAAAGCAAAATGTACAAGAAGTCGTCTCTCATGCGGATAGCTTGAACCCCATGTCATCAGATACACCCCCTCTTCCGCGTTCTATGCATAATTGACCACTCCCTTCACAGCCCAGATCTCACCATTGCCCACCCTGCCGACGACACCGTCAACCACCAAATTTCCAGGTTTAATAACCCTCTCTCCGTCACCGTTGTGTTCCCACCACAGTTCCTGCCCGCCCAGAGTCTTGATCTTCTCCCCTTCCTTCCAGGGACTCAGTGGAACGACGTGCTCTTCCACGAACCTTTGAAGGTTCTGTGCCGCTTTGTCCTCGTTGTATTGGGCACTCACACCCTCGTCCCCCGGTCTGTCTTCCCAGGGCTTCCGCGGCAGAGCCTGCATTGCACTATTCAAAGGAGCCAGGAGCGTCGTGTTATCTTCGGGCTTCGTCGATTCCAGGCGGCCTGTCACGCTGGAGATGTCTCGTGTGAGGGAGGCAAAAATGTTGATTTTCCGCGTTTGAGGCAGTATGTCTGAAATTGACAGGGTATTGTCGCCAGCACCGCCGTCGCCGCCGCCGCGGCCGCCACTGGGGCTTTCTGGCTCGGCACCACCTTGTACAGGACCTGGGTTCATTGGGCTTTGATATTGGTCTGGATGGAGGGGCAGCGCTGCGGACGGCGAAGAAGGGATGCCGCGGAGGAGACTCAGCGGCGAGATGGCGACGGCGAGGGAGATTGACGAGAAGAGAGAGGCTATGAGGGTTGCGCGACGCATCTTGCTGCTCTGGCTTTTGTGTTTATCCCTGCCCGCTTGATGGGTCAAGTGTTGAGATGGCGTGTGGGTTGCCAGACAGGCGAAATGGGTGAGTGACGTCGGTGCCGAGAAACGAAGCGACCACGACCTTGTACCACCGTGCGACTTAGGTCCTACAGTAATTCACTCCAACTTCAATGTTGCACTATGTCACTTACATCTTATCTACGGCAACAGAGGAACACGAAAGAAGAATCACCCAGCGTCCCCCGCTACTCAAACCGTGCAAGGTCGTGAACAGATTTCCTCGAAAACACACCGATCAAGAAGCTTGTTGTCAAGGGGCCGTTCTCTGACCTGCCAGATCTTCACATTTCTAGAGGATAAACGAGGCGTCACGCATTCAGCCCTGATTAGCTTGTCCTTTGGAGCTGTGTGCTGTCTCAGTCGCATCTTGCTCTTCGGCCTCGTTCGCCATCCTTAGCTCCCGGCGATGATCCGGGCACCCCAAGCGTCATCGTCTTTTCACATACTCCGTATCATTGTCTGCACTTGCACTTCTGCACGTCGTATGAGTTCAGAGCAATGACTTTCACGAGCCAGATCTACGGGAGGCAGGAAGAGATCGTTTCTCGTCGGCCACCTGGTGGGGTGTTATATGTTTCATAGTATGTCAGATACATGGTAAACGAAGTCGCTCATTGTGTTGTTTGCTCAGGGTTAATTTTGGCTAGCATGTTGTGAAAATGCCACGTGGTACGGCTTATGACTCCATCAATGGTACTGATGCCTCTTGCCCCGGCTGGGGATCTTTGTATATCAGACCACTAAACGGACTCTCCTTGAGCCGGATCGCCCGTCTCTCTCGGACCCAAAGCCAGGCAGCAATGGATATGACCAATGCGGCCAAACATCCCAATCCAAGGACCACAGTCCAATACCTCGGCCTGTTCACCTCCGGCTGCCCAACTGCTTGAGCCACGTACAAGAGCATGATGCCCATCACGGGCTCAAGCGAGCCATCCATCAGTGCCATCGGCTCATGCAACGTTGTGTCGTAGTACGCGTTGATGAACCACCCATCTCCGGGTGTCGTCTCTCCGAGCATCGTGCAAGTCTCGATGCTGGAGATGTGCTCCGTGGTGCCAGCGTCGTTGACATTTGCGTACGGATTGTACGCGGCACTGGCCCCGCAACTGAGCTTGCCGTTCTTGATGAGGTTGATGTGCGTGCCCCCGTCGTGGAGATGCCCGCCCACGAAGGTGATGGTGCCTTGCTGCGTGCCCAACAGGACCGGACTCGTGTAGATGAACGTGGAGTCGCGATACGCAGGCTGATCGGACGTTCTGCAGCCTCCAACATCAAGCCAGTAGGGGATAATTGGGGAGAACCCCTGTGCGTCGCGTGCGTGGACGTATTCGTACGTGATGGTGAAGACGATGTCGTCCTGCGGCCGGTCCTGGCGCATGTTCATCAAGTCTACCGCGAGGGAGACTTCGTCCGAGGCGCCGATATAATATCCGGCTTTGAACGTGCTGGGAATGGAAAGGGCCAAGGTCAGCGCATGATCCTGTGAAAACTTGTCTCGTCTCCTGGGCGAGACGAGAAGGCAAGAGAGGCGAGGAGAGGGGAGACGAAGTGGAACACAGCTGCCACCACCACAGACTCACTTACCCGCCAGCTGAAATTTCGATCGCTGTCCTCTCATTACCCGAGGCAGCGAACCTCTGTCCCACGGCCCCGCATACGGCGTCCGTCTGGTTCCGGTTGATCAACACGCCGTGGTGCAGCCACATGCCCGTATCGGCGTCGGCGGTTCTGCCGTCCGCGTGCTCGAGACCCATGCTGAGATATGTGATGAAACAGTCCTGGCAGGGGAGAGTCGTCGCGCGGTGGAAGAACTGGGCCATGCCGTCGTTATCGGTCATCGGCGGGACCGTGACGGCGCCGTATTTGATGGTGACTCGTTGCGAGGCATGGTCGTGGAAGTATGCGGCCTTGGAGGAGATGCTTGTAGTTTCTGGGCAGACCAGGAAGACATCGTTAGTACCTAGAATGGAGTCGTCGGGGTCTGTCTGGCGAGTTGCACAGTACACGGGTACCCAGTATAGTACTGCGTATGTGTGTATGGAATATGTACATACCTGCCGGGAATGCGTTTCCGTGGCCATGTCCCCCATTCGCGGCCACAGACACGGAAAGAGACAGTAAGACTGACAAGAAAGTCACCAAGAGCGCGAACAGCGCCATGGTTCGCTGCGGGATTCAAGACTTAATGCATGAAGCTGCGACAACTCAGAATCGCTATCGCATTTGAACGATCAGCACTGGACAAGATACAGAAGGATGTAATCGAAAGATAAACGTCCGTGTTATTATGGCCGTGTCTAGGCTGACGGCAAAGTGAAACCTTGACCCATTGAACTTGGAGGAGTTCCACCGGTTCGATGCCGCGCTTCGTATCTCTGACCAGATACGAGACCAAGGAAACCCGAGGCTTCGGCACTGGGCAAATCAGATACACAGTGTCTGGTGGGCTGCGCTGGGCTAACTGGATAGACACCACGTCTGCGAGCACAACCCTAAGCCGATCTAATAATCTGGGCTCAACTGCTGGCATCTGCATTCGGGATGCGATGATGCAATGCAGGCCAGGAAGGGGACAAGATACAGGAACCTAGATGATCAGGCTCTGGGCATATGCTTACAGCAGTACTTTGACCGTTAGATCTCTTCTGGGTGCTGTGCGGCACAGAATTCATTCCCGTAGCATACGCGGGACGACATCGTTAACCATCAATCCATTTCTCTGCAAGCAGGCCATCTTCGAGAGCACCAGAAGGCCTTCCAGCAGTCCTTTGGGCAATTGCATCCTGGAAGCTCGTCGGCTGCATCGGACTTCATTCGCGATATGGCGACCTGACAGGGGACAGATCAGGCATCCGCCATTCCTGCTACCCCGTATCATGGATCATGCAGCACAGGAAATAGTCCAGTTCCTCGTCCATTCATGCTCTGCATAGATGTGGTCGACGACAAGCCAGCCGCATGACTGTTTGTCATAGATCAAGCAGAGCTCGGTTACCCGACCACTGGGCCGGAAATGTAGCGTTTCGCTTCCCCCCTTCAGACACGCAAGCCAGGTGGCTTGGGACAAGGAGCTTGCAGGAGGAAATGTTTCTGCCTGCTGTTCGCGAATTGAGCAAATTGACCTGTACAGGGTAGCATACCCTCAAATACAAGTTGCGCGGCATCAGGCACTCCCTCTCATTGCCACCCGGTCAGTGATCACCCCCCGAGACAGCCCAACATTGCAGCCTACTTCAGCCGTCGGAGCTAAGAAGCCAGTCCACAATGTATGACCTAGCGACCAAAGGTTTGCCCCATCTCTTCTCGCCCATACTTGGGCTGCCCGAGCAAAGTAGCTGATAACGGCAAGGTTGTCCACCATATGAAGGCCCGGCCGTGACAGGCAGCCGTGCTTCACCATACATGTCGGTATAGTCCCGGTCGCCGTGCATCATATTTTCTGACCTGTCGTCGAAGGGAGTACCAGAGTCCTGCTCCGCCAGCCAGGGTTGTGTACAAAACCGAGGTTATCGCAGCCGCCCAGCCGCAGCTTCACCCGAATCCAACTCCGATCCATGATCTTGGACACGTTGAGGCCTTAGTGGACTGCCCATATTGTGGCATAAGAGGCAAGACGAAGACAAACTTGACAAGCGGTAACATGAACCAGTCAGTGGGCGCTCTCTTGGCAATCAACACCCGATACTAATGTCCTTTGGCGTAGTGCATGGGCGGGCTGCTTGTTTGTCACCACAATTGTATTCACCTTTGCCCCATACATGTGTAGCAGCCTGAAGAATGTCGAGCACCGATGCAGGAGCTGCGGAAAGAGGCTTGCGATCTGGCATCGTAGTGGACATACACAGCTCAAGTAGGAGGATCGCTTCCAATGCTGAGATGGTATGCCCGAGGATGGAGCACCATTGAGAATCTGAGATCCTTCCCCTCCTGCGTTCACCAAAGATTCTTAGCGTCGGGTCCAGTGTCATTGTAAGCCGGAATTTAAGAAAGACTCCCAGTCCTGGTCCAGGCTTGCCATGACATCCAGCGAGTCCGGTATTGCCTACAACTCATTTGAGTCCAATCCATCGCGTAGTCGAAGTTGTACTGTCCTTGTCAGGGAATGTTCTTTTTCCTCCCTCTCCGAGTTCCTGAAAGCCTCCGCCCAGGCCGGCACTGATCTGAAGCATCCTCTCCTATATCCAGAGGGTCCAGTGTAATCTGCTGCCAGCCGGCCGAAGTAAAATTGGAAGCTTCGGCTTCTCTCTGGGAAGATACTCGAAGGACGTCAAAGTCGGGGACACGGTTGGCGAGTGGGATTGAAGGGTCCCGCAGCCTGTTCAGTAGATATTCGTCTTCGAAGAGTTGGATGCTCAAGTTGCCAAGGTTGGCCTTGTATTGCTCGATCTTTCGGCCGGCAATAATTGGAGACACATATGGAGCCTGTAACTGTCATCGATATCCCATCGCCCACGTAGCGGCTCTTACCTTAGATGCAGCGTACCTGAGTGCAAACTCCGTGTCATTCGCGCCCTTTTTCTCCGCAACACGTCCCAAAGCCGCTGGTTGCCGAGTTTGGTCTTTGGTGGTGGTGCAACGAGGTTAGACATTCTAGGTGGTTGAGGGAAAGCGATGCCCAACTTGTCTCGAGAAAGGGAGTAGCATAAAATAGCCGCTCAGCCCAGGTTTGCCTTTGATCTTTTGGATCTCCTGCGTTGTAGACGTGGTTGCGGCGTATCGGCGCAGACACCTGGGCACAGGGTACGGACCGCTTTCGCTCCGCGACAAATCCATTGGCGAAGGCACGATGGTGCAACGCTATGGAAAACCTCACCGCAGGAGCAGGTAGAAAAACAGCCACAGGAGTGCGATCTTTCATCGCGACCAGGAATGACTGGGGCCGGCAGACTTTTGGTCGTGGTCAGAGAGTAGTTGTGACGTGGAGAGAATGTGCTGGGTGAATGAGAGGTGAGTTGCAGGTGAGTGCAGCGTCAATCGCCAGTACGTCGCTCCGGTTGCGCATTGCTTAAGCGGCACGTAGAGCTCTTTCAAAGTCGAGTGATTTCACCGCTATCGTGAGATAAGATCTTAACGGGTGCGGAAATCGAGTCTTGTCTTCCAGTTCTCATGTCGGCTCCCCTGCCTCAAAAGCCGGTGAGAGAGGCGATTGAGAAATCACTGTTTATCGATAACCACTATCGCTCGCTCGCTTGCGGCCCGGAATTGGATCTGGCAGCCAGTCAAACGAGTCAAGCCACGCTCGGCAAACTCAGTCTGGGCCGCCAAGCTGAAAACCACATGGCGAGGCGGCGCTGGGGGCCGAGTCTGGCTTTGTTTAATTTCCACCTCTCCTCCTCGTGGTCTCGACCTTCGCCATCATCTCGGCCGTTCGAGGCTCGGGCACCGGGATTTGCTGTTGCAGATGGTTGTATATTGGGTAGAGTATATTTTGCCCATCAGAAATCTCGTCAGAGGCAGTATGATTCATGACGTTGCTTCGTCCAAGCAGTGGCTGCTTCCAAGGTAAGCGACTCGGTTGATCGATGCATGGCTTGGGGCAGCCCCAGTCTCGCGAAGCTGCCACGAGTGTGGCGTCGCTGAACGATGGAAGCCCTGAACGGCTTTTGTGGGGATTTTCGGAACAGGACGACTCCACCGCAAGCCTCGTCCTCCAGATGTCTAGCCTGGTGGAGTTGACGTTCAATAGTCAAACGACAGAGTTCTGCTTGTCATGACCACGCGAGATATCGGTGGACGCCAGCGAGACGACAGCACGGAGGCGCCGAGAACAAGGTACGGATGCGTTCTTAGTGTGAGCGCCCCTCAAAAGGAGTAGGTATATTTCTCTCCACGAAGGTGAGTCCCTACTATCTGCTTCTCCTCCGAGCGCACAGTCGCAGCTGCAACAGTCATGGACCAAGCAGCAACCTTCTCGAGCGGCACGGGCGCAACCATCGCGTCAGTCTTCCAACACTGGCAGCAAAGGGCGGCCCGTCAAAGAGGCGTCCAACCTCTATCGGATGAGCTGCCAAAAGACCCCAAGGGTGTAAACATTCAGATCTCCGAGCTACAGCCCGCCCATCTAAATGGAAGTACTCCCTCTACGCCACGGACGCCCAATAAACCATTCTCCGAACCGCAGTTACGGAGGTGGCCTCATGAACCACAGCCGATCATCAACGACCCCTTTGTGGAGAGATGCCTTGACGCGGTCGATGTCATAATATGTCTGCTTCCATGCATCCTCATCATGAAGGCTGGACTGTGCGTCCTTGCACACGAGATCGACAAAACGCACGTTGGGCCCTCGATCGACAAGGCCAGCCAACTCACCCTGCGTCTGATCGAGTTCAATAGCCAACTCACCACAATCTTCACCATCATATTCATCGTGATCGTCTCTACAACCGTGAGGCGGTACGCGCTATGGAAGGCCGAGAAAGGAGCCACGATCGGAGAGATCGAGCAACTGCACGCGTCGATAAGCCTGACAGCGACGCTCAAGGCCATCTGGTCGCTCAGGAGGTTTACCTTTACCGGCCTTGCACTGATCTTCGTCTGGTCTTGGTATTACGTTGGGTCACAGGCAACAACGAGGGAGTATTCGTACCGCGACTCTGACAGCCACACGACGCAGTTAGTTGCATTCCTCGACTCGAAAGCGGTATCTCCATTTAGCGGCGATGAGATCAACAAACAGCATACCTCGCCCGTCAAGACTACCGACATGACGGCTCGGTACCATATGTACAGCTCTTTCACTGCGGGGACTCAGAAGACAAATGTTCAGGGCGCGAAGTCAGTACAAGGCGCCGACATCTACGGGGCAACGCTCACTCCCTGGTACGGGCCTCCCCGCGGCTCTCCGGACGGCTGGAGGAACCTCGACTTCGACGACGACAACTGGCTCGAGATATCACACATGTCGGACCAACCTGTCATGTCCTCCATCGGGACATCATTGTACTGGCGCAATCTCTCAGCCTCGGAACCCGACGTGTGGACGCCGCAGAAGATGGTCGGCTCCTTCTACTATGAGGTGTCGAACTTCCAAGCCAACTGCACGGCGCCCTTCCTGTCAACCAAGGAAAAGCCAAGAGGCGCCGTGGCCGGGTTGTCAACGACCATGAACATGACTGCCATGGGCCCCGACTCTACTAAGCCCCGCGAACTCTACTTCTGGCACTGGGTCAACGACACGCACAGCCTGACCTCAACATGCGAGATGACCAACGTAACACTGCAGATTGACGCCTTGTGCACAGCCGCGACCTGCAAACCGACGCGGGTGAGACACATCTCCACCTCGCCTCGTACGTTGCTCGACTCCGACGTCTTCGCCACATCGTTTTTCAACTCCATGCTCCTCGCTTGCGGCATGCCCCAGCACGAAGGCGACTTCTCGACCTTTGACAACGACAACGGACTCGTCGACCTGAAGAACCAGCTTGAAGAGAATGAACTCCACGATCCGGCGACCCTGGCCACTGCGCAGGCCGAGGCCCAGTTCCCACTATCCATGGCCATCACAAGATTCATGAACACGTATTTCCGATCCTCCCAAATGCTTCGTTACGAGCATGATATCCAGAACGACCTGTCTGTCAGCGGGTCGATCGAGCTGAACGACAACCCGGACTTCGCCTTTCTGGCCATGAACGGTGCCATTTACAATCCGCAGTACTGGCTCTCGTGGCCGTGGCTGGCCATGGACATTGTCTCCAACCTCGTGCTCCTCGTGGCGGCCATCTGCGCCTTCTGGCTGCGAAAGCATACCCTCGCGCCGGATATCTTTGGGTTTGTTTCCAGCCTGACGAGGGACAATCCGCACTTGCATCTGCCGGAAGGGGGCAGTACCCTGAGCGGTGTTGAACGCAGCAGGGCGATGACTCTGGTAAAGGTGAAGATCGCGGATGTCGGCGAGGACGCCAACGTGGGGCGAGTCGCACTGACACGGATCGATGGATCCGAACAGGTCAAAGATCTGGAGAAGGGCAAGACATACTACTGATAAAATAGAAGTTCGGTAGATGTCCGCTTCTGAGAAGGACATGCTTTCCATCCACAGTGAATCAGATATCACGATGCTGAGAAAAGAGAGATTCCGGTAAACGTCCCCTTCTGAGAAGGACAAGTTTTCCATCCACGGTGAATCAGACAGATATTACGATACATTAACGGCCCTATCAGTTTCTCAATTTCTCAATTTCTCATCTACTCCCAAGTCTCCCTCATCCGTTTTTCTACCTCGTCTACTCTACCTTATCGTGAATCCGCCGTCAACCCTAACATCACTCCCGTTAATCATACCGCTCTCGTCCCTGCACAGGAACTCAATCGCTGCGGCCACCTCGTCCGGCACGGCGAACCGCCCCGTCGGAATCTCACTCAGATGCCTGGCCTTCTTCTCCTCGTCCGCCCACGCCTTGGCGGCCAACGGCGTCCACGTCACCGTTGGAGACACCGTGTTGGAGGTGATGCCCTTGCGTCCCCACTCGCTGGCCTGACACCGCGTCAGGCCGAGCAGGCCGGCCTTGGACGCGCAGTACGCGCCGTGCCCGTCGAGCGCGACATGCGCCGCCTGGGACGCGATGGAAACGATGCGGCCTGGCGGCGGCTGTGATGGTGGTGGTCGTTGCACGTCGCCCGTCTCCTTCTTCCCGGCCAGCTCGGCGGCCCGGCGTTGATAGAGGTGAAAAAAGGCGTTACTGCAGTTCAGCGGGCCGAGCAGATTGGGCAAAAAATTCTTCAATGCTTCCTCGGCCGACGTCTCTTCGAGCGGTTGGACGGACACGTAGCCAGCGGCATTGACCAGGATGCTGGGAAAAGCGTCCGTTTTCAAGGCACCGATGCCGTTGAAGAAGACATCCTTGACCGAGGCTTCAGACGTGATGTCGGTCTCGAACGTATACACACCCTCGGGAGACTCCTTGCCGAAGACTCGCTTCACGGTCTCTGCGACGCGGTCGCGCTCGAACGGGGCGTACAGGAGCACCACCTCCGCGCCGTGAGAGTGTAATCGGCGTGCCGTCGTAGATCCCAGGCCACCTGTTTCGCACCTGTGAGCATGCTGGGCAAAAGACGGACGTTCTGCTGGCAAGCAGGTCGGATCGGATATGGGAGCTGGACTTTCCTTACCAATACCGCCGCCTATCACCGCCAGGCGTCCGGAGTATTGATGTGCCATTGGTGCACAGAGTCGATGGAGATGACCCTCAAAGGGGCTCAGTCTCGATATTGGCGGACTTTTGAAGATTTTATCTTCGTTCAGAACGCACGTCACTTCCCCGCATAGAATTATTCATTCTGATGATTCCCACCCCGATCCGCACCGGGATTCGACCGTCTGTGGTCCGACGCCAGCCCAGATGAGCGGATTGCCGGGACAGGTAAACCGAAGATGTGGACAACCTGACAGTGGCTCTACACTGGAAATGATTGGGTTGAGGTTCTTGGACAGAATGCCAGGGTGGATCAATCTCATGTCATTAATTTAGCGCCGATATATACCTGATACTTGCAAGCACACAGCTGGGCTCTCTGTACGTTGAGTCTTGCCGCCTCTGTTCTCCACAAAGCTAAGTACATAGCTCGCTACAACAACGCGTGGACAAAACACAGTCGTACCTCAAACCGATCCATTTGCTCGCTCCCAACAAAGACTGGACGAGCACCGAGACGATTGTAGTGGACACCCAAGACGGGCCCGTCCAATGCGGATGCCTCGGTGAGATCAAAATCCAAATGGATTCGCAGCAGCTAGTTTTTGTCAGTATCACATCATCAGCTTCCAGTGTAGAGAAGCTCAGACTTACATGCATTGGCAAGGTTTGCCCGTCTCCCAGTAGGCTGAGGCACCAATTTCTTTGGCTGGCTGCCGAATTTCACGTCAGGAGCAGGACCAGTCTTTTGTGGCTGTAGCGGCGCCAGTGTCGGCAACTGGGGCATCGGCGGCAAAGATGGAACAGGCGGCACCGGTGACTGCTGAAAGTTTCCAAATCCATTCGGCTGAGGCGGCTGTCCAAAGCCGGTGGCTTGTTGTTGAAGTGGCTGCGGTTGAAAAGATGTCATCTGGGGTTGGAATGCCTGTGGTTGAGGGAAGCCGGTCTGTTGTGGCTGAATGCCTTGTCCGAAACCATTTAGCTGCGGTTGAGGAGGTGGCGACCCAAATCCCGTCCTTTGCGGCTGAAGTGCGGGTGGCAGAATGGAATTTATGCCACCGGGTGGTGGACTTTGCGGAAACCCAGTGGGCTGGGGTTGGAAAGACGGACGAGGATCTGCGAAAGGACTTCCTGCCGCATTTCCATTGAGATAAGGTTGTTGGAACTGGCCGAATTGCTGTGGTTGTTGGAAACCTGTGGGCTGAGGGGCAAGACCGAATGGTCCCACGCCCTGCGCTGGCTGAGCAAACCCGGTGGGTTGTGACTGTAGCTGCAACTGCTGGAATTGTTGCTGCAGTCGTTGTTGAGACAAGTCATTCAAGCTCTGACCTGTAGGTGCCTGCAGAGGTGCCGCGGATGGGAAGCCCGTCAGCTGAGGCTGTAGCGGCCGAAGACCGAACTGGTTCTGGTTCGGATTCTGAGGAGCAGAAAGTGGTCGAGGCGGAGGGGAAAGAAGGGCAAGGCCAGTGGACGTCTGCTGAGGGGGCAATGGTCGCTGTCTGGGTACATTGAGTGGAGGTTGAGCTTGAAAAGCAGTTACTTGAGGCTGCAGCTGCACCTGAGGTACAGGCTGCGGCTGCGGCTGGAAGCCAGTTTGCTGTGGGGGCAGTTGCTGTGGGATTTGCGAAAAGAAAGCCGGATTAGCGCCTGTCTGTTGAGCTTGCTGTACAGGTGCCGACGGAGCAGGAGTAGGAACCTGTTGTGGTTGAGGGGGCGGTTGGAACTGCGCCGGTGGCTGCTGGACCGGTGCTGGCATTGGTTGCAGCGGAGCCGGTAATGGTCCATCCAACAACGCCGTCAAGTCTCTCGCTGCCCCCGTCGGTTGCTTAGACATCGGAGGTGCTGCAGGAGCAACCGCTGATTGCGATGCTGCGGACGCCGCGCGAGGGCGGGCTGGTTGGGATGGAGCCTTGACTGTCCAGGCGTCGTCATCGAAGCCGCTCTGGACTGGTTCTCTTGGAGCAGCCTGGGTGAGTGGCGTGGCTTTGGCTTCAGGAGGGGGGACTTTCTTCTCTTCCTTCGTAGCAAATGCATCCGCATCAACAGTGTCGCTCGTCGTCCGGGTAGCCTCCGGTCTGCCCCTGCGCGTGTTGTTACGAAGCTCTCCACCCGCCCCAGAGAACAGTCCTCCTTGTGCCTGTTCGCCATTGGTTCCAGCGCCGTTCGTGCTGGGAGCCCTGACTCGACCGAACTTCTGATCCAAAAACTTCATAATCTTCAGGATATCGCCCTCTTTGATACCTAAGGTCCGCAGCGTTTCCGCCGTTATGTCGGGCAGGACGGACTCGTCCATAGAATCTCGAATCATGGCTTGAGAGTACCGCTCGCATTGATGAGGACCAACACCAGCCTTGAGGAAGAAATCAAACCAATCATAATCGGGGACTTTGGGCTGTTCTAGAGCCTTGGTTTGCAGGCTGGCTCCGCTTCGAGAGGACTGGGATGCCTCTTGGCTCCGGCGTTTCATCTTGATCAGATCAGCCACTGGAATGTGCTCTTCGATCGATTCGTTCGTTACCTTTTCAATGTATTCAAGGTCTTCTGGCGACATTTTCGTTACAGGAACGGCGATTTTGACGCCATTGACCTTGTGCAGGTGAATCTTCCCGTCCGCAACCGCCAAAAACTGAGCTTCAACTTTGAATGTGCCAGAATGGTCCGTCCAGGTCCTGACTTTAGCAGTGTCTGGCTTAGACCGGCTCTTCTTGCGATCATCCCTGTCTCTCCGATCCCTTCGATGCTGTGGCTGGTCGTCGGCGAGACTGCTCCCACGTTTAGGGATTTCGCTGCGAGATCTGGCGGCTTCTGCTTCTTGACGAGCTCTGTCAGCCCTCGCCGCCTCCTTTGCCAGCCTCTCTTCCTCGAGACGATTCTGTTCAACCACAGACAGGCCTGCGTTCAGCCCTGAACGCGATGGCGGCTCAATCGTCGCGAATCCCGTAATCTCGATGTAGCTGCTGGGGACAACACCTTCTTCGCCGTTCTTGAGGCGCCGAACATTCCACCACTCTTCGGATTTTGTATCATCCAGAACGATGACCTCATCTCCCACAGCAACTGTGACCTCGTCATCACCTTGAGCCATGAAGTCGTAGAGCACTTGTCCCTTCTTGTGACTGCCGCCACCGCTAGCGGCGGTGATCACCTCCCGGAGACCTTCCGATCGCTGGGCGCCGGCAATTTCACCCAATGCCGAAACAATCTCCTGCGCAGTATCCTTTGCGCCGGCATGTAGATCTAAACTCTTGCTCGGCCTGACCAGTTCGATAAAGACGTGCTTGCCTTCGATTGAATAATGGGTCATCTTGTCTGCGGTCCATTCCTGCTGAGGCCCATCTCTTGACTTTTCTGGAGCGATCATTATTGTGCCCGTGGCGATATTGATACCCAGAGTCGTCGGCATCTTCTTCCTCCTTCCCATGGCCGAGACCATTTCGCTAATGTTGTACAAGTGGTACCCACCAGGCGAGCGTAGTTGGCTTGCTTCATCTTCTAGCGGCGGTACAGCTCTATTGTACGGTGGAGAAGGAAGAGGCCCTTGTGAATGTTCTTGCGATGTAGGTCTGCGCGGGAGCGCTGGTGCAGGCTCATCCTCTTCCGATGCCTCTGGAGTAAACTGCTGGCGAGGAGCCGGTGGCGGGGAGGAAATTGTTCGAGCGGCGATAGGTGACGTGGGGGCTCCTCCGCCCAGCACGCGGGCCAGGTTGGCGGCAGGACTGTGAATTGATCTCGCCGGAGACGCCGGGCTGGCAGGGGCATCAGCTTCAGCCCCTGTCGGATTCGAGTATCCCCGCGATCGAACGGAAGGGGAGCGCGGAGGAAGGCCCGGGGCAGCAGGAGCCGCGCTCGAGAGCTCGATGTAGTTCGCTGGTACGAAGCCATAGTCATCGCCCACACCGACCAAGGTCCAGTCCGGGTCGGAGACATCGTATACCTTCAGTTCGGCATCCTCGGTGAAAGACACTTCCTCGTCCGTCTGCCGAGAGTAGTCGTAGAGAGCTTTGGCGGTATTGATGGGCTTCGCGTCTTCGACATAGTTGTTCGGGATCAGACCTTCGGGCTCGTCATCATCATCGGCAGCAGCTTTCTTCTTGGCCTTCCACCAGTCATCTTCAGTGCTCTTTTCGAGAATGTAGAGTAGCTCTCCCTCCTTTATTTCTAGCTCGCCTGCACTCTGTGGGTGGTAATCATAAACGGCGGTGCATATTGCGACGAAGCCCATAGTGGGTGGAGGAACCGGCTGAGGCCAAGGGCAGAGGCAGTTACGACAGGCAAATGGAGGAATATGCCATCAAAGTGAGGTGTGTTGATCCGGAGTAAATGGGAGAGGAAGAGGGTCGCTGGCTCTCGGGTTTCACCTCCAAGGCTAAGCGAAGGGTAAGATGGCTGCTAGCGGGTGCTGAGATGTGAGAGGCGAGAGGCGAAAGACGAGAGGTGACGCGGTTCGTCAAAATGACTGTAGTTGTGCCTTCTCACTGAAGCTCAAAGTGATCACTTTACACAGAAGTCAGGGCTGGAACAGCAAATGGAGAAACATATGGTGATTTGTCACGGGGGCTAGGTTGTCGTCCGAGGAATCGAAGTGTTCACGATGCTCGATTCAGATCCAAGGAACCTGCCCGGCGCAACTGGGTGCCAAGCCAGCCGGCCGCTTTCTTCAAGATGCTCGTGCTCCCTGTAATAGTGTCTCCTCCAGACACGAATGCTTACATCAACATGCATGGGACACCGTTGCTCGTTCCGCTACTCGTATTAGCTGCATGTACTTCCGGTAGCCCCTGCTTGCACGACACCAAGTACTGTATCTGTGCTTTGCTGGTCCCAGTCACTCTGGGCTCGGGGGATAAAAGCACTCTATATTCATTCAAATGCCCTCCGCGTATTCCTCTTGACTACCCGTAGCATCGTTACCTTCGTCAGGAGCACCTTTGTCGCCCGCATCTTGATGCGCACCGTTCTCGTCTTCTTCTTCATCGTCGTCGTTTGAGACCACCCCTCTAAGCTGGATATGCCCGTTCACGTCATCCAGGCGTTCAATCTTCCAATCTTTACCCGCCGCGAGTTTCTGGAGCTCCTTTTGAAAGGCATCAATGTCCTCTTGGCTCAAATCTAGTTTCTTGAGCTGCGCCTTGGACATGCCCGAGATCTGGCCATTCTTCTGCATGATGACCGTCTCAGCCTTTTCATCTTGTGTCAGAACGATACGCCCTCTCTCCAGTCTCTTGCCTTCGCGGCCGACCAGCTTCATAGCGCCAACCTCTATCCCTCCAAGTACAATCTGCTGGGACTGGCCTTGATCGATTCTCTGCTGAATGACTTTCTCAGCATCCCGACGTGCTTGCCAATCACCAATTTCGTTTTCGGGGACAATCTCGCGGCAGGTGATGGAGTGGGCACGGCTCTCTTTAGGCGGTTGGAACGCGACATCATTGCACAATCGCGGAGTGTAGATGATCATCATGTAGGCACAGGTGGCAGTCTCCTTTATCCAGCCAATTCGGTCCGTGAGTTGCGGGTTGCAATGAAACTGCACCTCGATCTTGCGGTCATTTCCCGTCAGATCGCAGGGCGTGCCACCAGTCAGACGCTGTACAAGGTAGTTGGTTTCTGCTTTTGATTTGACTTCGGTGGAGAGAGCATTATCCGAGGTCGGCTGTGTCTTCGCATCCGACGGTTTTGGCGTCTCAAATTTTCCCAAGATGTAGCTGGGTGTGGTTGGATCTTCTTGCGGAGGCCACACCCGTCCATTTGTACCCGGCGGAAGCGCATGAAATTGTGTCACTTGGGAGTTGTAGCAGAACGAGTATGTCCACCAACCAGTCGAGTAGTAGAGGCACTGGTTTGAAGCCATCCCTTGCAGCAACTGAGATGCTCTGTCTACCGCTCGACTCAACTCGTTCTCGCGATCTTCCGCAGATGGCTCAGGGGTGGTGCCATTCGCACCAGCCGGTTTGGCTTCGGGGATAAAGCACAGATGGGGGTAGCCATGTAGTAGGAGGCGCTCGTACGATCCTAATTGACCAGCGTCTTCTCCTACAAGGCCATCATGGGAATCTGGGTTGATACTTGAGGAGACATCGCTGCGAAGCGGCTGAGGCGCTTCTGGCCCGTTGGTCGCCTTGGATTCGAGGAGGGATATCGCTTCGGCTTCAGGGATGTACAGGTCTGTGAATTCTATGTTGTACTGCGACTGTCAGTAGGATCTCGCTATCAGGAGAGCGCGAAGCTAGCGTACCTGGGGGAAAGCAAATAGATCATCGTTGACGCTGAAGACGGTCTCGCTAGAGCGGCACAGAGCAGCAAGTAGCAATACCACACCCCCAAGGACGCGCAGACTCCCCATTCCTTCGAGACCGATCAATCATATTATCGTGGCCGGCATCTACAGTGTACTCAGAAGGACACGCTGGAGGAGTGACAGCCAGTCTTGGCCGCGCCGTGAACTCGGCGTAACTTCGGGAGCTTTTATATGGAAATATCTGATCTAGAACATGGTACCGAGTATACTTTTCCTTTATTACCTAGGTCTACAATGATTCCATCTCTTATCGGATATGGATTGACGACGAAAATCCAAGCAACGCTGGAGGTGTCAGTGCTAATGATTCGCGTGACAGCAGGGTCGCGTCGCACAGTTGGCAGCTCATAAGCAGACCATATGTTGAAATCCTAGGAAGCCAGTCGACAAGACTGATTAAGTCACCGTTGCCTTGCTGCTGGCCGAGATCAACCGGCATATCGCCCTTTGCAGCTGGAGCGAACGCCTCCGCAAAGCGAATCACGGTTCCAGGACGCACATCCCATCGAAATCTTACAGACTCGGGGATGGTCTGGAGTGCCGGATAGGCGCTCACCACTGTTTCTTGGTATTCGTCATTCATCATATCAAAGTACACATTGCCCATTGATGACTCCATCTCGGACTGCGCCGATGCCTTGTTGAGCAATGGGGAATGCTTACAGATGCCCTGGGCTCCATAGCCCCAGTTATCCCGCCAGTCTGAATGTCGGCGGTTACACACTCGACCTGGGAAAGGCGGTGCTGTGGTCTTGACAAACCCGCAGAGCCCCCAGGCGGCTCACTAAGACATACTCCCTTTAGCCGTTGTTCTACCACCAAGACCAGGTTGAACGTGAGCCGGTTGACCAAGAAGCAGTTCCAGCTACAGCCGGCATAACGTGCATCTGCCCAATGTTGGCAGCAAGTCAAGAGCCGGGTCTTTGTTCTTGCCGTAGAGGACGGGCCGGCTGTCTTGGTGGCTGGGAAGGAGGAAGGACGATCCTTCCGGACTGTTCCTTCAAATTGGCGGTGCTGCATGTCTGAAAGTCGGTATTAGGAAGCAAAGAGCCGTCACGGGCTTTGGCGTAGTTCAATCTCGAAACAACGCAGCGCCACCAACGCTTACAAAAGGCAACTGAATAGATCCAGTGAACACATTTGGTCTGTTCACTCACCTAATGACCATCTCTCGCTGCGCGTGCTGCTAGTCTATGAATTTGCTGTCGTGGTTTTAGAACGCGTTTCCAATTTCGGTGGCTTCCTTCGAGTGGTAGACTGGCTAGACTGTGAAGGGGTTCCTGTTGATCTGGTCTCTAGCTTCTTCGGCTTCTTCCTGGGCGCCTTTTCATCTGCATTTGGTGGAGACTGTGATTTCGAGGTCTGACTGAGTGCTTCTGGACGTACAGCTTGAGGCTTTGAGGGGACTTCGGATCTTGAAGTCGTCTGCGGCTTTGAAGGCGCCTCAGGCTTTGCTGATGCTTTCGGTTGCTGGCTCTGTGGTGATGCTGTTGAGGTCTTTGACTTGTTTCCAGCTGAGGTAGCGTTATTCCCTTTGGATTGTCCCCCTAGTCCTGGTATGGACGGCATCGAAGGCATTGAGGGCTTTTTCGGCATGGATGGCATACTGGGAATGTAGCTTGTCAAATCCGTAGCCCATTGCTGGTAGTCCTCCTGACGTCGACCTCCGTTATCGGCTCGCATCTCCTCCAATTCTTCTTGAGTGGGAGCCTTTGTCTGCTGCGCGCCCATCACCATCTTCTCCAGCGCCTTCTTCTGGCTTGACGTAGCTTCCCAGCTCGGAAAATCTCCCACAATACTCCTTACGCCCTGACTTGCCATCTGGCCCAAATCCCAGAACGGACCACTGATGGCACCGTATGCAGAACCAATCCCTCCACCCAGTAAAGCGCCCGCCGAAGACACTACACCGCCTACCAGTGCGCCGGTCAATTTCCCTAGTGTGACACCGGGTTGGACGCCGAGGCCAGCACCGGCTGCAAGGCCCTGAAACGCGCCGGAGCGAGTATATTTCGCGGCCTTGCCAAATGATTCGGCCTCGACCTCCTTGTTGATGGCTTTGGCCAGGATTTCTTCGCGGGCATTGGGATCCCCGGCGCCATATGCTGCTTGACGGAGTTCATAAGCCTTTTTGGCGGCTTCCAGGGCGAGCTGGGCGCTCACGGACGAGCTTTGTTTCACTTCATGCTCCGGGATGGCTGGTTCGGTCGCAGGGGTTGGAGATGTATTGTTGCCTTTGGGTTTGGGAGCACTCTGTGGTTGTTGCTGTTGCTGTGGCGTCTGTGTTTGCGGCTTCTGCTGTGGCGTCTGGGGTTGCGGGTTCTTCTGCGATGTTCGCGGTGGCAGCTTCTTGGGTGGCATCGCAGCAGACGACTCTGGGTAAATTTTGGTGCTGTGAAATTAAATCGTCCGTCCGAATGCGCACCTTTGATCAAATTCTGTATGATGGCTTTTCATACCAGGCCCACCTTGAAGAAGATCCGGTGACCAGTGTGTATGCACCCATACGTCACTGTTACTCGTAATCGCCGGGTGGGTGCCGCCGGTTGATGGGCGATACCACAGCGGTTGGCTCAGCACGCCTGTCATCCTTGACGGGGATGAGTACAACGGTGAGGGGAAAAGTGAGTGGATGGCAGCGGCACGGGCCGGGCTGATTGCCAGTTTGCGCATGGGCACGGGAAAGGACTTACTATCTTCCGTTGCCAAGCGCGCCCCTCGAGGCAAGGGTGTGGCATTTCACTTTCGATTCTCGCCTCGTCCAGCGTTGTAAGGCTCCCGTTCAGTTTGCTTTCTAGCGCAGTGGTTAATTCGAAAGCAGTCTGCAAACATTGCTCTTCATTACTCCTATCTCGCGATCATGGCTAATAGCTCATCCACCTTCTCGCTCGCTGGCAAGGGCCTCAAGATCGACACCAAAGAAGATCTCGAAAAGCATATTGAGCCACTCACATCTTCCTCCACAAAGACCACCCACATCGATCTCTCGGGAAACACGTTAGGAGTATCGGCCTGTGCCGCGCTTGCGCCCATACTTTCCTCACAATCTGCGCTGGAGTCCGCCGACCTGCATGATATCTTCACATCCCGCCTCCTCGAAGAAATCCCTCCGGCACTAGACTCACTTCTCACTGCACTCCTTGACTGTCCGAACCTGCACACGATAGACCTCAGTGACAATGCATTCGGCCTCAACACGAAAGATCCCCTCGTGGATTTCCTCTCGAAACATACTCCACTTAAACACTTGATCCTGAATAACAATGGCATGGGTCCGATTGCGGGCACAGCCATCGCCGAGGCACTATGCAAACTGGCCGAGAGGAAGGAGGCTGCACGAAAAGAAGGAAAGGATGTCCCATACCTGGAGAGTATTGTCTGCGGGAGGAATCGACTGGAGAACGGAAGCATGGCTGCATGGGCCAAGGCTTACGAGGCGCACAAGGTCGGCATCAAGAGCGTGAAGATGACGCAGAACGGCATTCGACCTGAAGGCATCTCACATTTAATCACTTCCGGTCTATCGAAATGCGAAAACCTCGAGATCTTCGATTTGCAGGACAACACGTTTACGATCAAGGGCGCTCAGGCACTGGCAAGAGCAGTTCATGGATGGTCAAGTCTCAAAGAGCTCGGTGTTGGTGATGACCTTCTCGGCGCTCGAGGATCCATCAAGGTCTTTGAAGCCCTTGCGAGTGGGAACAACAAGGATGTCGAAGTTCTCCGGTTGGCATATAACGACATCACTCCAGCTGGTGTCAAGGCGTTACTGCAGGCTGCCAAGGATGGTCTTCCCAAACTCCGGCGTATCGAATTGAACGGCAACAAGTTTGAGGAGGACGACGAAAGCATCGAAGAATTGGCGGCACTTCTGAGCGGAAGGAAGGACGAGAACGCCAAGGACGATGACCCGGACGACCATTGGGGGCTGGACGAACTCGATGAGCTTGAAGGCGAGGACGAAGACGAGGAAGAAGACGAAGCTGAAGAGGAGGAGGAGGATGAAGAGGAGGTCCGAGAAAGCGTGTTAAAAGACGCGGACCAGGCAGAAAATGCTACGGTGAGCCAGAAGAAGGATGCCGATGTCGATGACTTAGCTTCTGCTCTTGAGAAGACGCATGTATAATGGTAGGCAAGGGAATATGGGGCAACAGCGGGTGTTGGTTAGGATTCCGTGTTGATTCATTGACTTGCGTGGTAGCATAGCAGAGCCAAGGAAAGACGATACCCCTGTAGACCAGTGTCACATTATCAATGCAAGAAGTCCACTGCAAAAATCTAGTTGCCTTAAGAGTCTTTAGCAATTACTCGTCGGCTATGCGGATATGCCTTGATCGTGTATCTTTCATCTAGAAATCTGATGCCCGCATGCTCGAAAACGTGTCGACCCAGCATTGCCACGCCGCCGTGACCGCAGGGGTTGCAGCGCCAAAAAGAGGTTGCGCAGGTTGGGTCATCGAAACGCAACCTCCAGCCAGGAGCCATTTGCGTCAACGAAACGGCCATGTTGTAGACCCTGCACATCAATACCGAGCTGTATCGAGCATGGGCGGTGCTCAGTGTCGGTCTCGGCTAACTGCACAATAAGAATGTCTGTGTCATCGGCGCAGCCCTCTGAATTGCAATTCGCCGAAATGAGGCAGGGAGTCGTCAGGCATCAGCCACGGCAAGAGCATGTACTGCCATCTTCCTCCGACTCGACAATCTAGCTGCCGTAGATTTGTAGCAACCGATCTTCGGCGCCATCGAGGATGCTCCAGTGGTCAACTACCTCCAGATTCTCCGCCTCGGCCTGGAACATCTTGTGGGGCTCCTGCCCGGGGCCGAAAGGATTGGCGTTGGCTCCTGGATTCATCTGCGCCATCTGCTGAGCCATCTGACTGGCGGCATTCTCGTTTCCAAGGATGAAGATGAAGACGCTCTGTAAGCCGAACAGGCACAAGAAGTACCACGACAAACTCGACACCCACCTCACGTCCAGATCCCGCGTCATGACACCAGACTGGAGCATGGACTTGAAGCGGATCGTGAGCGGAAAGGGCAGCTTGAGGATGACGAAGCCGGCGAAGAAAGCGTTGATCCAGGACATGATCAGCGTCTGCGGGATCATCATTGCCATGTTGCCCTTCATCATGCCCATCATGCCTTCCATTGCCGCGGGGTCCGACATGGGGTTCGCTGCTCCCTGGTCTTTTGATTCCGGTCCTCCTTTGAGAAATGCCCCCTTGTGGAAGCCGTCAACCAGGTATTCCTTTCTGCGATTGAACGACGCCGTCGTTATCGCGGCGGGAGAGTTGTTGCGCAGGTTGATGCCGCGCAGAAGCGTCTGCCGTTCGCGAGACTCGGGCAGGCTGTTCGGCGGTTTGGGCGGCGTCTGTAACAGGACGGATGCATAATGTCTCAGCACTCCAGTCAATATCATCACAATCGTGATCGGGAGCAGGATCCAGTAGCTGCGCAGGACGTCAGTGCCTATTCCTATGCGATGTTCCCAGAGCCGTACAATAACGCAGGATCCCGATGGATGATCTGCTCCGTGCCTTCGACCGCCATCTTCCTGGGCAACGGGTTAGTCGCAAGAGGATATAGCCCCAGCTGTTCCAAGATTGTGGCGCGTTTGCTGTTAGAGGTCGTTGCTGGCTTCACTCATCAGATTTCTGGTTGTAGTTGATACGACTCGGCAATCATGCCAAATACAGCAATTCGGCTGCGGGTAATTTTACGCCGAGTGGACTTTGGGTTCTGTTCTACAGTACTCGTGAATGCAACAAAACGCTGGCCAGGAGCCACCAGAAGATACGTGGAGGATGGAATTCGTTCACGATATAGAAAGTGAGGCTTAGCCGTGTCGACCAGAACGAACGTCGCAACCACGGAAGCAACAGAACCTCAGCGTCTCTAATTTTGTGCAGTATCTCAAGAGAGGATCATTGCGTGGCGGTTGCGAAACGACACGAGCTCGTTTGGCCTCAAAGTCGAAGATAGAATTCAGTGGATAAAACGTTGCACAAATTACATGATGAGGATTGTAAGGGTCTGAACTAGTCGGTGGAGGTGGATGACATGCTGTTCCAGCCTTTGCCTTCAAATTCTTCCGCCCCTTGATATCCCTCCATGACTGAAATCCTACCAGTGCCTCGACGTCCGTCTCCCATTCCAGTAGCATCTCCATCTTTCTCGGAGTGCATACAGTCCACTTCCGCTAAGCCCGTCTCCATCATGAGCACCTCGATGCTGCCACAACTATGCTATCTCGACATCGAGATTAGCCTGCAGAGGCCAGCATTTTCCACCATTCAGAATATCCAGAGCTACCCTGCGTGTGGGAACGTAGCTTTCATTCAAGAAACCTTCGAGCAGATCACCTGGCTATGGCCGGACTGTCGGCGTGTCAACATGTGCATCTCTGTGCTCGATGGCAATAGAGCCGAAATGGTTGATGATCGCCCAATCCTCAGTTGCATCCTCCTCTACCACCACGTCCCATGACGGATCTCTAGCCGCCAGCATTTCAGGATCCTCAATGAGTTGTGGTCGCGGACTCAAGCTGACCTCGTCAAATGCGTCAAGTGGGTCAGCGACTGCTAGATCTGGTTGAAGGCTTCGCAAGTGGGTCGTCATCTTTTCAGCCACGCACTCCGTCTCTTCCCCTTGATGGACTCTCTGATTTGCGTTGTTTGATGCAGAAGCAGTTCTCGCCTGCCGTGCTGCTTGGTCGTTTGCAACCATGGCGCGCTTGGGAGAAGTTGAGGTGCAACAGCAACAAACTCCCCAACAGAGGGCGCAGGCCTGGGGATCTTGCGGGAGTAGCACCATCGGAACCGTTTGCAGCCCTCTAGACTTTCGGTATGCCTCGACAAGCCCATGGTCGATCAGGGAATCGTCATCTTGCTTGGTGAAGCCTCCTTGGTCTCTGGCTTCAGGGTCAACTTCATTATCCATTAATTTGATCAAGTTTTCGTCATCCTCTTTTCCCCTCCCCTTGATCAGCGCTTCTTGGTCCTGCTTTGCCTTGTATTTCCCGTATTGTTTCTTCCGATCTTCGTCTGCCTCCCTGATTGTCTTTTCGCAAGGTGCACAGAGCTTGGAAACCGCGAAGGTCTTGTAGGTGTGCAGAGACACCGAACCGTAGACAAGTTTTCTCCGTGGTTGCGGCGCCCACTGGACGGCCCAAGCAGTGTCACAGTTCTTGTTGCAGCAACAGTAGTATTCGATGCCGTCTGAATGATAACCGCCCACGTCTGACGGCGGGTAGTCAAGGCAGATGATGTTCAACCGCGTGGAATCAATGAAAACAGGCTCCCCATCCATGTTTGGAGGCGGGATTCCCAAGGGCTGAGGTCTCGGAGGTGGACAGGGCGTTGCTGGGAACGGATCCATGATGAGTGCCGCATTTGAGTTGTCGCGATGGTGGGCTGGACACGATAGACGAAGACACGCTGGGTGGACGTGAAGAGTTTTGTGAAAGGTCAGGCTTTACAGACCGGCATAAGGAGTCAGCGAATGCGACGCGAAGACTCTCTCAGGTTGATGAAAGCATGCTGTCACAGTCCACAAAGATGAAGGCTGTACAGTCACCATGCTGATCAACCAAGGAAATTCGAAAGGGAACTCAGAAAAGAACTTTCATATTATGGCATGGCAATGTCCAGAATTTGTGCTGTTGATGGTTGCTTTGGGGGCTTGGCTGTCGACGGTTTTCTGCGAGGCCCGATGACTTGGTATCCGCCTGTAGATGTATCCGACTTGTCATCTCAACCACGTAAGAATAAACTTTGGTTCCTAGAGAAGCAGCACAGGATAGGCAAGAATCACAATGTGCAGCCACCCGAGCTAAGATGTTTCTCAGCCATGAAAGTCTCGCCACAAAGAGGGCCACAAGAGTAGCCAGTTATTGCCAATATTGTCATAAGCTTTTGCTTGTCTTGTGGATGGAAGTCGCCCTCACCGATTAGTCTTAAGCGAGCCGAAATGGTCAACCCTATATGTTTGGACATCCGCCATTCGAGGATTTCTGCCGGAAAAGCTATCGTCGAGTGTTTTGCTTAAGCCTTTTGGCAGCACCGGCAGTTGGGACAGTCTCCCATGCGTATAACTGCAAATAGGACTCGACCATCGACGTCTGAAGCGTGGACCAGTGTGAATTCGCCTGATGGCTGTTACCGAGCACTGTGATCGCAAGAAATGGCTCAATCTCTCGTGCTTGACCGTTGGTCGTCGATCAGATTGGGCGTGTAGTCGCCAGCCATAGATCTTGCATCAATGATTGCGAGTCTGCCGGGAGATGGGGCAAGTCATTCCGCAGGTGAGGTTGCGGTGATGGCGGCTTGTTACAGATCCCCGAGGGAACGCCACTGACACAGAGGGCGTTTCATCATTTCAACAGTATTCCACCTTCTGAACACAGCGCGCCATGGATATCTGATAGTCGAGACAAGAGCTTCTTGAGCACAATAGCGTTGGTTGCCAATGAGAGATCATCTTCACTACTGCAAGCGTGTCATTCTCAAATGTGGTCCTTCGGGACTTTACCAAACAAGTCCTTGTAAAAGGTTATAAATAAAACCTGGTGGTTCGAGTCCGCGGTGAGGTCGCTCCAAAAAGAGCTGTGAGATAGGTGAAATGACACAGGCAGCGAATCGACAATCTTCGGAGCTGAAACCGATTCGTCTTAACGCCAGTATCTACCGCGTCGAGTTGTAGTAGCGTGGCGAGGTCACAGATAGCTCGTTGGCTCACACGTGGAAGGTCCCGGGGGCTCATCGTTTCGAGGCACCAGGGGACCAGGCCTCGGGCGTCCAGGTCGATCCAGGATTTGTAGCCGTCTCTTTTGCTTTTTCTAATTGGCTTTCATTACTGTCGATGTGATTCTTCATCTTTTCTCCCTGCGGTGACTGCTTGGGATGCTTTTGGGCCTCAATCCTGGCCAGCAACGGATCGCCAGCAAGTGCAACGGTCGCTGCTGGCTTTGGCTTTTCAATGTATTTGGCCTTTGCAGCCCATCTCTCATCGGCTAGCCTCGCCCCGAGCTTGAGCTGGGCCTGTCTCTGGACATCTGCTGCCTGCTCTTGCAGTGTGGGAGCGTCATAGCGAGTGTAGCGGAGCCACTGGTGCCACTGAGGCGAGATCTGAACGTCTGAGAGTGAAGAAAGAGTAGCTCGACGGCTACCTTTGACCATGCGCCGCCATCGACCGTGATTGATTTGATCTCTGAACTCCCAGAAGGTGTTGCCGTACAGGTCTTGCCCTGTCGGAATGTCAGTTGACCTTCGCTTCCAACCTCTATCCACTTCGAATGCACGTACCGACCAAGAACCTCTTTCTCCATGGCAAACGGAGCATTTTCCATCTCAGCCATAGATCTCGAATTGCCCCCATCTTCTTGAGCGCTTCGCGAGCCGCAGGACTGGGAGGTTGGCTTGGGTGCAGTCATAAAATCATCATTGCACAAGCAGGAAGCTTGCATAATTCTTGGGGTCGACGTCAACCTGCATGTAAGGCCCCGGTCACACATCTCACATCCGTCTCATCCCCACCACACCCACACGGCCATCGTCTTCACGCATCACTGTATTACACGCGGTGGTCGCCTTGTTCGCTACTGAGGGCAGTCGCTGGCTGATCGCTCTACGGCGCTTCCCATTCACCTCGCCTGCGCTCACACCCTTGCTTCTGCGGCCATCACCAGCAGCAGCAGCAACGATGGCTTCCGTGACGAGTTTGGACCAGGACATGCGCAAACTGCGCTTGGAGCGGTACACTCCAGGCGCTGCCAATGAGGTGCGGAACTGGATCGAAAGCACACTCGGAGAGCGACTGGCTCCGGGGGACTTGATGGAAGCACTGAAAGACGGTGTGGCTCTGTGCAAGTAAGCGATGCACATGAACATGGCAGTGAGGTGCTGACCGTATCTTTCTTCCAGACTCGTCAATTTGGCTGTCGCACCAAACATATCGGGTGTCAGATACAAGCAATCCAACATGCCTTTTGTGCAAATGGAGAATATCTCGCACTTCCTGACTGCTTGCGAGAAGCCGCCATTGAATCTTCCGTCCCACGATCGATTTCTTACGGTCGACCTCTACGACTCCAAAGACCCTGCTCAGGTCCTGCAATGCATCGCCGCGTTCAGCCGCCGAGCGAACCAGCTGAATCCACTGAACTTCCCCACCACCTTGGGAGCGAAGAGCAAATCCGCCATGAGTCCTCAAGGAACAGGCTCCAGCGCCCCAAGATCTCCAGCCTATACGACCACCGCAAGCTCGAGACCACGAGGTACAAGTAACGCAGCCCCCGATAGCCCATCCATCACCTTCAACCCCCTCAACAAAGCCGCCTACTCCGGCCGCGTAAGCCCGTCCAAGAATACTCTCGGCCGAGGGGGGTTGGCCTACGGCGGTCCAGTCAGCAGCTGGAGTTCCAAGGACGATGAAGGCAAGACAGCTCCAGCATGGAACATCCATCAATATGGCTATATGGGTGGCGCAAGCCAGGGCAACCAGGGCGTTGCGTTTGGTGCCAGACGGCAAATCACTTCTGCTGCGCCCAACGTCCCCAGCCTGGCCGAGAAAGAGAAACGTCTCAGAGAAGAAGCGGAGCGAAAACGGCAAGAACAAGAAGAACAGGAAAGGCGACAACGTGCGCAGCGTGAGGCAGAAGAACAACAGGCCAGACTAGAAGAGGAGCGCAGGTGGGCCCTAGAGACTCAACGGGTAAGAGAGCGAGAAGCCGCTGAACAACGAGCTGCAGAACAGCAGCGTCTTCAAGAGGAAGACCGAGTGCGCCGTGAAGAACAGCGTAGGAAAGAATTGCAGTACGAACTTGAGCGCGACCGTGAAGCCCAAGATGCGGCTGAGCGCGAGGCCCGCATGGCGCACACCAGAGGCCAGCAACGGACCGTCAGCGATGCCCGTCTCAACGGGCAATTCCTCAGCCAGTATCAAACCGACCAGACCAGGGCTACTGCTGATCCACCCCCAGCCGCCAAACCCATCGTGCAGCAGCAGACGGCCGAGAGCCAGCGCATTGCGGAACTTGAGCGGCAACTGGAAGAGATGAAGGCGCAACAAAGACAATCTCAGTCGACTCGGTCAGGTCCATCTCAGCCTTCAGACACCGAGTCAGACCCTGCTGCTCCTGCTTTACCAAGCAGACCTCGACCCGGAGAGACCAGTCATGAAGACGACTGGTCGGCTTCTGAGCGGGACTACTTGAAGCAGGAATGGCAGAAGAACCAAGATCAAGCCCCACCGAAGCCACCACGGCCCGAGGCTCCTCCGTCGTCTCGTCCTCTGCCCGACCCAGCAGCATATCAAGCCGGCGCGAATCGAACGGACCGATATCTCGCCACGAATGCTGCTCCATCTGCACCCAACGTCAGCTCTCACCGCCCGCAAGACTTCTCGACCACGACCGAAGTCGACCTCGAGAATCAGCGCCGGATACAGTCTCAACAACGCACCAAAGCCGGCGGTTGGGCCTCGAAGTCTCTTCTTGAAAGAGAAATGGAACGCGAGCGAGAACGGCAGCGAGAGTGGGAAGAATCACAGCGGGATACGGCTTCGCGCGCACGGGACATCCGAGAAGGAAGTGCGCCGGGCCATACTTGGGATGTTCATCAGTACGGCTATATGGGTGGCGATAGTCAGAATCGAGGCGGCCCAGGGCTTGGTGTTGGAGGTGCCAGACGACAAATCATCGGACCGCGACCTCCACCTTAGGATCTTCGTGTCCCGGAGGCGTGCTTGTGTGAGCGGAGATCTGTATTTGCAATCATTTGTGGAAGGCTTTAAGATACATGATATCCCGAGCAAGCGTTAGATGGAGGCATCAGTGAGCGCGATGGATATCGAGAGAGGACTGAACGCAGCAAGCTATTCGAATTGCTTGTCCGTTACGAGCCCTCGACCGGGCCTCCAGCCGCGCATCTATAAAACGTACCCCATCACTTTGAACACTAGTGAAAGCCACGGTCATGCAAGGCTTCCACGGACCAGGTAGTAGCCACCAGTCTCTACCGACTGCCGTGTTGCGGCTCTTCATGCTCTTTCAACGCCTTTGCTGTCTTAGAGACCAGCGCGCTTGATGCTCGTCGTGTCTGTCTGCCCGTCCAACCCCTCCACGATCTTCGATATCCTCTCACCACTCTCAACAAGCCACTGCCATGCCACGGCATCTTCGCCTTGTCTCCTCTTCCCCCTTTCCTTCTTGGGCCCTTTCTTTCCCGCGCGATCTACAACATTATTCACCCTCCGCTCTACTCCCTCCGCCACAGAGGCCAGCAAGGAAGGGGTCTTCTTTAAGGCTCCCACACTCGCGAGCGTACGTGTCAGTGACTCCAACAGGATGGAAACCCGTGCGTTCGCATCGGCGCTGTTCTTACTCGCCGCAAACCGGAGATACTGTTCCTCGAGTTTGCTTTGTGAGAGGAGCACCGCCGCCCTGTGTCTGCTCGGGGCGGAATGTTCCAGCATGCGCTGGAGGATGGACTCGCACAAGCCCGTCAATGTCGTGGCATCGAATGGATTGGACGGGGATGGGAGGACTACTTGGGCGAAGACCGGCAAGGACAAAGGCCGAACAAACTCGACGAAGAGAATAAAGAGTTCTTCCAAGTCCGGAAAAGTGGTCGGCGATGTGGCTGTTAGCGTGTCGTGCGCGGAGACCCACGTCAGAAGACGCAACAGGCGGAGGCGGAGGAGTATGGAGGATGGGTCGCCGAGAGTTGGTGCTGAGGAAGAAGACGTGTCTCCTTCTGCATCGGTATAGGCACTTCTTAGACTGCCGTTGCTGCTTCGTGGCGTCACCCTCTTGGCTGAAGGTGTCCTCGTCCTTGTGCCTGTCCTCAATCGCTTCGGACGTCGTCCACCCCCCACGGCGCTCGTGGTATCACCATTATCTGCAGCCCCGTCAGAGACATCTTCATCCTCCTGACCAAGGTAGTCGCCGTAGAAATCTTGATCGATATTGACATGCTCCTGCTTTTCAAGTTTCTTGGCTGTGCCATCTTCCTGCTTCGGCTCTTTCAACTCGTGGGCGAAGATCTCTCGGAACTCGGCAATTGAGCGTGCGCTCCCGTCGGCGAATATTGCGCGAATGATTCTCCTCTGCCGCGCGTGTCCGCTTGACGCCAGTTCGATATACTGCCATAGCAAGGACTCTTCCGGCGAGGGACTTTCTCCGGTAGTGCGGATACGCCAGTCCGTCTCTATCACGTCGACCAGATACTCAAGTAGAAGACGGTAATGAGTCCAGCGCGAGGCATACATCCCTGGTAAACACGCGCAGTTGAATGCCCAGCCGACAAGTTGCCAAAAATCCTCGGCCCGGTTCCAGAGGCTGTGCGAGCGGGCGTAGGTCGTATTGAGCTTGTCATCACCAAAACCGTTCTCACTTTCGCCATCCTCGTCCTCGTCGCTCGCTCGATTATCAGTCCGCCGCGAAAAGCGAAGGTCAAATTTGTGAAAGGTGAATGCCGCGGCGAAGTTGGCATTGACGGGCCCGACGAGGGACTGGATTAGTTTGAGCAATCGTAGAGCAGCGTTTGCCTGATTCCACTTTTCACGCTCGTTGGTCCTTGTTGTCGTGCTTGGATGGACGGCAAGCGTGGCCGCCAACGCGAGGTGAGAGGCGGGCGGGATTGTCACGGGCGCCGAAGCGTTGACAGAGAAAGTGTTGTTGCCTGTGACGGAGAGCAAAGTGTCGAATGCTTGGGTTAACAGTCCTTCTTCGAGGTACGTCTGAACATGCTGCGCGACTTCGAATGGAAGTTCTCTGGTTGGTCGAAATCGTTTTCCCTCTTGCGAGGCTGAACCATCTCTCGAGACGGGTTGGGTTCGTGGCGGCGAAGATAGCGGGGATGAGCGCACAGGGACCGCCATTACAAAGGATCGGCAGTCAGCTGATCGTCCGCCGCATCACTTTCGGCAGAGCGAAAAGGGATCACACGGTTGGCTTCCTGCTATTCTCTCCCGCTGTTGATGGGAAGGACAGAGGAAGTTCAGCCTCGCGTGCCTCGTGAGCCTCGACGCGGGTCAATCAGGCAGCAGAGTTGCAAGGAAAGTCTGCCGAGCCCCTTTTCCAAAGGAACCGCATTCCCTTACTCTTCCTCCATCCTTTTCAGTCCGCATTCTAAGGTCCGACAAGCACGTTGCCTCGCCGGGTATGCAAATTTCTGGGAATCATTTCCGTCCAATCCGGTCTCATAGTGGACAGAAGCGGTTGCGACAGCAGCTGGGGGTTCGCTTGCAGCAGTAGCCTCAGACAGGACGATGACTGAGCAACGTTTGCCAGGCGTCTTGTCAAAGCCGTATTCGCATTTCGCAGAGCTAGGGCTAGCTCGCTTCGATTGATGCTTCGTTCCATTGGCAGAAATTGACGGGATAGGCGAAGGCGAAAAGGGCACCCAGCAGTCCACGTTGATAGCCGAGCCGGGCGCTGTTATTTTTAGCAGCGTCTCGTCATATGGTCATGTGTGACTTGCGGTGGCTTTGATAGGGTGGCGCTCGGTTCATCACAAAGGAGGGTATATACAAGCACACAGGTGAGGCTCCGTCTCTCAACTTTAATTTCTGGAGCACATTTGAGGAACGGATAAGATTTCATCATCTCGGTGTTTACTGGACTTTCAATCTCCCCGCAACGACAATTTCAAGTTCTTCGCTTAAGGCCCGACACCAACATGGGCTTCCTCGGCGATAAATACAGAGCGTTCCAGAACTTCAAAAACGGTCGCAACCCCGACGGCTCCTCCAAGATCACCGACGAAGACATCAAGAAATACACGGGCAAAGACAGGGTCGAGTTTGACAAATTCGCAGCCAACACACCAGGGGTTGCAGGCAATCAGCATGCTGGGTCAATCACGGCAGGAGGCAATTGTGGATTGGCCAACGGCGGATATACAACCTTCGATGCTCATAAGATCCCGGGCAAGAGATAGGTCGTTACGGAGAAGATGGCAGACAAGCCACGGGAGCCATGTCCACCGGTGAGGTTCTTCAAGGTCGGCTGGGAACGACCAAAGACTGGGACCTTCCAGACAGCCTCATCCAAACGCCAAACTATAATCGCTTCAGCCTACCTGCCAGGTCTTCCGTGGCTTCCCTGCACCATTGTTCTACATCCACCTCGGCGATTTTGCCGTTTCTTTCATTGATCTCCTTCTCGATTTTAGCAAAGTCCCTGCCTATGCCTTCGGCCCGCCACTCATAACAGTCACCGATCCACCTGCTACTCTGCACAAGCCACTGCCCACGCTCCTTGCGTCGGTCATTGAACGTTGCGAATACAGCTTCGAGATCCGAGGGTGATTGGACCTGCTCGGAGGCGAGGAGTGAGCCCAGAACAGCCGAGTCCTCGATGCAGAACCCAGCCCCTGCGCCATGATGCGGCGAAGTCGCGTGCGCCGCATCTCCACATATACATATCCGCCCCTTATAGAAAGTAGGGACCGGATTGTTGCCCGTGTCGAAAATTGCCCACTTTGTGGTTGATCAGCGACTGCCTGCATTGATGTGAAATTTTGGTGACTCACCACGTCCAGGTCCGGCTTGGTTAGGTTCAGCAGTTTCATCACGTTTGAGCCGTAACCTGCAAAGTCCCTCAATGCGTCTTCTCGTTTTGCTGGCCTCGTCAGCCGGTTGAAATCTGGCCAATCTTCGGGACTGGTCCTGAAGGCCACAATATTCAACGTCTTGCCGTGATTGACAGGAAATGTCAGGACATGGCCATCTGGGCCCATCTATGTTCCAGCATGTCAGCAATGGACGCGCTTCACCTAACTCCTAGCCACATAAAGCTGCGAAGACTTACGTGCATGCAAGAGTTGACTGCCAGCTCCTCGCCAACCGCCTTGATCGCCTCATCCATGGGCGCAAGACCCCGGTAAGCGTACTTGTGCGTATAACTGGGCCTGGCACTAGGATGGTCTTTTCCAACGATGATTTGTCTGACCTTTGACTTGATACCATCGCATCCGATTACCGCGTCCGCTTCAGCCGTGGTGCCGTCTTCGAACCTCATCGACAACCTCCCGCTGTCTTTGTCCTCCTCGATATCAACAAGTTTCTTGCCAAACCGCGCAACCTCGCGCGGCAGTAGCTTGACGATCTCGTCCAAATACGCCGCGCGATGCACTCCATTCTGCCCCAAGGAGTTCCGAATCGTAAAAGCAATGTCCTGCCTCTCTTGACCAGGCTTGGGCCCCGCGTACCCGTCCAGGTAATCGAACCACACTTTCTGCTTCTCTGGCCAGACGTTGCGGGTGCAAACTTTCTCGAACGCCTCGTACACCCCCTGGTGGCAGACCTTCATGGCCTGCACGGCGTTGGGAGAGAACGAAACCCCAGCGCCGATCTCGCCGAACTGGGGCGCCTGTTCGTACACTTTCAGCGCGATGCCGCGATGGTACAACGCGATGGCGAGTGTCAGGCCGGCAATGCCACCACCAATGATGGCTACTTCGAAGTTTCTGGCTACATGGGTCGACGCGTGTTGTGAAGATGCTGCCGTCTGATCTTGCCCCACCGTGAGGTGCTCACCCATGGATTCTCCCGACATGATTTTTCAGAGTGTTTTAGTCCTCACGAGGCTTGCGTTACCTGCAACTTAGGTGACAACACACGGACCTACAGACCGTAGATATGATATACAGAAATATGTTCGAGGAAGCCGAAAAGCTTCCGCGAGGCTGTCATCCTCTATCGAGACGGATTTCCGAACCGAACCGAGCAGCATTTAGCTCGCGAACCTCGTGGTCAGGTTCGTACATCATTAAACCGAAGCGTCTGTCATCGACGACCATCGTCAGTCTCCCCTCCCCGTTCTCCGCTTCTTGCGTCCTCTTCCGAGGCCCGCTTCGGATGTGTCCCGGAACGATTTGCGGCGCGGTTTGGCAGCGGAAGCAAGTGCCTCCGTGTGCCCTTGATCGCCTACGTCGTCCAACGGCGGTATTTGCCTCTACACCAGGAGGAGGGGAGTCACTCAGTGAATTGACCGACGCTATGGGCGACAGAAGTACCGGTCGACGCTAATAACGAGGGTGAGCAGGTACAGAAGTGGGCCTGTCCGAGATGGGAGGGAAGAAAAGGAGCATACAGTAACCAAGCGTCTAAGGTCATTACTGGGTCGGCAGGAGTGATACACATGCATTATTGAACAACACGACACAATGTTCTCGCAGTGCGCTGCCCATCGACCGCCTGTCCTCTGCAATGACAGTGACAGGAAGCCCCATATCTCCTTCGTGGAGTTCCCAATAGCCATTATGCATACTACCACCAGCGACAATGAGCGGCAAAGCCCGAAGCAGCTGCGCGGAGTTGGAGGACGATCTACGTGCCACCACGGCATAGGCCCGGTACCAAGCCTGACAAACGTACCAGAGTACAATGAGATGGTTCAAGCGCTCCAAAACGAGGACTTCGACGAGATGTTCCAGCGCCCAACTCGAGGGAGCACATTACTGGCAGACTTTGCCACGACTCTTGAGGGACGAAACTCCTTTGAAGCTGATCTGACGGCAACTTGTATCATCGCTGGAGGCTCTTGCCTGCGTCAGGGACGCCTCTCACCAGTGTCAACGACATGGAAGCCACCTACCTCTGAGTCAAGGTAGATTGGAAAACCTAAGGTAAGTGGGACAAAAGGCCAAGCCAAAACATCCCATTTCACCAACTTGCCTCCCCGTAGCTGCTCGGGCTAAGCATTGTATAGAATGGTGCAGTTTTCTTCCACGAGGTTCACGAGGTCTTACAAAGTCCATCCTTGTCTGTCTCTGCACTCAGTGCTCATACTTTAACCAATGCGGTCTCTTAGATTGATTCACATGTTAGCCTTGACCCTTGTCGCTAGGAAAAGTACTGCACCCTGGAGAGGGGCATGTGGTTCCTTCGAGCAGCTTGCGAGGGTGAAGCTCGCATCGCTAACACTGATGATTTGCTTGCAACTCTCTTTCTGCATCTCCGCTACTGCTGTGTGACCTTGGCGGTCTTTTCGCCTCGATGCCCAGAACAAAGGACATGACCTATGCACAAGATTCCGCCACATGCGGAGATATTAAGCACGAGATGTATCCCCGAAGTCTGATCCGGAGAATCGTGCGAACCGCCTACAGATACACAATGTTGCCGTCAAAGGACGTCGTCGACGTTACAGATGCCGAACCCTCAGCTGATGGACTCAGCGGGAGGGAGGACGCTACCCGCGCTGATAGCATTTGGAGTCGAGATAGGTCAGTTGGCTTCTCTGTACCCGTATGTCGACGACCCCCACAAACACATTCTCGTCCTCAGGTTCTGCGGCGCCCTCGCGTACAATTTCGTCGGCTTTGTCCTTCCAGCGTTGTACGGCACTCTGTCCAAGCTATGGGTAGCTAAAATCGACGCGTCCATGGTCGCCACCGTGGACTCATACACGTACATTGGCGTCGTCGCCGAAGTCATCAACGAGGGTCTGCCCCGAGCCGCGTGGGTGATTATCGGTGACAAGGCATCGCGTTCGCTGTCATCGCGGATCGGCCTTACACAAACATTGATCGTCTTCCAGAGCATAATGGGTCTGCTGGTCAGCGTCGTCATTCTAGGCGCCGCTAAACAGTTTGCCTCCGGCTTTGTACCCGAGGAAGTCCGTACTGCAAGCTTGACATACGTCCGCATCAGTTCGTTCTCAGTCTTTAGCGCAGCGTTGGAGACTGCCGTCAGCAATGCTACGAGAGCGCTCGACCATCCTGACGTGCCCTTCCTCATCGCCGCGACACGCTTCGCCATCAACATACTCCTGGATTTGCTGATCATTTCAAACTTCCACGTCGGATCCTTCACGCCCTCGGTGAACACCCAGGCAGGCATTCGCCTCGGATGTGACTTTGCAGCCGCCTTTGCCGGCTTGACGTACTTCATCCTGATTGTTTGGAGACTCCAGACCAAGCATGGCCTCATTGAGAAAATGCCACGTCCCAGCCTCAAGGCGTTTGGAGTGCTTCTCCGACCAGGTATCCTTACCTTCGCGGAGTCGGCCGTCCGGAATACATTCTACCTGTGGCTCGTCAGCAACATTGTGTCCATGGGCTCTGACTATGCAACGGCATGGGGAGTCTTCAACACAATCCGCTGGGGCCTTGTAATGGTCCCGGTCCAGACGCTGGAGGCCACTTCGAACGCCTTCACCGGGCATAGATGGGGTGAGTGGCGGAAGGAAGTCGGCGTCGACTTAGACAAGGCGAAAGCCAGCTGGAAGCAGATCAGAGGTACACGGATCTCATTGTTAGATTCTGGAGGGCCTGACTGACACCTCGTTTGTAGACATCGCAACCCCTGCTCTGACCTCCGCAGCCATCGTCCTCACAATCGAGGTTCCCCTGTGTATCTTTCTCTCACTTTTCGGCTGCAAACCGTTCGCAAATTACCTCTCCAGCTCAGACACTGTGGCATCCATCACGGCCCATATGTGGCGCACCATAGATTGGTGCTACATCTTCTATGCACTGAGTACGGAGCTCGCGACAATCCTGTTGTCGACTGTACCGAGGTGGTATCTGTATCAGTCACTGGTGTCAAACGTCTTCTACGTTCTGCCGTGGGCGATCGTATGCCAGGTGGCGAACCTGAACGCCAGTGATGCCTGGGGCTATCACGCATTCGTCTTCGGGGGCAGCCTTGTATTTAGCTTCTTTGACGTGCTGCTGTTCGTCGGGCTGTGGACGTGGAGGCTGAGTCGTGGAACACTGAACTTTGACAAGGTGCGATTGGTGTAGAGCGTGCCTGAAGCGACGGAATGGCCTGCTCGACGGTGGGCGTCAGGGCGCAGCAGCTGCGTGAGCTCTTCACGAGGGAGGTGCCTTCAACTTTCCGACCATGGTTTGTACCGTATCTCGTTCTCTTTTGACAGTCAGTCGGCCTATTCACTTCTCGACGTTCTGACACTTCATTCCGTCACTTCGATCATTGCCTTCGTCTTCCTGGCCCAAAGCCGCTTTCGCACTGGTATTCTTCACGGTCGTTTTCACCACCTTGCATTTCTGCACTTCCGTCATGGCAGTACACATGCATTTGCCTCTAGAATTTCAAAATACTCGGCCCCGCAATTGTATAGCCCGAGAGGCCTCGAGGGACTACCTACCGCTGTTGGTCTGTCTCTCAACGGCCACGTCTGGAAAGATGAAACTCACCTTTGCCAAAGGACACCACAAGGACCGGAGCAAATGAGAGTGATTAAATATTGGGATTACGGCTGGCAAGCTAGTATCCATGAGCAGTCACCGGTCCGCGCGGAAGTGTCATTCCTCCCTATATTTATATACCTTCTCTCACAGCTTGGGACCCACCGCGTAGTGTTAACGTAGTTTGATGTCCGGCTTCAGTCCCTTCCCCTATTGCGCTTGCTATCCTTCTCAAGGCCTCCTCAAGGTAAGGTCTGGGATGGGTGAAGACAATGCGAAACAATCCCGGCGTCTCTGCACCGAAGTATGACCCGCTCCCCAGAAACACTTTACTACTCATGAGCGATTGCATGATCTCGTCGGCCATTGCGTCGGTGACCTCGGCTGCGCCACGTTCGGGGTGTCGGTCCAGATACGCCCGCCCAAGATCCAGCCAGATGAAGAACGCGGCATTTGCGCCTGGCGCATAGGGTATCTTATGCTTGTTGAGGAAGTCTACGACGAAACTGAACGTATCGGCCAACCGTTCCTGATTCTCCCGGATGAAGTCGTCAACCCAATCATCGTTTTCGAGCATGTTTGCCGCAATGTGCTCGGCGGCTGACGATGCGTACGAGTAGATCGCGACCTCCAGAAGCGCCCGGTGAAACGCTTCATTGTGTTGCGAGATGACGTATCCCACCCTCAACCCGTTGGCCCCGAAATCCTTGCTCATACCCCAGAGCACGTGGACGAGGGATGGATTGATAATGCCTCTTGTGGGGATCGACAGGACGGAGGTGAACTCGACCGCAGGAGGCGAAGGATCGTGACGGTTGTGCCAAGTCGTGAAGGCATATATCTCGTCGCTGACTAGGTGGATCTGGTATTTCTCGCACAGCCGCATGTAGGCAATGAGGACATCCCGGGAGTAGCATCTTCCCAGTGGGTTGTGCGGCGAGCATAGCATGAGAGCTTTTGCATGGACGCCCCGGTCTTTGGCCGCGAGGAGCACCTTCTCGTACTCGCCAACGGCTTCTACACTCATAGGGTCTGTTTTTCCAAAGTCGACTGTAAGGACTTCCACGCCAGGACGGAGTGCTATGTCTGGAATGAAAGCGCGATAGTACGGTCGACCAAGGAGGTATCCATCCCCCGGGTTACAGAATGCCCAAGATGTATGCTCAATGGAGTGAGACACGCCGTTCGTAACAATGACATGTCGCATCTCAAGAGCCACAGCGGGCTTTAATCGGCGGTTGAGGAATCTCGCCACAGCGTCCCTCAAGCGGCTGGAACCCAGCGGCCCATCGCCATAAGTGAAGGCTTTCGATGGGATATCATTGCTCCTGCGAATATAAGACTCCAACTCGCCGTGCATGAGAGTGTTCTCCGCGACGCCAACATTGATATATCCATTTGGATTGGATTCGGGGTGCCACTGGTCTGCGTATATGCCCCAGAGAGGAGACTGCGAGGGCACAGCGCACTCTTGCGCGCGCTTAGAAAGAGTCGATGCAGTAGAGGCAATTGAGGACATTTCGACGGGTCAGACTTAGAACCGACATCTGCTGGGCATGCGTAGGGGGATGATACACTGCGAAGAAAGGTTACAGTACATATACTTGCCCACTGGCTTTCACGTTCGATACGCGCAGAAGGGAGAGTGCGTTGGCGGCAATCCCCAGAAGTTTGAATTTTGCCCGTCATTTTATGTGCTTGATCTGCAATGCGCCCTGTCACCTTGACGATCCTTGAACAGTTACATAGCCTGCTCGAAAGGCGCGTGCGTGTGATCTGATCATATTGGTCTAGAGAAACAGTGGCTGGAGGTTTCAGGCGTATTTTCTGCATGGAGAATCAAGATAGACGCCGTTACTAGGTTGGGCGTGGTAAGCTGGATGCTTACAGCCTTTTGTCAGAGCACTTCGAAAGAGTCGAAAAATGCCCGACGACGACAGTCTGACAGGGGAGGACTACGAGTCACGGCCAGTCACGCCAGTTTAAGTAACTGGGGGGTGGTCTAACCAATCCTGGATGAGTCCTCACGTGTCGAGGCATTCGTCCACAGTCACGTGAAAGACTGCCAGCCGCGGCGGGTTCCTGCCAAGACTTTAGCGGTGTCATTTGTTTACATCGATGAAGCATCATCACCTTGCCATCCTCGATTCTCGAACTCGACGTCCAACACTGTTTGAGATCAGACTGTGAAGCCCAAGACACCTCCACAACTCAGAACAGTATGACACCAACCATGACGCGCAAGAGGAAGTCGGAGGAGATCGAGGACCAACCTGCCGGGGCTGTCACGCCGACAGGTAGCCCAGCGCGCAAGAAGATGAGGATCACACTGCAGCAGAAGCAGGCGTTAATGGACAACCTCCAGCTTGAGAGTATGAAGATGCTGCTGCTCAGAAATTGCATCACGGCTGACATGTTTCCAGTCACTGAACGAGCGCGACAACTTCGTGCAGGATATGCTCTCCAATGCGCCGACCTTAGAGCTCGGATCGAAAGACGCGTCAACAGAATCCCTCTCACTATGCGAAAGATGACCATGAGAGAACTCATGGAACAGCACGAATCTGCACGCCCAGCCAAGGATGCGCCTCGAGCATCGCCGCCCAAGCAAAAGACATCAGTCGAGATCCCTACACCCAGACGCAAACCGCTGCCTCCTCTCCCGCAAGAACATGCCTCGACCAAGCTACCATCCCCGGCTCGGCAACAAGCTCAGCAAGCTCCTACTCGAGGCAAGAAGCGCCCGAGCTCCGAGATCCAGATCGCTTCGGACAAAGAGAACGAAAGCCACCCCGACAATCTCCCTGTGGTCAAGAACACCAAGCGCCTCAAAACCACAACCGCCCAGGCAACCAGCACCACTTCGCGGACAGCCAAACACACAACCACCTCAGTCCTGTCTCCCCGCTCCCATAACTCCCGCACCCTCCCACGCTCACCGATCAAAGACATCTACCTCCCCACCTCGCCAGCGAAAAGCATGATTGCCCGTCCAACCACGGCAATGTCTCCAGTGCGACCAACCTCGCCCTTCAAATCAGCCGCTACCGCGGCGACGTCCGCAATCTCCGCCAGCATGCACGGGATGTACGAACAAGCCAAACGCGGGGGAACCGCCACGGCTGCGAAATTCACGCGGACAGCGTCCAAGGAGAAGAAAGAAACCGCAACAGCGGCAAAGGGCCAAATGCTTCCTCCACCCAAGCCCAAGCCAAGCGCTCCGGCCTCTCCGCAACGCACGTTCTCACAAGCAAGCACGCACAGCAACTCGACCGATGTTTCTACTGCATCGAACGGGACCACCGTTGTGAAGCCCAAGCGTGGTGGCCGGACCGCCGCTGCTGTGTCGAAGACTGCCAAGAGCGCGGCCGAACCAGGGAGTCCGGTAGAGAAGAAGAAAGGAGGTGTGGCACGCGCGGCGTCGGCGGCGAAGACGGCGCTCAAGAGAAATGCAGGCACTACCGGGGCAGCAAGTAAGAAGGTCGTGGTTGCAGAGCCAGCAGCTGGAAAGAGAGTGCTGAGGAAGAGGGCATAGATTCGGAGATATGAAGGAGGACGAATAGTCGTAGTAGGGTACCGGTCTTGAGGCTGTTAGCTCGAAGCACGTCACGCACTGTTATGTCTATCCGCAGCATGGATACTCTGTATGGCGCTTGGGCTTCCTCTGATCGGGAACTGAATACAGCCTCCTACCACTTCCATGATTGAAACGAACCGACAAGAGTACTGTAGCCAATCCACAGGTTCACGTTTGTACGCATGCATTTCAATCTTTGTTCCGCATTTTTGGTGGCAGTATCTGCCGAGTTCAAGCACCTGTTGACTCCATTCCCTTGGTGGGTAGTCGCACCAGGTAAAAACACAAGTCGATAAAAGCGGTATCTGTTGTAGCAAAAACCTCACAGTCTTGGCGTTGGTCAACGACGACCGCGGCGGTGACCCATCTCACTCACCCTCTGGAGGTTTCCGGTCAGAGATGTCCAGCTTAAGATGTGTAATCCTCCATTCGCCGCCCAATGCAAGCACATACCGCGCAACAATGGCTCACTTCCTTCTTCGCCACATCAAGCCTAGTCCTAGTAGTCAAGCTCCGCACCGCCTCCAGCTTGAGCAGCTGCTGCTGCACCAGCGCTACTTCCACCGCTGGGCTGAGCATCAAGATCCTCGTAGCTCTTGATACTCCGTCCTTGAGTGGCCTCTCTGGGTCCCATGGCGTTCATCCCACCACCAGCTCCGTCACCCCACTTCCCACCTCCTCCTCCTCCACCTTGCGCGATGAAGGCTTGAGTCATACCAGGCACGAGACCTCGGATCATCCCGCCCATGTTGTTGTATCCACGTTGGCTGCCTCGTTGGTTACGGTCATAGGGCCCGGGTCGATGGCCGTATCTGCCCCCGCCACGACGGATGGGTCCGCCAGTATGGGCACCATTGCCGTTCATACCGTCGGTGTTGAAGTTGACACCAGCTACGAGAGGAGACATCATGGTGCCCATGTTCATCATAGCATTCTGACCGAAGCTCATGGTGTTCATGCCTATGTTCTGAAGGCTGAATCCGCGAGGAGTGCCATTGTTCAAATGGTGGTTCTGAGGGAGAGGGAAATGGCCATTCGAGTTTGCATCTGAACGTGACGGTGCAATATGAGACGGATCGAGAACATATGTGTTGACGAGTTGCAGCTACAGAGGGTCAGCATTCGTACAGGACAAGGCGGATCGGTACTCACATCTTTCTTGAGGGCCGAGTACCACTCGTCGTGTCTCTTTTCCACATGTTTCCGCCAGAAGTGGTCGGCCTTGAACAACTTGGTACACTCGGGCACCTTACATCGATACTTGGCTTCGTCTTCCTGCTTCACATACTTGGCAAGCTCTTCGTCTAACGCTTCTTCAACTGGCTTGCCTCCGATCTTCTTCAAGTCCACGTACTCAGGCTCGAGGATCTGCAGGATCTTCTCTTCGAAAGTCTTGACCCAGTTGAACGCTCGAACAAGCTGTTGGTCATTCTTGTTGTATTTCTGAGGTCGCTTCTCTTGGACCGGGCTGAGTGCTTCGTCGTCTGCTCCGTTTTCTTTCTTCTTGCCCGGAAAAGGTTCACCGAGGGCGCTGGCTCTGGCTGCCGCCTTGGCCGCCGTGCTCAAGCCAGCTCGCGGCCTCCGAAGATGTCCACCAGGACACTTGCGGACCAACTCGTGAACGGAATCCGACTCGAAGACGCAGAATAGACAGAAGTTGAAGACACGGCGAAGATACTCAACCATAAGATCAAGCTTCTTCTTGATGACCAGCAACTCTTCATCGTCCTGGTCATCTTCGTCTTCCTCGCCTTCTTCACCTTCCTCTTCGAATTTGATCTCGTCGTCATTATCTTCGAAAGTTGGCTTCTTGGGCTTGGGGGGAGGTTGCAGAAGACCCTGGTTTCTCATTTGTTCCACTCGAGCATCAATCTTAGCCAGACCTCCTGACGTCTCGTCCTTCCCAAGTTCAGTATCAAGCTTGGTGACCAGTCGCCTTGCGAGTTCGTAGTCCCGCTCAACTCTTTCTGGCGCAGAGAAGAGATCCCAAAGTGCCTTCTTTCGAGGCGCACTAGGCGCATTGTGGATCCCGACGTGGCAGGTAAAATCGCCTCTGACGGCATCGGTGATAGTCTTGCCATTGATGAGATCAAGAGCTTTCTGAACGGGACTGATTTTCTCAGCTGAAGGCTCCTCTTTGCCTTCTTCACCGTCCTCATCACGACCATCGCCCCGTTCGACATCTTGCATCGCGTCGACATCCTCTTCGGGAGCAGGATTCAACATAATCCAGCCAATGCGGTGGAATTTCTTGGCCGGATTTGGGTCACTAAGCGAAAGACCTTTGAAGCCACCAGCCTCTTCGCCAAGGTGTTCTTTACAGAACTCCTCAATGCGGTCTCTGCCCACGTTCGGTGCAAGAGTCTTGATGAGCAGGGCTGGTTGTTGGGAGGCTTCGTCTCGCAAGTCGCCACCTTTGGCAGGCACGAGGTCAAGAACTCCGAGCACTTCAGCGCCCCCAACGGCTTCGCCCTCTTCTTTCTCTACCATGCCACCCGCGCCGTCGCTATCATTCTTGTAGATCCCCTCAAGTGTGAATTCGTCGAATACGCCTGTCTCGATGTCTTTGACCCATTGGTCGAAACCGGGTTTTCGGGATTCCATGAGACGCTTTCGAATAGGCTCGCGGAGTTCCGGAAGATATCGCTCTTTGAACCATTCCTCGCCCTTGTGCAGCTGGACAAATTGTCTTGCCATCTTCACTTGAAATTCTTGCTTATACTGGTTGTAAGCCTGCTGGATTTGTGCACGCTCCTTATCGCGATCCTCTTTGGCTTCCCGTTCGCCTTTAACACGGTCGGATGGTCGTCTTCCACCAAGCTTGACACGCTCTTTCTCTTCTTTAACTTGCTGCTCGAATCGCCACCAATCAGCGAAGAAGCTGAAACCTGCTTGAGTGTCTAAAGCAAGAGGATTTGCCAGTGGATTAACCTTGACAACCTGCTTGTCCGGCTCTTGGCCTGGAACGTAGCGATCAATATTGGCGGCAATAGGAGATGGTGCTCTTCTGCGATCGTCTCGTTCTCTTGGGTCCCGTATGTCTCTTGCATCCCGCCCGTCTCTGGGATCTCTCGCATCTCTTGTGTCTCTGATATCTCTGGCAGCTGGTCTAGGAGCATCGTAGTAGTCATCCCGTGTGGTTCGGTCGCGTTCGCGATCTCGATCTCGGTCTGGTTGATATCGGTCGATGGCTACTGGAGAGCGGGAGCGATTGCGAGGACCAGGCCGACGTCTGTCGTTGGCTAGGTTCCAAGGTGTCAGTCATCCGCGGTAGTATATGGCTTTCGTTAGGCTTACCAGGAGATCTCCGTCTGTACGAATCGTTGCGGTCGCGGTCATAGGACTCATCGCGTCCGCGGTATCTTGGGGGTGACCTGTCGTTGGTGGGCGACCCATAGGCCTCGTATGGATTCATGTTGAGAGCGCAGTCTCAAGAATGGTCTCGAGATTGATCTTGATATCTTCAAGAGGGCAGTTACTGGTGTCAAAGCCCGATCACGCGTTTATGTCATTTGAGGAATTGCGACCCAGCGGAGGGCGCAGTAACCTCAGGTTCAGGTTTGATCGCTTTCGAACCGTTGACACGTCGAGGTAGGATAGCTAAGAATAAACATGGCAGAGGTTAGACTTGCGTGGAATCGAGATGAACCGAGGGGCAGCTTCGAAGAGTAATGAAGAGTCATGATCAAAGACAGAAGTAGTATCGCAGGCATAGAAGCCGCCTATTTGAGAGTAGAGTAGAACGCAGCCAACAGATAGTAACAGTGTAGACTGGTCTGAGCCAACCGGGGATTGAGAGGATGAAGTGAGCGCCCGCTGAATGTTGGCGGCAGGATGAATGAGGAACAGAGGTAAGGTAGTGAGCTTACAAGATTCGAAGCAAGAGAGCTGGTCGCACACTGATATCGCAACGGAGCAACAGTGTTGATGATGGATATGAGCAGCTGGAGGATTGAGATCCGCGGCGTGAAACCCTCGCGCAACGATGCTGAGGCGCTCGGCGAGGCGCAGGGCATCTTCAGATAAAGCGCCTGATTGGTGGTTGCGATGGGCACAATGGGGAAACTCTGCCGGACAACTCAGACTCGGCAGAGATCGTTTGTCTGGCGCTACTGTACGTATACAAGTGTCTACAGGGACGTGAGAGTACAGAAGAGGAACAGAAAACCGCAGAATATTCAGGACGAGACAAGACAACTCGTGGGGATCCGTACATCATGTGAATAGCATCCCTAGGCTGTCCAGAGCGATGAAGTATCACTCCCACTGTGTTCACTTTTGCCTCATCGCCGAACATGTTCGCCCTTGGGCATGCCCTTATCATTCCATTCCTTGAGCAGTTCCCAATCCCTCTCATCCAGAGCGGGATCATCGGTGCCGTACCTCGCAACGAGGAGACCCGACAGACTACCACTCTTCCTGGCTGCCATCGAGCCAGGTCGTGCCCCAGGTGGATCGACCCAGCCGTTCTCAACGAGGATCTTGTCGCGGTTTTCAATGGAGATGTCGTCGGTGAAACGCTTGAGGAAATCCAAACTGGCTTGGTCAAAAACACAATCTTCGGTACCGTGTAAGTTGATGACAGAACAGGCGAGTTTGTGGTCGCGAATCTGCTCCGCAGTGTCCCCTAGGATACGGTCAGTCGGACGTGAGATTGAAGTGAGATTGAAGTGACTTGCAAGTACTCTTGGTGTACGACATTCTACTCACGTAGATTACTTGAGATTAAGGCGCGTGTTTGTCGCAGAAGCAGGAATGAGATTGTGACTGCGACCCTTATTATATGTTCTCAGCTACCGCACTGTTTCGTCGTCACCAGAGAGACGGTCGCTTTACCAATCACAAGTCTGCAGTCTGCAGCATCTGCAAACTCTTATGCAGGGCCCAAGGCCCCGAAGCGCCATTCCACCACTGATGATAGGTATGCCTCCACCACTCGAATCTACCGAGTTCTATTCACGCTGAGCACTTGCTATCGTACCGGCCGCGGTCTCCCCAATGCCCGCCAGTACGGCTGAAGGGGTGGTATCCGCGATGTCTTCAATCTCCTGAGCCTTTATCCCACGGAGGTAGTGACCTTGAGCTCTCAGCTCAATGCATTCACTGCACCTCGCCTCCCGATATGATGATATCTCCTGGAAACAAGCAAGCCGTGGAATGAGTCGCCAAGCGAAGCTCCTATCCTTGACAACTTTTTGGCTTCGAGGGCTCATCGATGGGGTTGGGCTGTTCGGTGATCTTTACGACATGGACATTAATTACCATCTTTGAGCAATGCGGTGGCGCCAAGATGTTAACTCATTTACGCAAGGACGTATACTTCTTGAGCACGGATGGCGAGCCGGATAAGCCTTGTCAGGCGAAGGCGGCTGCAGGGCAAAACGACACTGCGTGAAGCGCGTTTAAAAAGTTGTTGCGCCTTCTGTATGTCACATACCCTGCGGCATTGAAATTGAGAAGTTCGGTTGTTGCAACAGCAGTATAAATCTATGAGAAACCTATGCTACGTTACTGCATGGCGCGAGAAGATGGCTTCGGGCGTGATTCAAGTAGATGTTCTCTCCGCCCCGGAAAGTCGCCGAATGAAAAGTGGTTGAAGTTGAAAACCCTCAAAGCAAGACTGTGTTTCTCCTTTCTCCTCACACGCCATCAGCCATGGAACCAAGTGTGCGGCTCAGCGACATGTGTGACGTTTTCTATGTCGGTGGAAAGTACATACAAGATGATCGAGGGACACACATGACCGGCCAAATCTGCGTGCGGCGATATGGCAGGAAGGTGGACAACCGCCCTGCAATCATCTATATCCACGGAGCAGCGCAAACAGGCACTCATTGGGAAGCCACACCTGATGGCCGACCGGGCTTGGCCCTACTGCAGGCACAAAAGGGGTGGGAATGCTACGTTGTCGACCAGCCCGGCGTTGGCAGGTCTCGCTACCATGCCGAAGACCTGGGAAATCTCACCCACTACACGGTGGAGGAGCTAGAAGAATGCTTCACCTCGCCTCCACATGATTCATTTCCCCAGGCAAATCTACTTACACAGTGGCCGGGCTCGGGCAAGAAAGGCGATGCCATCTTTGACGCCTTTTATGCAAGCCAAGTCGGACATCTGGCGAAATACAAAGACGTGGAAAGGGCTTTTCGTCCGCTTGCAAAAGCTCTTTTTGCTCGCACAGGACCGGCCTTCCTGGTCACGCACTCCCAGTCTGGGCCTATTGGCTGGCACATTGCAGACGAATGTCCAGAGATGGTGCGTGGTATTGTGGCCCTGGAGCCAAACGGGCCTCCTTTCATCTACCCCGGCTTACCCCGATTCTACGTCCGAACACAAGGGACAAAAGCCGGCACTTTCGTGCGGCCATTTGGTATCACCTCAACTCCATTGACGTACGAACCCCCATTGCCGGAGGGTGCGAACCGACTAGAGTTCACGCAGGGCTCAAGCAAGATCGGAGAGAACGGTCTCTTCGATGGCGCGCGGCTGAAGGCGCCAGCACCCAGGCTACCTAACCTAGCTGGTGTGCCGACATTGGTGGTGACGGGGGAAGCTTCATACCATGCGACATACGATCATCTCACAGTGCTGTTTTTGCAGGATGCCGGCGTGCCTGTGGAGCATGTATACCTTGCAGACAAAGGCATTCGCGGCAATGGCCACCTTTTAGCAATCGAGAAGAACAATGAGGAGATCCACCGGTTAATTGACGACTGGATTACTCACAGAGTAGCAAACACTGCCACTTAAGCGGATCTGACGCCCTGGTCTGTCTAAGGTATTCCATACGACTGTCGCGAAATCAAGGCTGCACGATCTTGGCTCTTCAATACACACCATACTTGGTCGAAGCTGGTTGCACGCAGAGTTACCAAAACTGTACGCGCCGCATAAGGTCAGTCAGGACATGCTGGAGCGGCCGCTGTCATCAGCAATGTATGGCTTCAATCATTTGCCCGATTCTGATCATGCAGAGGAAGTAAATGGTATGAATCCAGGATAACAGAATTAGCTGTTGGGCGTAGAGTGACACCATGTTTCTTTCAGGACTCCCTGGGCGGTCCAACTCCGTTGGCGAGAGTGTAAAGGCCGTCAAGGTCGAGGAGATATTCACCTGATTGAATTCTTGAGTGGTGTCGACCAGAACCAACAAGCCACCATATTGCTCTGGCAAGCCGGACATGCAATGTGCAACCTGAAGGTTCCGGTGGTCGATAGCAGAGCGCAGTTGGAAGAACGAATAGGACGATGGGGGGCTTCGGATGAGGCCAGTTCTCGACAACTTCATACTTGGGCCTCGAGCTACTCAGAGATGTTTATCAATATCTCATCAGTGCTTGTTCGCATAGCAAAACCTGTTCTGGTACGCCAATGGCTGCTAGATGAAAGGGATATTGGGAAGTCTTCGTTGATGTGGATCTCGCGTCTTGATGTTGAGCACGGTTGGAAGTACTTTGATGGACGTTCAGAGCAGGACTGAGTGTGCTGTAATGCACATTCAATTAGTCCAGCGGCTTGTCAGACATTCTGTCCGAGAGGGCGCCTATCCATACAGACACGGCCCAGTGACAGCCAGTTCCGACTGGGGCTGTGTGAGGAAGTGTAAAGAGCTCGTGAGACCTTTCAGAGCTACATGGGTGACAAAGCCAAAAATTCCAGGATGATTGAAGAGAGCAAAAGTTCAAAGTTCTCTCGAACCAGAATCGGACCACACAGTTGGTGAATTTCAGCCGAACTACATCACCGAGAGTTTTGTATTGCCCCAGGCTGATGGTTGGGTGGACTTCGTCGACAGCAGGGAGTAATAAGATGCCCAAGGTTATGTACAGAGACGGAGTAGAATTCCGACAAACGGCTTTCTCCGGAGACTCGGTACACAGGCTCCGCTCCACGCTATTCAGCCCCCCTGTCAGCGGTGCGACCCTCTCAATTTGTTCGGAGTGAGATACGTATGCTGCGGAAAAGAACGATGGCCATTCCCATGCACTGTACTCGTATGCTAACTTAACGAGAGTCTTTCTCGCTTCGTTGATGGACAGGTCGTCCATTGAAAAGGATCAGCGCCCAAGTAATGCATCCAGAGTCCCCTGGACTCCCCACTCGAGGTCAGTCCAGATCTGTCTCGACCGTGTCCGTGTATCTTCAACTGATCCAGCAAACTGACTGCCATGAACAGATGACCATGGACTACTCTTGAGCCGATTCCCCCTCGACGTTCTCCAAGCTGAACTTCAACGACGGCAAGATGCACCGGCGAAGCCAGCATGCGGCACAGTGGGAAAACATGGCGCCTATAATATGGGAGTTCACGTCTTTGCGCTCTTCCTTATACTTGCACTTAGCACCTTGGGTATGCCACAACGCGGCAATTGAACGAGTATTCATTGATGGCTCTATAGCTTGTTCCTTTCCCGTCATTGCTCGCCGCTTTCCTGACCTCCCGATTCCGCATCGCTTTCTCTTCCTCTCTCGACACTTCGGCACTGGTGTCCTCCTCGCGACCGCATTCATACATCTGCTCCCTACAGCCTTTATATCCATGACAGACCCATGTTTGCCCGATTTCTGGACACACACATATCCCCAAATGCCGGGGTTGATTGCCATGCTTGCGGTGTTCATGGTCGTAGGGATTGAAATGTGGTTCGCGAGTCAAGGCGCCGGCCATAGCCATTCCAGTGAATGGGAAAGAATACCGGAGACACGACACAATCGAACAGAATCCTCAAGTCATACAAATGGGCACGTTCCTCTGAACAACCTACAGCCCCCGACAACCCCTTACGCGGACACGTCTCCGAAACCTCGCACTTCGACCGACAGCGACTCGGACCTGGAGCTGGACGATCTTGATCCTGTGGCCGATGAATCTGCAACCTTGAGCAATCCGCACAGGCGCAAGATCTCCCGACACGAGAACGACCCTCACCACCGGTCTTCCGATCGGGATGAGCAGAACCCACGTCGTCTCTTTCTTCAATGTCTACTGCTGGAAGCCGGGATCATTTTCCACAGTATCTTCATTGGTATGGCCGTTTCAGTTGCGCAGGGCACGCAATTCGTTGTCTTGCTGATTGCAATCTGCTTTCATCAAACCTTTGAGGGCTTTGCATTGGGCTCGCGCATAGCGGCGTTGATCCCTGTGCTTTTTGACGCAGGTTCACCCAAGCCATGGTTGATGTGCCTGGCTTACGGCGTAACCACGCCGGCGGGGCAGGCATTGGGGATTTTTCTGCATTCGCTGTACGATCCGGCAAGCAAGGTTGGGCTGTTAATGGTCGGCATTACGAATGCAATCAGCAGCGGACTCTTGCTTTTTGCAGGATTGGTGCAGCTCATTGCCGAAGATTTTCTCAGCGAGAAGAGCTATGAAAGTTTGCAAGGCAGACGAAGAATTGAGGCTTGTATAGCAGTAACACTTGGGGGCCTTTTGATGAGTGCGGTAGGAGCCTGGGCATAGGAGGTGATGGGCGATAGACCATTTCGAATCTTCAAGATCATATTTCCATCTCAATGTGCTCATAGTGCCTTCAAGACTTCTGATAAGTCGAGCGCTAGGTTATCAATATTGAATCACAAGATGCGAAGGTCAGGAAGGTCCAAAGCGCACGAGGCTGAGAACGCGAGGCTGTGCCGCGGCCACTAAGTGCGTCATCCTGCAGCTGCATCTGATGTGAGTTAAAGCATCTCTGGATCCAAGCGACCGAGATATCACCTGATGGACATCCTTCCTGCGCAGCTCATCTGATCCCAACTATTCCTGTCTCCAGATGATCTTCTGACCGTTCTAATCGACCTACATAGGCGCAGTCCTGTCCTTCAACTGCGAGTCCCTCGGCATAGAACGTTGAAACTCTCTCTAGCTTGCGCAATTCACGATCGGGAGTCAGACCAAAATCCGCGATGGCTTACGTCCCAGGGCTAACGTTGCCTGCTTCCATCTTCTCCAATGCGCCGATCTCAATTCTCCTTCCCCTCGGACTGGGCCTTGGTTCGGGATTGGTCTCGCAGCCTGGGAAGTTCGCGCCAAAGAAACTCTCAGACGCTGCTGCCAAAGAGCGAGGGACGTTTAGAAGCACGCAAGAGCAATACCTGGCCCTGAAACAACCTCCCTTCAGACCACCACCTTGGGTGTTCGCGCCAGCTTGGTCCACTCTCTACTTGTTGATGGGATATGCAGCTCACAGAGTCTGGACAGTTGGCATGGCGAGCATGAACCCCCAGACGGTCGAGCATACTAGAAGAGGCGCGACACTCTACACCCTACAACTAGGGTTGAACCTCGTTTGGATGCCGTTGTTCTTCGGCTTGGGCAGACCTATCGAGGCGATGCTCGACATTGTGGCCTTGACCGGCACGGTGGGCTACATGACTTATGTCTGGAACAAGGTCGACCAGACAGCCGCGTACCTGATGGCGCCATACCTCGCCTGGTTGTCATTCGCGACCTATCTGACGGCTGGCACTGGCCATCTTAATGGCTGGACTATCAGATCAAAACCGGACAACCAAAACGAGCCCGGACAAAAGGAGTAGGACGAAGCAATAGCAAGCGCAATGGCGGCCGCATCTACTGCTTGCAGACTCGCTGAACTCCCAAGGACAAGGTGTCGGGGACGCTCTCCAGGTGAAGCGATAACTCCAGGGCGGGTCTTTTGACTGATTCCCCAGCATGGAAGGCGAGCATCGACATCGGTGGACATTATGATTGATTTCTGGCATGGCACGGCGGTGAGAGGGTAGAAAGTAGTTTCCCGCCACGTGGTGAACCCACTTGTCAGACACGAGGTATGAATATTCCCACATGGGGCAGCGAGGCGGTGGAGCATATCGCCTATCCAGCCTTTTGAGAGATGGGCAGGAAGGAGACCAACCTACGATGACGGAAACAATTGAAGTACTGCCCGCGTATGGTTGGACGTCGGCGCACAGAGGGCAGTTGTCAGACGTGCAGTGCAGGTGGAACAAACCTCGGTCACACAACTATTTTCAAGTCTGGCGCTTGCAGGCTTCTTGACGGGGGGCAGGCCACTCTCGTGTAAGTAGTTGCTAATCGGACAAATGGCTTCAAGATACTTTACCTGTTCAGGAATGAGTTCCTTGCAGTTACAATAGCAGATTGCAAATTCCACAAGCGAGGCCATTCGCGGATCCCCCAAAAGAGGTCCTGGTCATCTTGATCCCCGTCGACTTGGGCATGGGGAGGACTTTGTGATATTGTGACGATTGGGTATATCATATCACCCGACAGGGACGTTCAAGTTATGTATCCGAAACGCGCGAAGGTGGGCGGGCGTGATTGGGATATGAATTGAATTCGATTCGTGTCTCCGCTCCATCCGGAGAGATAAGCAGGGGCGTTTACTGTTAGTTCCTAAGCTCAGACTCCTCGTTGTTCCTGTCGCGGTGGCTACATCTGTGCCACGGAGATAACCAGAGGTGCTTTTACTATTCCCAAGCTCAAGATTCCTCGTTGTTTCCTCTTGCGCTGGCTACATCTGTTGCCTACGGCACATTTCGGGGTCGTCCGGCAGGTTGCGCCTTTTCGGAAACTTGTGTGAACAACAACAGCTTCATTTGGTCGGGATACCCTCTGCCTGCTTGGCCACGTCACTCGCGATCTTTTCCTGCTCGTTTTCGCCGAGCTCCTCGCGTCCCTCGGCAAAGACTTTGTCAAAGTCATACTCGCCCCATCTGATGGTCGGGTTCAGGCCGGCGAACTTCCACTCGCCGTCGATCTTCTTGTACCAGTGCTGGTTGCTGCTGTGCGCGTGTCCCTTGACCAAGATCTTGCTCCTCGTCTCGTCGGCGTACTTTTGATGGGGCACGCGGAGTTGATGGTACCCGATGATCTCCGTGTCCGAGACCTTTTCGAACGTGGACGCGCCGCAGAAGTGCTGCGTCATCAGCCGCGGGTCACCCAGCACCTTCTTGTCGGAGATCATGGCGATGAAGGCGTCGGCCGGCATGGCCTCCCACAGTTTGTTCAGGAACGAGCGGTAATCGATGCGGACGGTGGGGGCGACGATCTTGCGTAGGCGTTCCCAGTCCTGCTCCGGGGGGACAACGTTCAGCGGGGTGAGTTGGGAACGGGGTGGAAAATGGAAAGTGTCGGTTCTGCGTGACAGTGACAACAACGCACCTTGGAGTCATAGCTCTCGGCCCATTCCCAGTACGCTCTGAGAACGCCTTGGTAGTCTGTTCGTCGATGCAAAAAGGAGCGCGCATGTCAGCTTCAGGGCATTGCGGAATGAACATCGAAGGGGAGCACGCAGGCAGGCAGGCTGCCGATTGGAAAAGCGCAAGACCACTGACTGACCTTCCCACGAGATGAGCTTGTCCTTTGACGCCATAATGTCTGCGCAGCAATGACACAAACTCCACTACAAACGGGAGAGAGAGAGAGAAAGGGTGGCGTGCAGGTGCAAGAGACAGGAGAGAGGAGAGAGGGGGAGGGGCAGGGGAGGTGAAGATAGCAAGTGAAGGTGAAAGCGCTCGCTCGTCCGCACTCTGTCAAATAAATTCGTCGAGTCGCACACCGCCCCTTTCGATATACGCTATCCACGCAGCACACGGAAACCCACACCCACAGATTTGCCCAGAGCAATGGTGAACCATATCTAGGGCCTTTCGGAACCTAGCGTACCGCACCTCGAGCCCTGGTCGCCCTATCTTCTTGCAGCGTCTGCCATCTGTTGCTCAGGAACAGCTGCAAGAGGCGGGCGCTAAAGCGGGCATGTGGCGGGGCAATAACGCCGCGGAGTCAGGCGCCCTTAATTAGTCGGAGTGGGGCGTCGACGACGTATGCCATTTTTGGACGACGCACTTCCGGTCGACGGACGAGCAGCGGGCACAATGTGACACCAGAAGCAGTACGGAGTACACAGTATGTGTTAGAGACAGCTATTATTCAGAGTAGACGAATGGACCTCCGACTTTTGTGGTGAGGTACGGCTGCCCGTCCACGAACTTACACCGTGGACAAACCGCAGTCCACGTGCCTGGCCAGGCCAGGTCTCTTACTGCCAGTGCAGCCATATTAATTCCGACATCTGTCGCTATTCATGAATGCATTTTAGGGCGCTCGTCCTCCGACACTCTACGTTCACACAAAGTTATCTCACTCTCAAGGTCTTTCCCAACCCTCCTACAACACGCTTAGCGGCCATGGGTTTTACGAACCCACAAGCCAGCCCCGACTTTGCAGTTCTCATCATCCCACCACATCGCAGATGTTGGTTCTTGTCCATGGGTAGCCGCAGTAAAGCCCCGGCCACACGGCGGTAGCTGCCAAAGAACGGATGTGCACGAACATCGTCCTTGCTCCGACTCGGACTGACGAGACCGTGGCCCAGAGTGACACAGAGTTGGCCTCCAATCTCGACGGCGTGGCCATTCGGATGATGGAATGGAGTAAGGAGGATCGAATAGACGCTGCCCTTGAACGAGACGCTGCGCGTGGCGACCTGACTGGGGAACACCCATTTCCCGTCGTGTTGGATGGGATGCCAGGGCGTGACCAGCAACTCACCAATGCGACACAGTTTCTGCTTGTTGCCGCGGATTCTTGTCCTCAGGATCGCTGCGATGGCTCGTGCACCCATGGGCGTCCACACCAGCAAGCCTGGCCGGAGGCTTTTGAGCGGCTTCGAGTACCCGTCGCCCATTTTGACGAGGCAGTTTCCTTCGAAGCAAGGTGCTGAGCTCGAGTTGTAGCTCGCCATACTCACTTGTTTGTATGCAACGGTTCGACTTCCGCTCACCCTCCCCTTCGCATCGTACGTATACACGACCCTTGGCGGACGGGAAGGTTTCGGCGCCGGGAGGCTGTCAAAGGCAGCGTCCAGCTCGGTCCGGCACTGGACAAACAGCGGACTGTCCTTGCCATAGAGCAATGGGCCGGCATCTTTGAAGGTATTGCACACCTGGCGCTGGTGGGCGTGAAGCAAGCTGGGGAGATAATGCCGCCCCCATTTCTGCCAGTAGTTCCTGTCCTTGGTCGAGACGAGGGCTTTGGAGATTTGGCCGTGAGGCTCGTCGCCGACCAGGTCGTCTAGAAGAGATTTGACCTCCAGAGTGGCTCCAAATGGCGACGATTGGATGGCCGTGACAATGCTGCCCAACCGAGCGTGGGCATCGGTCAAGGCCTCCGTGCCCGTGATCGCCGTGTGCTCGCCGTTCGTCTTCAACGGGAAAAGGGTCGACAAGAACTCGCAAATCTGTGCTCTGTGCATGTGGTAGTTGACCATATTCTGAGGTAGGCTTGTCCTGTCCGAGAACAATGCACGGGCCTGAGAAGTCCGTGCAGAGCCATCTGCAATTCTGTAATTGAGCCTCGCAGTGATCTCGACGTCCTCTTGTGTGGATGGCCGGCAGAGGAAAACCAGATCTCGAGATTGCCCAAATTGGATGTTACCGAGTTCCAGCAGATGGCCGTGTTCCCCCTCCTCCAGTAACGTACCACCGGTGGACTCCAGGGTGATGTCGTCGGAGAGTTGTATCTCGAGCGAGGCGGATGTCCCAGCTGTTGTATACAGATTGGCCACCGAATGGACAAATGCAGTGCCGATCATGCCAGCGTCGGGGATGAAGGCATAACTTCCTTTTCCTACCTCGGCAATCGACTGCATCAGATCAGAGCGGATTTCATATCCGAATCCAAACGTATGAATAGTAGGTATAGAGGCTCTTTTACGAGCTGCCTCTTTAAGCATAGGCCCCAGTTTGTTCACATAACTAGTACGCTTGTCAGCAGAGGGCGGACCCAACTTGAGCGGGCACGGTATCATACCCTTGTTTGGGGCACATGTGGTTTGGCATGCCGTCGGTTAGCACGTAAAGACCTTGAACATTGTCGACGAGCGCGGTTGTTGAAAACAGCTCCAAGCCACTACGGATACCGGCCCAGAGATTTGTGCTCGACTCATCCCGGAGCGATTCGATTCTCTGCCTCGCTTTCTTCTTTTCGCTCGCTGACATGAACGTGAGTTCCTGCACGACCTGTGACCATGCCGCGGTTCAGCTTCCAAAACCACGTGTCCGCCAAGGGTTGAGTGACTCACCGTCGCGTCGTCAGAGAATGTCACGATCCCGAGCCTATCGCCAGGTCCCAGAGTCTCCAAGATGGTCCTTGCAGCATGCTTCACTAGGTCAAGAACGCTGAGCCCAGCCGCTTCTTTATCGTTGTCGCCCGTGGCTTCGGGTAGAGGTGCGGCAGCTGACATGCTGCCAGAGACATCAATGACAAGCACGATATCACACGAGGCGCGCTGGAGACCACCCTCCGGGACTTTGGGCGGCTGGATTGACACGATAAACGCATCGCTCTCTCGCAGCGGGTGGATCTCGACCTGAGCTTGATCTCCGTGCGCTCTCGTTCGTGGTTGCAGTGCAAGGTCGGCAAATTCGTCCAACGGAGCCGTGCCGGTAGTGACAGTGGACTGGATGGGGTGGCGGAACACCTTAGCTCTGAGGACCATTTTGGGAGATTCCTAAGGGTGAAGCTGTTCGAAGTCGAGATGTTGTTCCCTGGACAATCGGTCGCTTTGAAGCAGAAAGTGGCGAGCACGGCCTGTCAATCTGAAGGAAATGTCTTGAGCAGATGCTTGTTGGGAGAATGCAGAGATCATGAGACCGAAGCATTTCCATCGCTTTATAGCTGACCATTATCTTTTGCTGCCTCCTCAGACAGGCGTGAGTTTCGTTGAATTTTTTGCACCGCCCGCAAGGCTCCTTCGTGGTGGACATTGAGAGCATCCTTCGAGATTCAACCTCGACAACCTATTGTGAGTCTAACAGAGTCTAACTGACTCTTCCGTGCAATTGATCGCCCTACAACCTACTAGTCTTGATGTTTGTGGAGGCGGCGATATGGTCGGTGCCAGGGACTTTGTCGAAGCCAAAAGCTTGTAAGGCTGGCCACGGTGGACTCATGGAGACTATATTGTTCCCCGTCCAAGCGCAGCAGCGGATTGAAACTGGTTGAAGCAGGTTGAAGCAGCCACCTGATCCGACCGATGAAACTTGAGCCTCATGCTGGATTGCGGACCTCTCACCAAGCCCCATCAGGCCCAGCACTTGTGGCGAGCGCGGACCGTGCACTTGTACCAGCAGAGAACGCCCATTGAGGCTGAAAGTCGCGTGCACTTTGGATAGAGGAGCAGGTTTGAAAGACCAAAATCAATTTTGCCTTGGCTGTGCCTTGTGATTCCGTCAATGCGGCTGTGGCACTAGCTTTCAGGCTTCGCACAAGGTGGACCAATCGGCGGACAAGGCAGCCAACGGAACTCAGCGCTATGTCCAGTGGTAGTGCTACCATGTACGACTATATCGTGCTGTGTGTACGGTGCCATGACACTAAGATACAATCTCGCCTTCAGGGACTTTGGAGAAAGTTCCTGAGGATTTCGGTCAAGGTTCTGGTCTCTTTATTCCGGTAGGCTGTCGCGAGAGATCCTTTCAAACACATCAGGACCTGCAGACTTAGAGACGGCGCCGAGGCGGCGCCGACGTAGCCGCAAACGCCGTGACTCTGCTCAATCTCTCCTCGGGGTGCCGAGGAAGGTACTGAGTACAATGACGTTCGCGTTCACCGTCCCGTGAAGCGGTCTTCTGCTCCATTCTTAACAGTACTTGCTGTGCGAATTTCTAAGAATTGCATTATGTCCATCCGCTCCACGGTCAATCATGTGCGTAGCGCCGAGGACAAGTGCGGGTTTGCGGCCGCCCAGCCATCTTAGTAATCACACCCAGTCACCAAAGTGGTGAGACGCATGGAAGGTCGGCTTGGGGTGCATCGTAATCTCAGCTTGGCCTCTTTTGACAAGAGTTCAATGTACCCTACTTCGTCGACTTCTCCCCAGCCAAGGAAATCCAGTATTAGTCAAACGAGCGGCCGCCGGCTTGGAATAGAACAAACACGAGTAACTGATGACTTGCGACAACACCGTGCACCAACCATGTGACGCAATGAACCCATTGACCGGAAGCAATACGTGTACGTGAAAGCATGGAAAACATGCCATCTCCAATAGAGGGTCGAGGGCATAAAAGACCTCGAGTCCCCCAGGGACTTCTCGTAGAAATCTGCCAGAGAAGCACCCGAGTCCTCCAGAGCAACAAATCACACCTCAAGAGAACCAATCCATAACAGTGCCCGATCCTCTTTCGTCCACGCGATCTTCCAATATGGGCTCGATTGCTCCGAAAAGCGAGACAATTCTCATCACCGGTATCTCAGGCTATGTTGCGTCTTGGATCGCACATTCATTTCTGGATGCGGGATACAGCGTCCGTGGGACCGTCCGATCTGAGCGTTCCATCGATCATATCAAAAAGGTACACGCGAAACATGCTGATCGATTGTCGTTCGCCGTCGTTCCAGATATGGCCGCGCCGGATGCCATGACCGAAGCCGTCAAAGGGGTGGCAGGGGTCATCCACACGGCCAACCCCTTCATCCTCGACCCCAAAGACAACGAGGAAGAGCTTCTGAAGCCATCAATTTCCGGGGTCTTGAACGTTCTCAAAGCCGCCGCCAACGAGGGTCCAGCGCTGCGCCGGGTTGTTTTGACCGCTTCTTTTGCCTGCATCCTCGATCTGAGCAAAGGTTACCGTCCTGGCTTCACGTATGACGAGTCCAATTGGAATCCTGCGACGTACGAGGAAGCCAAAGCTTCGGATAACGGCGGTTTCACCTATTGTGCGGCAAAGGCTCTGGCGGAGAAGGCAGCTTGGGACTGGATCGCGACAAACAAGCCATCTTTCTCCTTCACCTCCATCCAACCCCCTTGGATCTTCGGTCCGACTCTTGGCGGGGTTAAATCCCTCGACCACCTGAATGAGTCGACAGAGGCCATTTGGAAGCTCGTCAATGGATCCACCAAAGAAGTGCCGCCCGTGGACTTTGCAGGCTTCTGCGATGTGAGGGATGTCGCTTTGGCCCACCTCAAGGCGTATGAGCTCGAGGAAGCTGGAGGTCAGCGATTCATCACTGGATGCCACTTTGACTATCAGATTGCGGTTGACGCTTTGAGGGCCGACTTCCCCCAGATTAGAGACCGCATCCCCGAAGGGACTCCGGGTCCAGCAGAGCCGACGTATGAGATCAATCACAGCAAAGCGGAGAAGGTGCTGGGTATCAAGTTCACACCGTTGAACGTGACACTAAAGGACACGGTTGAAGACCTCCTCGCGGCAGAAGGCAGATAGGCGTGTGAGGGTTTCACGCATGCAGCAAGGAGAGTTCACTCAAGCGAGGACACTTACAAAAGCTATAGTTCGAGTTAACAGATGAAACCGTCCGATTGCTTCTTTTTCCGCAACAAGAAAGCACCCCTGACAAGTAACTTCCTACCGCTGTGATGATACATAAGCCACCTGTCAGCAATGAAGTTGGCACCCGATAATGCGTTTGGTAGTCTGTCTTTTCAGCCGAAGATATCAGCTTCGGACAACCGCCCCCTGGTGACGCTGTTGATGTGACGCTCTCTCGACGTCATGGAATTTCCCCTTACTATATCCAGATGGTTGCAAGCCGGGCTGATTAAGACCAAGTTGAAGCTGGATGTTTTGGATAAAGCCAGTCGAGATTCAAGCAACAGGATTGAACGGACCTCCGCGAAGCATAGGGAGCTCGGTTGATGGCAAGGTTATCCGGTAGTACTGGTCGCTGGCAGGTACAACGTTAATTTGTGGGCTTCAAGCCGCACGCTGCCTTTTCTGAACAACTCCAACAGGTGTGCTGCAGCCCCTCGAAGCCACAAAGCATCCACACTTGAATGCTGCTGCTTGAATTGGCCCATGCAGATGACTGGCCCTAGCTCGATGTTGTTTGAATTAACGTTATACCAGCAACATGACTAGTACCCAGAAAGTATTTGGTTCATCGTGGTCACGGTTGCGCAAGCATGGCCGGTCCATCCAGCGGGTGGGTTCTGGCCATCAATAGTCGCAGAAAAGTGAGGCTCGAAAACGAGTTGACAGATGGAAACGGCAGAGATCGACTAGCGCGAATGAGGTGACAGACCATAGTCACTGATTGCAAGAATCGATAGGCACCCTTGGTCGGAGAATGCTCGCCGGGCTTGAAGCCCGCTTTTGCCAGGATGCGAGCCGTCCCTTTAGGGGCAGCGAGAAGGGGGCAGAGGCCTCGTTGTCTTCGGCGATCAGGCCCCAAAGCAGCATAGCTTCATCAATCTTGAGCCATCGACTAGCAGGTGGCGACCACCGCGACATACTTGGCCCGGCCTATCGGATGTGTAAGAGATTCTTGCTGGTTCCTGGCGCGGTGATTGACACGGCACTGGATACTCATACCGATGTACTGTATGCAGGAGGTAGATGAGCTGAGGAGTTGGAGGATTTTGTTTTCGCACGCGTTTCGGTCGCACGGTGGGTGGCAAGCCATGAGGCAACAGTCAGTGAAATTGCGCAGCAGGACACGCGGTGGCCACGAGTGGACTGGCATGTTCCGACAACGACGGAACGAGGAAAGGTTAGGGGAAAGGATTAGCGGGTGGTGGACACTCGAACCGCGGTCAGGTTCAGGGAATGGCAAGAAAAGCCTTCTGATGGGCTGCAGGAGATGGCGCACGTGGCTGGAAGCCCATCGCATCTTCGACCCCGGATGGCTTGAAAACGAAAGAGGGTCCAGGGCTCTGCGATGGCGACTCAGCCATGGTCCAGGGGGCTTTCGAGTCGCCCCTTGGAGAGTCTGATCTGCTGGGAGCAAATTGGCATTCATGGCCAGCGAGCAGTTGGGTGTCCTGACAAGCTGGGAACCGGGTGATGGCAAAGCTGATGCTTCATCACTGACTGACACGAGATGGGCGGGGCAAATCGCGGTGGAGGAGCATTGGGCGACACTGCGCTCCGCACCGCATCCTCGCACATCTCGCACCCCTCGGGCACAGGGTGCTCTCCTTCCCACGTTTTCACGTTGCTGTGCTCAAAACCCGATCTGCAGTGGCCAATGCGAGTCGCGACCATGTGAAACACCAGCTGCCTGTGCTATGTACGAGGAGACGGGTATGGACGAGGACGCCTCCCACACAGCTGTGCTGATGCTGCTGCGCTTTCGGTAGCCGGCATATCGACGCAGTCGACGATGGTGCTTGCGCGCTTTATCCGAAGAGCAGATCCGTCGATGCTGCGTGATACTGTACGTACTCCGTCCTTGGTGCCCAAATTAACCGTAGTTGGCGTGCTCGCAGGAGTGGTATAACCTAAGTGCTAGGTAACTTTCATGCCCACAGCAACTCCCCAAGGCAGCTAGTCGAGGCTTGAAAGAGGAATGGGGGGTCCGGGAGGCAACGATGGCGACCGGGATCAGGCATGGGCCCCCCCAGCTCATAGCCAATTCCGGCCTCTGCCATGTCGAGTCGACGACTTGTCCACGCACAGCCCGCAGCGATTGACATCTCCACGTTTGAGCGTCGCTCGGGTGTCTTGAGTTGGGCGCTCTTCCTTGCAGCTGTATCTCTTGTCTCTGGACCTTGAATTTTCTGCATCTTGATTCTGAATTCGCCTCTTGCTTCTTCTGCTTGTTGCATGCTGCAATCACAATCGCCATCTCTTCTTCTCTTTCCCACTGCAGGTCACGGCCATTTGGCACATGTTCCGTCCAGGACGCCACTATCTTTCGCCTCCGATCGTTTCTCCGATCTAGCACTTGCACCGGGCACCCTTGTTTCTGGGCGCAGCTCCCGCGCATTCTTACGTACTCCAGTACTCTTTGACTGCGCTCTGGATACTTGACAGCTGCAGTACATCCTACCTCCTGTTTTCACTCCGCAACCGACCTTTCTCAACATTCGACCGTTTTGTTCTGTTGGCCCCCCTCAGCGTCGGCCTATTGACTTCAGACGTTGTTCTCTGGGGAATCGCAGCAGCCTAAGCCCGGCTTTGCGCTCTACCCGATCTTGCTCAAATTGTTACCCTGCCGTCTCCCGACGGCCGACCCTTGTACGACGATTGCTCCCGCAATTTCACCCACTCGAGCCACTTTTCCCTCTCATTATCAATCCCTGGAAAGCCGCATCGCTTCGACCCTGCTCCACGATCTCCCGTGCCACGTTTTGCCGTCGAACGCACGTCGATCAGCGTGCGTCTCCGGAGAAGGAGAGTCTGAATCGGCGCATACTATCTGACCTGTGTTGGCCTCTTTTCCACGTCTCGACCTCAACCGCGGCGACGACCGGATAAGAGCCTTCGGGTTGAGTGAGCGAGCGTGCAAGGATACCGTGGAAGCCGTTGAAGCCAGGGCGCGGCCGTTACCGTTTGAGTGGTCTCCAACCAGCGGTAGTTGAGCTGGATCTCAGCATATTCCCTCCACAAATATTGTACCACTGAAAGCTGCCGTGTCAGCCTCCCTGAATCACCTGTTCGAACGGGTACTCCTCGCATTTCATCTTCCACAAGCTACGGGCCAATAAGTTGCTCCATCGCTGGACTGGTGGGCGACGGGTCAAGGGACTTTCGATCCGCGTTTGAACAGCCATATGCGCGACAGCGCCGTCTTGCTCGCTATCTGAGCTAGTCAAATCGATACATCAACAGCTCACCCATGATGGAAACCACGAGCCACCGTCCCTGGGAGACAAACCCCCCTCACACTCTCCCCCAGACAAACCAAACTCTACCCTCAATAGCTTCTTTGACCTCGAAGATGCCTGCCCAACCGCTGGACAGAGCCCCTTCAGACCTTTCCATTCTTCCTCCACAAAGAGATTCGGGAAGCTGGATGACTCCTGGGACACGTTAGTATATCCCACTCTTTTGACACGTGGGTGAGAGGCTGACCGCTGCACACCCAGTATCAGGATCATCCACGAATTCCATGCCTTATCTGAACTCTGCCCACTCACCGACCGGTCCAAGCCTGTCGCCCTTCACCCCAGATAACCCTTCAGCTCCACCAGCGCCTTTCAACGGCGGTATGCACCAAGCCTCGAATGGCCTCACAGCCCCTACGTCGGACCCATCTACGCATCCAAACCGGGGAAGTGGCGACTTCAATGATTCGCGAAGGAGCAGCGTTGCTTCGAACGGCATCCACGCGGGAATGAACAATCTGGTGTTGGGACCGACCTCTCCGTACACCAGCAACAATGCATCTCAGACTTCGCTCGTTTCTGGCCTGCAGAGAGAAAGAGGGATACAGACAAACGGATATCCCGGGGGGAATAGTCGCTACTCCACGATGAGTGGTGGGTCGATCGCATCTTTCGGCTCCAATAGAGGCGGAAGAGGTGGTTTTGCAGCAGGTCGAGTAGCACCGCCCATTTTGGAAAACCCTAAACAAGAGGTCTACAGTGCAGAAGCCCCTACTCGTGGTCAAGCATATGCTTTTCCCGACCCGGATGCGCCGCGACCCGGAGGACGGCCACCTTCTGAGTTTTCGCGCAGGAACAGTTTTGCCGAGTCTTTTACTAGCAGTATTCTAACAGTGGAGTCATCGAGATTGCCACCTGGTCAGCACGGTACGCATTCAGACGGCTAGTTGTCGTTACCAAAGCTAACGCGATCAGAACTTCCTGAGGCTCACCATCACAGCCTACAGCACAAGCAGATCGATAGTCTACGAGGCGACCCCGATTCGCCCAACGGCACCACTCCATACAGTCGCACACCAGAGCTCCGAGTGACTCACAAACTCGCAGAGCGCAAGAGGAGGAGCGAGATGAAGGATTGTTTTGAACAGCTACGGACCCGGCTACCGTCAAGTCAGAACAACAAGTCTAGCAAGTGGGAAACTCTATCGAGAGGTGAGGATTTACCGTGAAAATCATGGGATCGTCACTAATGATCCGCAGCCATCGATTATATCTCTCACCTGGAGACCCAGAACAAGCAACAGCGCGCCGAGTCCGAAGGTCAGCGGATAAAGATGGCAGAGTTGGAGGCCAAAATGTTAGAGATGAGTCGCCAGATGCAGAGTATACAGCAGACACAAGGCTCCTTCCCTCCGGCGCCTGCCGTCATGCCGCAGAGCCCACTGGAATACGGCACCCATTATAACAATCACCTCAACGGTGCAAACGAGCCCGCACGAACACTCCCGCCAATCATGAGCAGCAACTCCATGCAAGGCATACAATATGACGACAGACGATAAAACATTCTCAGGACTATTGTCTTGATACATTTCGGTGCCTACACGGTTGCGCTTCTGCTCTGGCCTTTGATGCCAACTTCGCCATTCATCGCCTTGCAGGTCGTGCTCTGAGCAGAAGCTAGAGCGTTACGGCAGGAGGCCTCATCTTTTCGGGGACGGTGGGATTGGACTGATTTTATGATACCATGCGCAAGGCAATACGCTCACAAGAACAGAGCAAAATACGGCACTGGACAGTGCCAGGACTTTGGAGATGCCGGGGTATGATTGCAAAACTACTGTGTGCCATAGCTAGGGACAGTTTTTGACTGTTAGATAATTTGGCGCTCGTTCTGCTGTGAGACTCAGACAGTCTTTGTATATGACGAACATTGAAACAAAGCCGCACGATGAGTCGAAGATGATCGCGTCACAGCCTCGCCAGCCATTGGTGCAGCCTTGCAAGACACCCAGCGATGATTGGCTGTGGGCTCTTCATTTCTAGCCCGGTGACCGCGCGCTTAATTTCACTTTGTTCAAATTTCAACCTCCAGTCACCATCTCGCTCTGCGACTTCTGAATCATTTTCGCGACCGGAATGCCGGCCGGCCAAACACATGCAAGGCTCGCCGTGGAGAGCTATGTTTGGAACGTCCACGAGGTCCATAGAGCCGCGAGCTCGAGCCCAAAGAACCGCGTCCCAAGCCAGAGCCTCAAACACCAATGGCTCAGTCTCCACGAAGCCCGCCTCCTCCGAGAATAAACACATCAGATCGCGGCTCACTCTTCTCTACAAAACATGTTTCCATGCCCGCTCTCAAGCCGCCTCGTAGAATCTCTCTCTGCCGGCCCAGTACCCACTTTTGATTCATGCCAATTGCTCACATCATTCACCTGTCTCTCGCAAGTCTCACCTTTTCTATTGTTTCCTTTTCCTATTCACTGTATTTCCTACACAGCAGTTGGATTTTCCCTTCCTTCGTGCTGTTCGTACTTCCATACAAGCCAGCGTATATAATTCGAAACAGTCTCACTTGTTTCCCGAGCACAACAAAAATGGTCCCGATAGCTGCGAGTCCATTCAGCTGAACCTGGGTTGCACAGTCGACCATCGTCATATTAGATGAAGGCATGCGAGCTATTTTCTCCAATCTACCACGGTACCGCGCTATTTTCTCGGCCTCCCCAGCTCGCCGACAATGGTGGCCAGTTTTGAGCCGCCTAGTGGGCAAACCACAATAACCCAACACCGGACGCCGGCTCCAGCATTCCCGCTATCATCACCTCATCATGAAGTTCTCACGAAATTCAAGCCTGTCAATGGCGCCGGTACGCTGGCCGCAAACGACGCCTTTTTCTCGCCAAATCCTTTCGCTTCAAGCTCATCCGAAGACGACACCGGATCTTCGAGCGGACAAGACGAGTTTCATCTAGAAAGATACAGCCAAGAAACCAACCGCACGGCAAAAACACCAGGAATGAATCGAAAACAATCTCGCCGGCGGAAGCAACAGCACTCGGCTCAATCAGGTGCCGACAAAAAGGCTCGACCTGGTTTGAACATCGTCACCAACTTTTCTATGAAGGCCAAAAGATCCAACACCGATGGACTAGTCCTTGATCAGGTGCAGTCCCAAAGACCTCGACTCGGTCCGAGGTACGCCACTTCCATCAAATCAGCCAAAGCTGAGCATATGGACCACCCGTTGTTCGAACCCCTTCCTAGAGCTGACAAAGACCGCGATTCGGCGGACAAGGAGAGGGTGTCGAAGAGGGCTATCGCTCGACAAGCTGTGTCGAAATTGCAGGAGTCACAGGCTGCCAGAACGAAGGCAGCAGAAGTGTCAAAGACCAAGGAACCAACGTTCTCAGGTGAACAAACCCACCACGACAACGGCAGAGTCCACCTCCACAACCCAGTAAGCGCCACCAGTGGATACTCTCCAGGAGCTCGGTCGATCGTTATCGGTATGAGTGTGCCGGAGCATGAAGTGGACGCGCATCGATCTGCAGGTGGAGGTAACAATGTCCACTCGGCAGACACCCCCAACACGCCTGCGATTGTCATCACTCCAGCGGACGAGGCTGATTTCGGGAACCCGGCCTTCTCCAACGAGCGCTCCAATGTCTATTCACCTCCTGCACGCACCGGGTTCCAGATGCAACCTAGTGAGTTACCTTCGGTACCCGGGATACCTGCACGTTTTGGGAAACATGATAGCAATGTTCGGCCCGTGGCTGGTGCAAGCATCATCCGCTCCGAGAACGAATCTGACCTCAGCCGTCGAGAATGCCTCAATGACGGCGAGGAGAGCGACCATCACTCACTAGGGGACGAACCCAGAGTTTCGACAGACAGCCAGGAACGCATCCTACCATCAGACCTTGAAACCAACCGTCACAAATCGCAGGGCTGGTGGAACTTGATGCTTTCGCCCTTGCTGTCTCGAAAAGGGACGGTAGTCGAGAAGGGAGCGGAGAGGAGTCCGGAGACGCCTCCTGTTCCATCTATCCCGGCCGACATCAGGCTCTCCATGACCGACGTGGTATCTCCGTTGGCTTCCGAATCTCCAGAAACGCCACGACGCGCTGGACTTGCTAGCGCAAGAGCCAGTGTGTGGTCCAGGTGGACGACTTGGGAGAGACAGAGGGATGGAGACAAAGGGTTCGATCCGACAGACGGTAGCAAGGACGACGATGGACAGCGCCGTGATTTGATACAGGGGTCCAGCCAAGTGCCCCCACTTCCGTTAGTCGACTTCGGCAAAGGGCTTGCTGCGGAGTACTATCATGCCTGTGCTGTCGAGCAGTTAACGGGCAATCCGTATTTCGAGTGTGAAAACCATTCTTGTGCGGACAACTTGCCTCGATTACAGTCGGTATTTGACAAGGAAGCAAGCACGCGGACGTCACTGGAAGCCTCGAAGCAACTGGACATGGACGTCGAGGACGATGCCAACGTGCCTCCGGCAAGCCGTCTGGCGTTGGGTCGCGCCATCTCTAGCTCATCGGAACCAGAGGAGCTGTCACCAAATGTCAGACAGGCAAATACAGCCACTGTGGTCCGGGCTCGTGGCGTCGAGACGCCAGATCTTCCGCAAGAATCACCAGGAGAACAGAGTGAGGCCCCGAGTCGACAAGCGGATACAGATGCAGTGACTGAAACGCGCTCTGCCCCAATTACGAAGCTGTCTCCTCGTGAACCTCAGTACCCTAATATCGCCACCATCGCCTCCCCAAATCTCCAACCACCAATCCTGTCACCTGGTCCTGTATCACCGGCCATGCAACAAACGATGACGTCCCAGGGGGCTGTTCCCATGGCTGAAATCGATCATCAGCCAGATCAGCCACGTTTGCTTGAGCAATCACCGGCATCGACTGACCAAAAAGCGTTTGGAGCAACGCAGCCCCCAGCGGTGACCATACATAATCATGCCTTCTATAGCGACAGATTTGCGTCCGGAAACAACGCGGCTGTTGAAGAGGCAAGGAAAGAAGCCATGGCACGACTAGAGTCCGCCCCTATTAGCCGCGAAGTCGACCAAGCCCCGAAAACAGCGAAAGAGGCACCCCCAGTGACGAGAGATTCAGAGCCTGCGGAAAAGCAGGAAAAGAAAAGCATATGGTCGAGGCTCAAGAGCCTACTCCCGAAGAAGAAAGCAGAAGAAACCGTGGAGCCTGGCAAAAAGAAGAAGCGCCGGTGGACACTCATCATTTCCATTGTCTTGTTTCTGATCGTGCTTGCGTGCATTTTACTGGCTACACTTCTCACGCGAACAGGTAACGGCACACCTGTTCAGAGTCAATGGCTGAATCTTACCGGCTATCCTCCTATTCCCACAGGCATATCTACGATAGCGCGATCAGATGTCGTCAAGCAGCAATCCAAATGTGTCGCACCCAACACCATGTGGAGCTGCGCGCTCCCAAAGGAAGACCAATTCGAAGTCGCGCCTAACTCTCCAGATCAGCCGAACTTCAGGTTCCAGATCACCTTCCGGAATGGCACTGTGCCTGCGAATATGACCGTTCCAGTACAGGGATTGAAGAGAAGGTCAATGGTGACCTTCACGGAGAGAGCGGACGATCCCTTCACGAACGAGCTCTTTACGCCGAACCCGACTCCACCAAGTCGGGCGGACCAGATCTTCATGGGGAACACGACGGACAACATCACACAACCTTTCGAAGGGGAGCCGACGCCATTCTTTATCAGCTTCATCCCCGTCTTTCCCATCGATCCTTCGAACGCGACTGCTGCTGCTGCTGCTTCGGGATCCACCGCCTCAAGGGTCCGAAGGCGTCAGTCTAGCAATTCTGCTGATGATATTATTCCTGATCCAGACGTCTTGGACGACGGCAGTGCTGCGCCGGCAAATCTTCTGCCGACCGAGCCCTACCCAACGTCACAGCCGATCAAGCTGTACAACCGAGGTCAAGCCGACGAGCACTATGGGTTCTACTTGTACTACGATAAAGCCATCTTCCTGCATTCTACTGCGCCTCTAAACACGTCCGAGTTCGCAGACAACGGTGGGATCGACCCTCTTGATGATAACGGCGGATCGACCCGCGATCAGTCTCAGCTGCGTTGTACGTTCAGTCAGACGAGGTTACTTGTGAGGATGTGGACAAATCCAGCCTTCGAGGCGACTCTTCTACCTCCAATCGCCGGCAATGGGAGCAATGATACAAATGCGGGAGACAACAACTCCGCCACGGACTTCAGCCGTCCAGGCTCATTCCCGTACCCCACGACGATCAGCATTGACCGGCACGGAGGAAACATCAACAAGAAGGCCGTGTACTGCTACGGAGTCAATCAGTTGCAAGTCATACAGGACGATATCAAAACAGTGGTGGCGGAGTTCAGGGGCGTGGAAGGGACGTTGATCAATGCAGCGCCTGCGCTGGTGAATGGCACAGCGAGTGACGATAACGGGTTTGACCAGGGAGCTGGTGGGATTGATGGGGGCACTGGAGGTTGCGAATGCGTCTGGCAGAACTGGAACTAAGTATATCGATCATCCTTGTACTTCAGAGCGAGGATCAGGAGTGCCAAAAGGTAATGGGCTGGGCGTTTGGGTTTTGGGCTGTGGAGCATGGAGTTTGGCATGCGTGTGCGGTGTACAAAACTGCCTACCCAGGAGGGCACGGCTAGGCCCCAAAAGCGTGAACAGAAGAACGGATATATACAAAATATTAATATACTGATGCAGAAGTGCAGGCCACTCAGTATATCCTTCACTCGCGAGGCACTGCACTCTATGAATGCAAGTCATTGCTTGCGAGCAACACGTTCACTCTTTCCTCACATCACACTGAGCCCCACCTGAACAAATATTTCCTGCTGTGAGCAAAATATGAAGTGCAAGTGAAGGAAGTTTGGCGGGTCCCGAACCGGGGCAGTCAGTGACGTATGATGATGATTTGTAGAGACGGAACATAGCGACGATTACGCAAGTGAACAGTCCGGCCGGCTAATCCGAACGCGGCAACCCTGATCGTACCACAGCACGACTCTTGACTTGAAAATCGAAAATACCGTGACTCAAGAAGGAGATATCGACACTGAAAGAGCAGCGCCGAGGGAGACGATCACAATGAAGCACGAGAAGAACATCCCAGCGACACATCACTATCACCGGTGGGTATTTCCTATTAAATTCCCTATGAACTCGGTCGAAACTGACATGTTGGCTCCGACAGATTGGGAGAGTGGCTTCCGCACGATCAACGTGCTCACAAAGAATGGCTGGCCGGTGTTATCGACCTGGTCGACCAGAAGCCTGAGCGCCTGCACCCAGTTCTGGCGGAGTTCCAAGACCTGATCGAGAACAACACCCGCGTCTACCTTCTCATCGCGTCAATGTTTGAGCAGATTCCCAACAAGGAACCGTACGCCAATGATCCACAAGGTGAAGGCCATCCTCAAATCCGCGACCACATCCATATGCTCCAAGTGATCAACCACATCTTGACCACCGCACCATCCTGGAACGACAAGTCTGAACGCGTGGGGTTGGTCGGGCTGCCATTCCATGCCCTATTCGACTGGCCCATGGGTACCTCCTCTGGCTTTGCCGTCTTTCTGGATCCAGATATCAACAAGATCTTGAAGAAGGTGTTGGACGCGTGGGCGGACTTCCTGGAGTCGCCAGATTCTGCATACGTCCTCAAGAAAGATGCAAAGGGCAGCTGGTTCAGTCCGCACGGCGAAGAGGAGCTGACTCACGTGGCAAATGTCGGGAAGACAAGTCACAAGTTTGAAGAATTGTTCGAGTGCGACCCCAGTGATCCACATATGGGATTTAGGTCTTGGGATCACTTCTTCACCCGTGTGTTCAAGGAAGGAGCTCGGCCCGTCGCCAGTCCGGATGATGACAACGTGATCGCAAATGCATGCGAGTCCAAGACGTTCAAGGTCGCGCGGGATGTGAAAGCACGAGACCATTTCTGGTTGAAAGGCCAACCATACTCTGTCATCGACATGCTGGCGCAAGATCCTTGGGCTGAGCAGTTCGTCGGAGGCACAGTGTATCAAGCATTCCTCAGCGCATTGAGCTATCATCGATGGCATGCTCCTGTGTCGGGCAAGTTGGTCAAGGCATACGTGGTGGATGGGACGTACTGGTCCGAACCCCCGTTTGCTGAATTCAAGGAGAACGAATCAGCAGACCCAGAGGGCGTGGTAACCAGTCAGGGGTATCTCACGGCGACGGCAACAAGAGCCATCATGTTCTTCGAGGCAGACAACCCCGCCATCGGCTTGATGGCATTCCTTGGAATCGGCATGTGCGAGGTGTCGACGTGCGCAATGACAATTCAAGTGGGCCAGCACGTCAACAAAGGAGATCAAATCGGCATGTTCCATTTTGGCGGCTCGACTCACTGTTTGATGTTTAGAAAAGGGGTTGAGCTCGAAGGGTTCCCGGAGGCGACCCCTGAGCACAACGTTCCCGTTCGCAGCGCGTTGGCGAAGGTGAAGTCGAGGTAAGAAGGAAGCGTCAGGGTAGATGGCGGTCCAGTGGAGCACTGTGAGACCGCGCACACGACGGCGGAACGGGCGTGTCACGTGAAAGGAGCCAAGCGGTCAGTTGCGTCATCCGGAAGCGTGATTTTGACTGGCACGGCAAACTGCTCGCTGCTTTGGCCTGGAGAAGACAGCGAGCATTTTGAGCGGTTTTGGACGTCACCGACGGTCAATTGGGTGAAAATTCGCGCCTCCTTAGGCCTGACTTTCACCCTGGGTCAAATCTTTAGGCGCATCGAAATTGTAATTTTATGCTGCTGTCACCGGGTACAGTTTTCAGCCAAGTGATGGACGCAGAGCCACTCTCCATAGAGCTCTCCTTGCATTCCATCATCATTCCCTTCCGGACCAGAGGTACCGAGTGCTGCGAGCTTTCTCTTGCTGCTTTGCTCTCCTTCACTCCCCTCGCCTCTCCCGTCTCCTCCAGGCACCACGAACCGAACGCACCCATTGGCCGCTTAGCGAGCCCTTCTGGTATTTCCGGAGTTGCGATGACTACAACTTACTCTTTACGACCAGTCATTCTATTTCTCTCATGTAAGACTCTACACGTCTCATCGTCAGCCGCCTTGACTTGCCGGGTTTCAACCTTCGAAGAATGATGATTCTTCCCACACTGAGTTTGACTACCAAGTGCAGGCCTCTCGCTCTCCACAAGTGGGAGCCGCGGAGAACAGCTTGCCAGATGGACGAGTGTCCCAGTGCGCAAGATGCCATCGTGTCCGTTCCGACCAACATATGGCTTGCGATGGATGCTTCTGCTCTGTTGCCGCTAGCTCGTCTTCTAATAGCTTTTGCAAAAATGACGCGAGGTAAGTCGAGGATGTTTTGCAGCTGACTACGAGGGACGTGCAAATGCGCCGCTTTTCACTCTTCAGTTGCCATTTGATTTCAGAGGCTCATGCGTGTCGAATCGTTTACCCGCCTCGCTGAGAGTTCGGCATATATTGTCTGCTTCTCTTCTTGAATGTCGATGATAAAACAATTGATGGGTCCTCGCCATTGAGCTCCCTGTTATCCAACCTCGTCAGACTCACACCACCCGCTCAACTGGCAGCATGTCGCAACAATCCTCATCCGAGCAGGCAGGCAGACCTCAGCCGTCAAGACCTCCAACGACACCGTTCGACATCGACAACTACTTCAACCCATTCGTTCCGCGCAACCCTCTACGCTTCCTCCCCACCCACATCTCATACTGGTTCGGGTACCGCCAACATGCCACACAACGACACCCATTTTTCAGCCTCCACTCATCCATCAACGACCTCAGACTGCCCAGGTGGTACTATGTCTGGCATTTGCACACGGCGTTTCTGTACTCCTCGATGCTGATCGGCGCGTTCTGCGGCGTCGCCATCATCGAGAACGTCTTCCTCGCCCTGCCCCAGCTTTCGGGACATACGGTGCCCATTGTCATTGCGTCGTTCGGCGCGGCAGCAATCCTCGAGTACAACACGATAGAATCGCCGCTCGCGCAGCCACGGAATCTCATCCTCGGCCATTTCCTCTCCGCCGTCGTGGGCGTGGGCATTACGAAACTGTTCCTCCACCTTCCGCCGGACAGGTTCGAGGATCTGCGATGGGTGGCGGGTGCGCTCTCCGTGGGACTGGCATCCATACTCATGTCGTTTTCCAAGACGATTCACCCGCCCGCGGGCGCGACGGCGCTACTTGCAGCAACGAACCTTGAGATCCAAGACCTGGGATGGTGGCTGCTGCCTCTCGTCCTGTTGGCCAGTATGCTGATGCTGGCGAGCGCGTTGGTGGTCAACAACGGTATGGGACGACGATATCCCGTGTATTGGTGGACGCCTGTCGACCTGCAAGCCCTGAGGGATCAGAGGAGGAAAGAACGCCTGACGAGACGTCAGAAGGAAGAAGCGGACGTGGAGAAGGCGGTTGGCAGCGTGGAGGGCCGGGACCACAGCCTTAGCCAGACGGACACCGAGGCGGCCGTCTCAGACGAAGATCTGCGCAAGGAACTTTCAGCAGAGCAGGAGCGAGGCCGACCCGATCGTGCTAATCGCGCCGTGTCGTATTCGGCGACGGATCGTGTTCCTCGACCGGAAAGAGAGACCGGGCCAGAGTCCGAAGATACCGAGGGCTCGGGGAAAAAGAGCACCTCACAAGTCATGTCCGGGGAGAGCATTCTCGTGACGAGCCACAAGATCGTGACGCCCGAGTGGCTCGAGCTGAGCGATTGGGAGGACGAAGTCCTGAGGATCCTGATGGAGAGAATCAAAGAGGGGCGACGTTCGGAGGAGTTGGGGATGTGAGTTGTGAATCGGGTACATTTTACACGCACGTGTTTGCAGGCATAGCGTGGCGTTCTTGGACATCTGACGCTTGGGACGGGGTTGAAATCCTAATGCCGGCTGGCTGGCATGGCGGCATGGCGGCATGGCAGCATAGAATAGCATAGCATTGCATAGCGTGGCATGGTATTGCACAATCAACGACATGTGGATGGAAGATAACCAATGCGTCACATTACATTGCAAGCGGCCGAGCATTGATTACGAAGCATAGCAGAGCACAGTACCATACAGCACAGGATAGCAGAGCACGGAATAACGAGCACAGAAAAGAATAGCACAGTACAGCACAGTACAGCACAGTACAGCACAGTACAGCACAGTACAGCACAGTACAGCACAGTACAGCACAGTACAGCACAGTACAGCACAGTATAGAATAGCACAGCACAGCATAGGGATAGCAGCCTCGAAAATATGATAACGCAAGCCGCTATTCTAAGCATTACTTTCCAATTCAGGTAGTTGTACGCACTGCTTTACTCGGACTTGTACCCGTACTCGTGCAAAGCGATAAAGACGAGATAAAGACGAGATCAAAGTTAGAGAACCAACAGAACCATATACAAACAAGTCAGGCTCATCATTCTGCGTCCGGCCCGCCGGTACCACCACGCGTCTTAATTGCTACAGAGTGTTCCCTGAGCGAGTACATTCCATCCTGGATACCTACAAGTAGGTACACTCTGCCGCGGTAGAGACATTCTGCGCCTTTTCATATTTTCCGTCTGCTCTGACTGCGCACCACGCACTATAGACTGCCTGACCGTGTAATTAGCGATGACGATTTCAACCTTGCATCCCTGACTCTCTAGTATTGGTCTACTATATCCCGTAGAGTGGAGAAGGGACTCAACTACATGACAGTACTCGTACGGAGTGTCATGATCATGAATGATACAGTACCACGAGTTTAAATCTGAAGGCTACTTACTGTCTGGTATTGGTCTATCTCACGTGCATCTCTCCATCTACTCATCTCTGCCATCTCTGCTCGTCTCTGTTCATCTCTGCTCCGTGCGAGTGAGCGAGTCGTACTTGGCTCTGATCATAGTCTTCATCACGAAATCATCCGGGAACGAAACCACAGTCAGACAAAACTCGTATAGGTAGATGGATCCAATACATACTCTATCGATGGCTTGTTGCACCTTAACCTTATCCCTCCGGCTACATCTCATCTACTTGGTCCCGAACAGATCCTTGGCCACTAAACCCCGACAGATCGGATGGTAAAAGTCCTTGTTCTTCTCAAACGTCTCCACGGCGAGCTGGTAATCCATCTTCATGAGGCCCCTATAGAGCGGGCGCACGAACTTCATCCGGCCCACCTCGCCCAGTAACTTCACCACAAAGTTCTTGATCGTCCAGTCGTTCGCTTTCATGGCGATCTGGTAGTACCGGGCCGAGATCTCCACGTTGCGCGTCTCCTTGAGACTGTAGATGAAGCCCATGTAATTGACGTGCGGCTGTGGCAGCTTGTCAGCAAACGAAAGCAACTTCTCGAGGAACACGACGATCTGGTTGGCCGACCAGCCGTCGATGTCGAACTTGCTGGGTCCAAAGTCCGGGTTTGGATTGTGCGTGAACTTCTCCCACTGGGCCGCCAGGTCGTAGCATTGGTCGACCAGGCTGGTGTCGAAGTCCGGTTTAAGCGGGAACCCGGGCGCATAGAACCACGTGTCCCAATCTATGCTAGCGAGTTTCTCCGAGACAACATCGTTGGGTTTGAAAAAGTCGAGGAGCGTGGCTTTGAAGTCGTAGCTGTCAAGCGATTTGCCGCGCCACGTCTCGAAGTAATGCGGGATGAACTTGTCGAACTCGTCCTTGGAGATCAATTTCTCAATGTAGTACAGGAAGTTGAATCCTTTTTCGTAGGGGATGCTGGAGAAGGCATCGTCGGGATCTTTGCCCTTCAGGTCGATGACCAATTTCGTGAATTCGTGTTGCTCGCCGAACTGCTCGATGCTGTCGGCGAGAGCTCTCCAACCCACTATGGCGCTAAAGTCGCGCCATTGATCGCCCCCGTGGACAATGGCCTGGATTCTTCGCTCGAGGTACGTGGTCCAGCCTTCATTGAGCCAGAAGTGTTCCCAGGAGGCGTTGGAGACGAGGTTGCCAGACCAGGAGTGGGAGAGCTCGTGGGCAATCACGTCGACGTTCTGTCTGTCGCCGGAGATGATCGTTGGTGTGGCGAATGTGTAGATGGGGTTTTCCATGCCGCCGTAGGGGAAAGAGGGTGGGAGGACGAGGACGTTGTATTCGCCCCATGCGTAGGGATAGACGAGCGACTCGCCCGCCTTGAGAAATTTCTCTGTGTCTTCCTCAAGTTCCCATTTGCATTCTTTGAGCTCGTCCGGGCCGGTTGCGACAATGCTTCGAGGGCCGACTTGTGCCGTGGCGATGTCGCCGCTTGCTATGGCGAAGAGGTACGCTGGGATAGGGACCTTCTGGTGGAATTTGTACACTTGGGAAGAACCGTTGTCTTTGGCACCGATGCCGGACGCAATGGCTGGCAAAGGTGACTTGATGGTGAAATCAAAGGGGGCTTTGACGTCTGGCGTGTCCTGACAAGGGAAGATCGATCGGGCGTGGATCGCCTGGCATTGTGAGAACATGTATGGGTGCTTCTTGTTGGATGTTTGAGCGGGGGTCAACCACTGCAAAGCTGTGCAAGCGGCTGTCGTCTCGACGTCAATTCGAATGTCGATTTTCTCCTTCAGCTTGAGCTTCCGGTCCAGTTTGATCATCAAGGGATTGCCGTACGGTTCCAGCCGGCTGAGCAGCTCCCATTCTGCAGCCTTGCCATCGGCCTTGATACTGTGAATTTGAACGTGGTTCGAGTCCAGGAGGATGGCATCACTCTCTCCGTCAGTGATGGCTTCGAAGCTGTGCGTCACACTGCCTTTCAGTTTCTGCTCGTCGAACAGAATATCGAAGTCGGTGGAGGTGTGCACCGTCCGCCAATTGTTGTAGTTGGATAGTGTATTCGGATCACGGGGGGGGTTGATGGTCGCCATGGTGCGGAGCCCGTTCCACACAGTGTCTGCTTGTCTGCTTCTAGAAGAGGCGGCGGATCTCCGGCAGGCTGAGTGTGAGAGAGCTCGAGATAAATTGCCTGTCAAGCTGAAAGATAGCCAGGCCCGATTGTGGACCATGCGGCGAGACAAATGTCTCTGCTTGACGGACGGTGAGAGGCTCACAGAATAGTTCTCTGGTCAATTGAGGCGCATTAGCGAGCAGTTGACACATGCACGCTGTCTCCGAGAGGTAGAGACAGTCGCCGTCGTCCATTGCGGCCGCGGTGAGTTGTGCCAGTTTCTTGGCGACGGACTGCGGAAGTACGTTCCACCGACACGAGATTACGTAATGGGCGTTGGGCAAAACCACAAAGTTCCGGAGCCAGCACGTGACATGTTGGTGCGGCCATCGTTGAGCAAGGCCTCAGCATTGTGTCGATCTACGCAGAGTGTCTGTGGCATGGCAGGTCTCCCATGTACACAGTACACAGCACTTGTACGGGGCACACTACTTGTTTCTTCTAGTTCACGCCCGAGCTTCGGAGCTGTTTGTGCTTCGTTCCCACGGCGGCTAGAGGGGGCTGGGATGCATGCGGCCACATTGAGGCAGCCACATACCGCCCGAACAAGCCACCAAAGTTCTCATCACGGTGAGAGATCGTTGCGCCTCGCCGGCTGTGTTTCACAGACCACCGGCTGATTGTCTGTCAGAAGGAGTAACTAACGTACGACTGACTTGGAAGGTGTCTCATTTCTGGCCGTATCCGAGGAGAGCCGGAGCCGGAGCCTGGGGCTTTCGGACGAGAGGAGATTGGGAATGTCAAAGTCAGTGGCAGATTATCGTTTCTCCACCAGGGCTTACCAAACGAAGCCGTGCCAGCGCGACGGCGGGACTCGCACGAATCGCCAGTGGCAGGACTTGTCCACTGGGACTTCGAGAGAGGGTCAAAACTGTCCAGACCGTTGTGCGCCGCCCGAGTGGCACAGCACGAATCTGCAGCTCTTTGGAATGTCACGGTGTGGCCTGCAAGTTCCGATCTTTTCTCACCGTCTTTACGCTGTAAGACCAGCACAGCCTTATGGTGCCGGACCTCAGGTTGTCGGCCTGTCTTGAAAGAGCTCGCAATCACTGTCACAAGCTGGGTTGTCCGACAAGGCAACTGTGCCAAAGTCTGTAGCGGAATCGCGGCTTGTCTCACATTTCATTAATTAAAGGCATAATTTTGCACCTCGAAGCGGCTATAAAAACATGTACCCTCCAGCTAACTTGGTCGTCGTGATGGTGTACCTGACACTGCGGCTGTAGCTCGATGCTGTGCTCTACTCGTCGCAGTTTTTCCGTTCCAGTTCTCTCCCTATGCACAAATCGCACCGTTCCTCGTCCATTGTCTTACAAGCAACCCCTCCGCCGTGCCCAGCGGCTTCCCTACTCATCTTTTACTGCGGCTCTTTCGCTTGCACCCTTGATGAATCGGCTGAGGTCGCCCACGGGGAGATTCAGAGGGAAGTCGACCGCGGCAAGAAGTTGCACGATGAAGAGATACCATCCCAACAGAGAAGTCGCGAAAGTGAGGCCTCCTGCGGCATGTTGCAGTGACGTGTTGACCACTCCGTTGCCCATCTGGAAGAAAAAGCCGGCCAGACACCCAAAGGCCGCAACGAGCAGTGCAAAGATGAGCACAAAGACGATGTTGGTTCGGAGTGCCACAATCAGGTACACAAAGCAGAGCACGCCCATGTAGACGTGGAAGAAGGCGAACGTAGAGGCGAAGACGGGATCCGAGGAAGATGCAGCCGGATCCGACGGCAGGTACGCAATTGAGGCGTTGTAGTAAGGTGTCAGCGTAGCACCAAACGCCAGCCAAAAGGCCCCGAAGGAGGAGAAGACGACGAATGGGAAGGTGTTGCCGAGAATGAATTCGAGGAATCCACCCAACACCATGAGTAGACCGCCGAAAAAGTAGTACACCCCGCTGCAAGAAGAATTAGCAACGACAGGCCCCCAGTACGTTCTCTCGCGGACTCACACTTCGGCAGCACCGAGTCCCCCAGAGCCTTGCCATCCCAGCAGGACGTTCGAGAGAGGAGTGAGTGAAAGGATGAAACCGACAATAGCACTGCGCTGGGTCAGCAGGTAGTAGTTCATGCATAAGAGGCGACATACAGTGGAGTCGGGTTCCCAAAGGTAGACCGGATGTTGTTGGACACGCGATTCTTAGGAGAAAGATAGATTTTCTCGAATAGCTCCGGCGTGATTGAAATGCTGCCGGCAGTCCGGATCCTCCTCAGCGCGGACTCCTCATTGTGATGGTCGTGATGAAGATCGTATTTGCCATTGACCGAGTCACTCCCGGCGTGATCCTTCTCAATATCTGGCAAGTTCGACATTGTGACGGTAACCGGTGCTGTAAAGAAGTCTTCAGAAATATAGCTATGGTATAGGTACCTGGAGGAGGACGATACACAGGTGGACTCGGGCAAGATTTAAATATGGTGGACTTGCAGACCGACAGTCGAGGAACACAAGTACAACAGGTACAAATGACTCGTCCTGCAGTGGTTGGGAGGACCCAGCTAATATAGGATCATTGCTGTGGTCGCGTCACAGAGACGCAGGGTGGCTGTCTGGAGCACCTCTCGGTGGAGAGCCCCTAACCCGCTCAGCCGAGTGTTGTCTCTGCTGCCGTTGGTGGAGGCAGCTGTCGTGTCTGGGCTACTCGCGAGATTGACCAAATGCTTGAAAACCGCCAGGGCATGGATCTGGGCTTTGGATCAGCGAGTTATGGACCGATCCTCGAGGCCGTCGACCTGTTCAAGCCCAAGCTCTCCAGCGCAACTTCAGTTGCCTTGGATTTGCACCAATGAGGAGGCGTGGCGGTCTGTCAAGCTCGAGGCTAGTCTGGGAACTAAGTACATGCATCGTCCGGGCTGCGGGGAAAATGCTGGGGTGGGCAAAGTCATGGTGACATGATGTGATGTTCGCTTCTCGTAGGTACGGTCTGTCTCGGTGAACGAGCCAGTGGCGATCGACATGATGCGGATCCCGTCCAATCCGGGAACCTGGCTCACGTTCCTGGCACCCGAGGACATGGCGGTACTTGAGAGGACAGAGGGGCTATGCAGCGACAAAACTGACTGCCCAGTAGAACGCTGCTCCTCAGGGCGCATTGATGGAGTCGGCGGGGGTTTGGCATTTGCAGACATCGACGTGTTTGATGTGGCCTTCTCGGAAGAGCAGAATTTGCGGGGTTGGCGCCAATCGAGTCTCTAGACTCGATCTCGGGACTTCAGTTCTGCTTCATCCCGTCGCCGTAAAGGGCTACTCGGGTTGGCGATCAAGCCAGTAACAGTGTAGTCTGGTTTGGCTGTGCAGAATGAAGACAGCGCGTACCACCATACAGCCGGGAGTCGACTGTGAATGGTCGTCGGGCTCTTTCATTGCGCTTTGGATGGCACTTCTAGGCCGGCTGTTGTCCGAGGGGTGTACCCACCGTCTGAAGAGGGGGTGTTGATCACAGCCACCAAAGCAGAATCACAGCTTGAGCAAGACTTGAAGGGCAGACGAGGGCGAATGGTGGTGATTGACGTGCGGATCCGAACGCGTCGTCATCGAAACAGGTCTTCGCAACATTACTGGTAAAGCACTAGCTTCACGCCCGGATTTGCTACGCGCGGCCGCCGGGAGGGGTCTCCGCCTTTCTCCCTTGGCCGGGCGTTTGACGTCTGGGGGCCAGCTGCAATCATGCGGTTCAGCTGATCGGAACACGGAGGAGCAGGACCAGGCAACGTGAATTGAGCTACCCTTGGTATAGGTTCAGAACCTTGCACCGCATAGTAGTTCTCCACGCCGCACAGTGAAGAGAAAATAAAAGTCTGATAGTCACACGAGGTACGAGGTCCCGATCGATCGGGCAGATGAGCGGGTCCTTATTGTCGTTGGCCCAACAAGACCGCCCTGGAGTCTGTCGAGGGAGGCCTGAATGAGAAGATCAGGGGCGCAGGCGGGTGATTATCACGTGACTGTGCTTGGAAAATATTCCATAGCAGCTGTACTCCGTACCTCGCACAACTCAGTACACAGTAATTCCCGGAATAGAACCGACCGAGCACGGCAGTGTATGAAATGTTAGTAACGAAAATCATGTTTTGCGTCACACTGTCTACTCGTAAAGGCTGACCACGGCATTCTGTCCAGGCACTCATCGGTGGCACGCTCCAGACATGGTTCTTCCCTTCCTTGCATTGGCCGGGCATTTCCTGTAGCGGCCCCGACTCTGACTCGACAAGCTCGACATAAATATCTTGTTCCCGTGGATTGACAGAGTACATTCAACACACTGCAGGTCCAGCACTCACCAGAACAAGCTTGTGTGGGCGAGATACGATACAGTAGCCTCGCTGCTGGACAAAATGGATCTGGAGTGCAGCTTGAAGCACAGACTCTTCCAGGAAAAGAACACTGTATATCTGATACAACCTTGGTGCAGCTGGCTGTGGAGGAACGAGTCGGCGGGAATCTGAGCATAGGTCGTTCAATACAGTCAGAGCTGCTATTAGAGGAGTTGCATTCTCTCCTTCGCATTCTGCCCTGAAGTTGAACTTCATGTCAATGGATCATGATTTTACAGCCGAGGGCACCGCTTGCCACTTCCCAGTATGTACAAGTTGTATGTGAGTCGCCTGTGATTTTTCTTGCTTTGCACATGGCAATTCGCCATGGTTGAGACCAAACCGCACGGGTATCGACTCGACTCAACGCCGTATTTATTTGCCCTTGCCAGGCTGTTTGGACATTTCGCCCGGTCTCGCCCAGACCTGTCTTGCATCCGCTGTCAGCGCCGGTCCTCAGCTCTCAGCTTGGAGCTTTGTAAGATATGCCTCGAGGTCGAAATTCTTGTCGTTGGGATCTGTTATAACTGCACATCAGGTCAGTCCGAGCTCTTCCAGTCCAGCCCAAAGATCGTAAAGATAGCACGAACCATCACCACTCGCGGTTTTTGACTGAGGAGGGAGATTCTTCTTCGCCCATTCCGCCTTTGCCTTTGATATTAACTCTGCTTTGTGGTCGTATTCGGCCTTTTGGTGTGCGGCTGCATTGCGCGCGGTAATTGTTCTTTGGTGGGTGAAGCCGTAGAATATGCCAGCCACTAAAGCTGACCACCGGAGGACCTGCAAGGGATCAGAACCGAGCTCATATGTAGAACCAATGCGTAAACTCGAGCATTTCATACATTCACTCCCTGAGACGTCGACATGGTGAACAAAGTGTGGGCAGTCGCGCGAACTCCTCCTCAAAACGATATCAAGCTCTGCAATGCGACACCAAGTTCCGGCTTCGGACAGCCTTCTCCGACTGCAGTTACGTTGGCTGTTGTTTATTGTGATTGCGGGAAGTTGAAGCTGCGAAATGTTTCTCAAAATCGGAGCTTATCCCTGCCTCCTACATTGCTCCAACCGACTCGGGCTACCACGTGATCTCGCGATTTCTGACTCGCGTCTGATTCCACGCTGAACTCCTGACCATATCATCCACGACACATATCAAGCCCACGCCACGCCCCAATATGTCGTCGCTGAAGGAGGAACTCGCCGCCAAGAGGGCTCGTCTGGCGGAACTGAAGCGGCAAAGGGAACTGCGCCAGGAGCAGTACACAACAAAGCGCCAGAGCATTGGGGAGGTATGCCAAAATACCGCCGGCTCCCCATCAGGGCCATACTAATGGTTCCCAGGCGCCATCACCAGGCAAGAATACAGAAGAGCGTCGCCAGGAAATAGACAACCTAGTCAACACCCTTATCCAGAACCAACGAGACCGAGACCGAGACTCGATCCTACCCTCTCCAAGCAGAAAAGGAAGTCGGCCAAGTTCAATACAAGATACAGGAACTGGGCACATCAGCCCACAACATGACGCCGAGCCGTCTCCAAGGAGGGAGGTCCGGGAAATTGCAACTCAGACTGAGAGCACCGACACTTCGTACCCCAACTACGTGGATGCGTCTGCTCGCGAGCCGGCACCGCCGAAGAAGGAGTACATCACATACACCAAGGGCGTACAGACTGAGCCATACCTGGAAGAACCACTAAAGCCGCAGGACCTTTCCGAAGATGAAGACCTGTCGCTGCGTCATAGGAAGCGACTCAGCCGGCGCGACCTAGAACAAGAAGAACAGATCAGACAAGCCCTACGGAAGGAGATCGAAGAGGAATTGCGGGCAACCTTGAATAGGGATTCCACAGCGTCCACAATCTCCCAGAGTCAACAGCAGCTACGCTTTCCATTGCGAACTCTTACCAACAACGAACTCAATGCCGTCGTTGCCTCCACGGAATTTGTGACATTCGTCGAACGATCGTCAAAAGTGATTGAGCGCGCACTGGACATCGACGACGAGTACGACCTGCTAGCTGACTACACTCGCACCTCTACGCTAGACGACGATGACGACGACGATGCTACGCCATATTCACGGACCAGTAGAAAGTCCCATCCTCTGCGCGAGGCATTCCAATTGTTTTCCGACCGGTATACCCGAAGACGAATTGTCTCGGATATTCAGTTTTCACCGCATTTTAATGAATTGCTTCTGTCTTCTTACACCAAGAATCCTTCCGCCCCACATGAGCCAGCTGGCCTGGTTCTGCTTTGGAACTCGCACGCCCCATCGCGGCCAGAGTACACCTTTACAGCATCGTCAGACGTCCTCTCTGCGCGTTTCTCGCCGTTCCACCCTAATCTCGTCATTGGAGGCTGTTACTCCGGCCAAATATGCTTGTGGGACACGAGAACATCTGGCCGGACAGGTCAGCCTGTCCAGAAAACCCCACAATCTGGTTCTCACCTCGGCCACACTCACCCAGTCTACAGCATCAGCGTGGTCGGAACACCCAATGCCCACAACATCCTGACCGCATCGATGGACGGTGTCGTTTGCTCCTGGTCGGTTGATATGCTCACTCAAGCTCAGGAATACCTGGTTCTCAACACCCCGCCGCCTGCGAGGACTGACGACCTTGCTCCGACAAGCATGTCTTTTCCAGCTGCAGATCCTACCTTTTTCGTCGTCGGGAGTGAAGAAGGAACCATTTATCCCTGCCATAGGTACGATCGAGCTGGCGCACAGGCAGGAGTGGACACTCGGATTGCCTACAAAGGTCACACTGCGCCCGTCATGTCGTCGCAATTCCATCCTGCGCGTGGTCCGGTCGACCTGGGAGATCTGCTTCTGAGTTCATCCTCTGACTGGTCTGTCAAGCTCTGGCGCGTGAAGCCAGCCGCAATCTCCAGTGCCACTGCCTCGAGCATGGTAGCTGGGGGCGCGGCTCCGACCGTGGTCAAGCCCGTCCTGAACCTTGGCCGGGAAGATCTCGTGTACGATGCTAAATGGGCGCCTCACAAGCCTTCTGTCTTTGCGTGTGCGACTGGCTCGGGCGAGCTGGAAGTGTTCGACCTGAGCTATGACCTTGAAGTGCCGATTGCAAAGGCATCTCCAACAAGAGGGAAGAACGGGATAGTGCCATTCAAAGGCTTGAATAAGGTGGCCTGGGAAGAGAGGAGGGGCAGTCACCTTGCCGTCGGTGGCTTAGACGGTGTGGTAACCGTGTTTGATGTTGGCAAGGGCCTGCAGTGTGGAAATGGTGAGGCGAGCATGGATGAGTGGGTGGGCATGAAGAGGCTGGTATCCAAGCTCGAGGGAGGCATGTGATACTTCCGTCTGGTACTGGCTGCCGGGCTTGATCTTGAATAAACACGCCGCCCTGGCTTCCAAAAGTTGGACTGACCCCAAGTCAATGGTTGGTTCTTGCTCTCGGCTTGGGCAACAAGTCTTTGCATGCTTCGAATTGGCAAATGATACCCCCATTGAGTATTTCGTATCAGCGACACATGAATATTGCAGACCAGAAAACAGTGCTGTGCTGTGCTGTGCCTGACCTGCCAATTTTCACTCTCACTCGCAAAGCTATTTCCCTTCTTTCGCAGATTACCCGGTGCCTCATACCGTCACAGCTTTGCTGTCCCTCTCTTCCCATTCTGCAGCCTCAACTCGCTCAGATCCACGCGCACGCTATTCCTCCCCAGCAGCACCTCCTGGCAATCATCTTCGGCCACTCCATTCACAAACTGCGTGACGAGGAAGTCCACCCTCTTCTCGCCCAACACGACCATCGGCGCGTGCCACGTCCCCGCCGCGTACGTGACCGCCTGATCTCCCCTCGCGACGAACGCACGCAGCCGAGATAGGGCGGGCGGATCGGTCACGATTTTCGACGATCCATCAGGCAACGTCGCTGCTGCGATCGAGCCGGGGAGAGACGGCGCCACAATGACCAGGAATATCGTCCCTGCGTCGGTGCCGGCAGACAGGCCCAACGGGGCGAACGTCTGCGTCGTATACGGATGGCGTTCCAGAATGTCGACCTTGAACGCCAACTCTCCTCGGGAGCTGGGTGACGTGTCCATACCGATCCCGCTCAGGTTCCGGGGGAAACAGGAGAACATGCTCATCTGAGGCGTCGACAGCTGGGGAGTCGATGAGCGGGCATAGTTGTTGACGAATTGCGAGATCGGGGACGTTTTAAGCGCGGAGTTCTGGTTTGCCAGCACCGCGGTGGGTTGATGGGGTGAGTGGACAGGAGGAGGGATTGTATCGGCCGATCCGGGAGGATGGGTGAGAGTGGGTGGGAAGGGAGGAGATATGGCCGTGCCGAACTCGGCAAAGGCGGACGGCGTCAGCGGTTCGATAGTCAGGTACTCGACATGAGGGTGAGAAGGTGGTGGAAGTGTTGGAGGCGTCATTGCGGATGAAGTGACTGGTGGCGATCAAGAGTGCCTTTCAGAGGATTTATCTCTTTCCGCCTAATAGACTCGTTGGCACGTACCCCTTGAACTTGCTGCCTTGTTACTGCATATGATCAGATCAGAGTGTTTGGAGCTGTTGTGCCTCCCAGACAAGGCTCTCTCTCGTCCTTCGCGCGAGTTCTGTTGTCCAAATCAGTTGTGATACGGGACGTTTGTCTCCTTAAGTTAGGCACAGATTGATCCAAATGACGTCTCGGTTGTCTTCTTGGTTGAGAGGTCCGACTTTGAGCAAGGTAAGAGTATGTACTTCCCGGCTTCAGACCGAGCGGTCAAAAATCTCTAAAGATACGAGGTACTATACGGAGGACAACGCCCTGAATCGAACTGGGCGAGCTGAGCGACGAGATTCAATTCGGCCGTTAGCCAATCATTGCGCGTGTCTGTGGATGACTCAGCGTTCTCGGCAAAGTCATCGAGTGTCGTGCCTTTCATGACCATACCACCCTACCCTGAAGCCCCAGAGTACTCGTTCTCTAAGTAACTAGTGAGATATGATTATGGTATCTGAGCATCTCGATCTTACTCCAGCCTCGACAGCTTCTTCCGCAGACATGATATGTCGTCTTTCATGCTTGAGGGCAGGGGTCAGAATTAATTGCTCCTCTGTTACCATTTCTCCTGCGAGCAGCTATGCCATTTTACGATGTCTCCCAGCAGCAATAACGTCCCCTAAATGGCAATATGTTTCGGTCGCGCATAATTAATGCTTCAAGTGTCCGTCATGACGTGCGGAGGCCATGGTGATGACTCACCATATTATTGGACCCGTCATCTCGGTGCTCCCTTATACTTGTCTCGCGAGTAGCCTGTCGAATGATGCTATCTGTCTTTCCCTCCGGCAGACTCGTTCATAATCGGCCGAGTCATACTTGTCGTCCATTAGGACAGACCAGAGGACCACTTGAACCGGGGAACTTTGCACTTCGCTAAACGGCTAGGTGCGACCATGGTTAACATAGTAGAGAAGACGTACATATTTCCCCTTGACGGTCAGTTCGAGTGCATAGGAGCAGCACTTGGTCGGGATGGGTGCTTCGATTGCCGAGTCGCGGCTACAACATTCCTGGGAAGTAATGGTCATGGGCAGAAGATCCGCACGGTTAGGCGCGCTAGGAACAACCGCCCGTAGTACTTGTACCGTCCACAAGGGCGTGGCTCTGCTGGCGAGAAGGTCACACTCGTTAGGGCAAGGATGACCTAGTCTTCGTCATGTCATTCGCGCCATTTCTGTGATGATCATCGGTCCAGAGAGCTGGCATTCTGAGATTAATAGAGGCTGTCGTCAACACGCCGCTGTCCAATTGCATTTCCCTGGCTCCCACGACGAATGCCATGTTGCAATCGAGGGAACACCCATGTCGTGCCCCCGGAGCACCCAACTGAAATCCGGTCGGCCACTCTTCCAGGCTTGCGTTTGTGACAGCGAGTGAGTTGCTCACGCAATCGAAGCGATGGTGCCGTCTCATAATTCGGAGGTCTCTGGCCGTCCGTACAGATGGAAAGTACGGTACTGTGAGTCTTCCGACTTTCGGAGCTTGTCGATGGGCGACCAGATTGTCCTGCATAGAATAATGCGAGATTGCTGCATCTCACGATTCCGGACCAAGTCATCAGCGCTAAAAGATCAAGGGATAGAAAGGTTCTGAGATCAGGTGGGTTTTCAAAGGAAAGGGGGATGGCCAACAGCGGCGCTATAAGCACTCTCGGGGTTGCTGTGATCGATAGAGTCAATCAAGTTGATATGTGTGCGTGACATTTCCACGACGGTCGATTGCAAAGCAGAACAGCATTCCCAAGACATGGTACTGGTTGTCGGTGGCTCGTGAGAGAATAACACGCCAGAGCGAGAAGTAGATGTCGACCTGCGAAAGAATAGCGGAGTGCTCGCCACTCGACTAGAATCCAATGCGATGTGTTCTTGAGTACTACGAAACTTCCGGGCCCGCACAAACGTAGGGAGTGGCAGAAAGCACAAAAAAAGATGAATGGCAAAAAATGGCGGCACCCAGAGTCGAACTGGGATCGGATCGGATAGGTCCACCTGGCAGATGTTGAGCCACAACGATACATGCTAACCCTTACACCATGCCACCCTCTTGATTGTGACCATAATTTTGTGGCTGCAATATATGATGGCTGATTTTTATAGAGCCTCGGCTAGGGCATGACGAATCCCTCCCGGCCTTCTCCATTTCAGGTGAGTCACGTGTCAGCTGGCTCCTCATGCCTCTGCACCGGGGGGCCAAGAAATGTTACAGATGATGCACGATGGTGTCTTGTTGCATTTACGGTCTGAGAGTGCCCCCGAAGAGGCTGTCAGGGGAGTTGATGACGAGGGATGATGATGTTGCCCTCATGAACGCGGAACATATCGAAAGGTAAAAGCACAAGCGCTGTAACGAGCTTAACTGGGTTTAGATATGGGCAAGCTAATGTAACCCTGGCGCACCTGCTGAGACAGTCTTTCAAGGCCTTAAAGACTCGGGACGGGTATCCTGTGACAGTCGAAACCCTCTCATATGTCAATTACGTGCCTTACTATAGTGCTCTCATGCCAACGCTCAGAGAAGTGAAGAGCCATGGTCAGCCAAAAGGTTACTGTGGCGGATGACGGGGCAGAACTGCAACAGATCTCTCGTACCAACGATGACGAGAACCGTCAAGAGAGTGTGCTTTCCCAGCAGGAGCAACACTATCCGACAGGATTGCGATTCGTCCTCTTGACTACCGGACTGATATTCACCATCTTCCTGTCGGCTTTGGACACGTCGATCATATCGACCGCCATACCCAGAATCACCGACCAATTCGGAACCGTCAAGGACGTAGGTTGGTATGGATCTGCCTACACGATCACCAACGCAGCGTTTCAATCGACCTGGGGCAAAGCTGTAAGTTGCAGGGGCTCACCTCGACCGTGTCGGAAGAAGAACAAGATCGTATGAAGCTGACCGGCATTTGCACAAACAGTACAAGTACTTCCCTCTCAAGAGGGTGTTCTTGCTTACGGTGTTCATCTTCGAACTTGGCAACACAATATGCGCCGTTGCTCCCAGTAGCTCCATCCTGATCCTGGGCAGGATTGTTGCGGGGATGGGAGGTGGAGGAGCCATGACAGGGGCGTTCATCATCATCGCGATCAGCGTAAAACCCCAATACAGAGCCGCGTATATGGGAGTCCTAGGGGTGACGTTCGGGACCGCCAGCGTCGTAGGGCCACTCCTGGGTGGTGTGCTGACCGATGGGCCGGGGTGGCAGTGGTGCTTTTGGTAAGGGAACGTGCCACTGCTCCTGATCCAAGACTCATGCTTCAGCAGGATCAGTCTTCCGTTAGGCGCTCTAGCGGCGTTCATTATGGTTATGACCGTCAAGACACTTCCGTCAACCGAAACGGTGCGAGTCCCTTTAAAGGAGAAGATTGTTTCGCTCGATCTAGCTGGGAGCCTGCTTGTCCTAGGTAAGTGACATTCGTCACGCGTAGTTCGAAGAAGGTTGTCAAAGAGGTGACTAATCGTCTGCCTTGAACAGGCTCAATGACTTGTCTCGTCCTCGCACTGGAGAAGGGAGGGGTGTCTCTGCCCTGGAGAAATTGGCGCGTCGTTGCCAGCCTCGCATCCTCCGCCGCCCTCCTGGTCATCTTCGTCATCAACGAATGGCTGATGGGTAATCGAGCTATGATTCAGTCTCATCTCCTCAAGAAGCGCTCCATTGTCATCAACCTGATCTATCAGTTGTTCCTCGCAGGGCTGTTTTTCCCGCTATCGTATGCCCTGCCAATCCAATTTCAGTCGGTGGGCAATCACTCTGCCTCAGAGAGCGGTCTTCGTTTGATACCGCTGGTAGCGGGCGTTTCATTTTTCACCATGGTCGCCAATGGGGTTCTCACCTTTTGGCGACACTATACGCCGTTCCTTGTTGTCGGCGCGATTGCTGGGACGATTGGCGTCACCATGGTTCACACGTTGGGAGCAGATGCGAGTCTACGCTCCTGGATCGGATTCGAAGTTCTGACAGCGATGGGCGTGGGTCTTGCACTCCAAGTTCCCATGATCGCTAACCAGGCAGCTGTAGGCGCGGAGGATATGGCAGCGGTGACCGCTTTGACGTTGTTTTCGGAGAACATCGGCACGTCCATCTTCATCGCCGCGACAGAAGCCGCGTTCACCAACAGTCTGATCTCCAGTCTGGGACACAACGTTCCGAAGCTCCAGCCCGACGAGGTCGTCAACGCTGGTGCGACAGAAATCAGACGATTGTTCGCGAAAGACCAGGTGCAGGGAATCCTGGAGTCATATCTGCAAGGCTGCCAGGATAGCCAGCTTGTCCCAGTTGCATGCGGCGGAGCGGCGACAGCGGTCTCGATGCTTCTCGCCGTTCCTGCAATTGCGCGATCATGGGACGACTGGAGGCACAAGCCGCATGCTCGCTGATCCAGGGCATGGGTACACGTACTCGATTCAACATCTTTCGAGAGGCTGGCAGGCGTAGTCCGTAGCTCAGATGACCTTCAACCCATCCCCTACCCAACATACTCCGTAAACAAATGACAGACATGGTCCGTGTTGGCGTCCCGGAGGCGGTCAGGAGACCGTCGAGGCGGCGGCGAGACGCCCACAGCATTCTCCTTTATCCTGCTTCTGACCATCGGGGGTTTGTCCGTATTTCATGCAATAATCAATGGGTCATATGGATGTGCGGCAAGCATAGTCGGTCATCTAGGGCCTGTTGATTGGCCCAGGATGGCGGTGTACAGGTCGAGATGCAGGGTGCCACTGTGCGATCCTCCACCAAGACGCCATTCAGGGCCCCATCAAACCCCGATCAAGACTCCCATGACCCTTGGCCGCTGCCCCTCGAGAACGTGTTACCAATGCATTCTTCAACACGCCGGCACTCTGCGTCTTTAGCCCGGCCACCAGACCGTCGACATTGGCCAACGTCGCGCACAGTCCACTTCTTGGTCCTCTTATCAAGAGTCTGATCATCACATGGCCCTCTGGCACCTCGACGTTTTGATTGATAATGTCGGAGATCTGGCGCCGACGTGTCCACTCAGGCGCCTGGCCCATGCAGCGCTTCATCGACCGCCCTTGCAGCCATTTCGCATCGTCGCTTCTCAACCAATCTCTCTTGCAGTCAACCACGTCAAGTGGCGGCAAAGTCCTCGCCTTCGAGGCTTAGCCGTGCAGCAGCGTTCATGATGAGCGCTGTCTTGCCAATGTGCTTTTCCAAAATGGGCGTGTGTTCTCGCTAGCATGTCCAGTCATCCCAGATGGCATTTGCTCGAGCACCATGCGTTGTTGCTCCGCTGTTTTTGTTTCATCGCTGACCTCGATATTTTTATTCGGGTTTCAAAATGCTTTGAAGTCGCAGGATCGCGGTGGAAAGATTCGATGCGCCATGGGATCCTTTACGCTCTGCGACGCTTAGGGTTGCCATCACCGTCGTGACCCGTGCGCTTGCTCGAGCACTGGGTGATGGTTGCCTCTCACTGAGCTACGATTCCGCCACCGACGTGTTCCAGTCACTCCGTCTTCGCTCTTTTTTCTTTAGCATTTCAAAGGGAGGTCAGAGGTTGCACAGCTTGCACTTGTTACGACTCCAGGAGCCCAGGCCACATCCGAGACCCGTTTCTGTTCTTTCTTACGTCGACGTTTATGCATGATATGATGACGATACGAAGCATGAGCTACCAGTGTGAAACGAAAACTACCACCGGCGACCGGCGTGACGAATCAGACGCTGAGTCGTTCCACTCGGCCATGTCAACTGTAACGAAGCGAAGCTGCAAAGGCCTCAGCTCCAAACTGAACGAGAATCTCGGACGTACGGATGCTATATTAAAACCAGACAACGCCCCAACAAGACCACGGTCAAAGATTTCTCAGAGATCCAGCTCTTCACAAAACTCGCAGTCTAGATCACGCGCGAGGTCTCTGCGCCAGGATTCCATTCCGATACCACGCCGGCGGAGCAGCTTGCCAAAGCAGAAGCATCGACCTCGCAGGGATTCCGCAACACTGCACCATCAGAGTTGCCAGTTGTTCTCCTCGCTGGACGGGATGCTGGCCATGAGCAGAGACATCACTCCTCTGCCAAGTGTGGCCACTTCGAGGACAACCACCCGACACGCCTCGCTTGTCCCCGACGGCACCTTTGACCCAGACAGCATCAAGCGTGTTTGCGAGAAAATCGACGCAAGGCTAGCGACAGCAGCCGACCCTGAGGGTGAGGCCCAGCGGGTCGCATACCCTCTCGCTTATGAATACACCTACGCCCTGCCAGCAGGCAGTATCGACAATTCCCCTACACTTCCATACGGGTTCAACGCCACTGTGGACGAGCACAGCTCCCTCCTGTCCCGTGCAATGACAGCCCCCACAATCAAAGCACAGCAACGGCCACAGCTCAACACGGTCATTTCCTGGACGTCCAACGCCACGCGACGCACCGAGTACGAGAAAATCGACCGTGCGCACAGCGGGGTGCGAGGATTGGTGCGCCGCGTGTGGCCTCAGTGTTTGCGGAGGAGGAATGGTAGGAGAGGATTCTTCACCGGTGACTGCGACGGGGACAGCGTGCGTCGATTTCGTATGGGCGTAAGTGAAGATGACGACAGTGACGCAGAGAATGAGATTGGGCAAAGTTTTGATCATGGAGGTGTCGACGAGAAGATCGTACTGGAGATTGTCAATACCCGAGACCTCCAGAGGGATGGACCTGGCAAAGTGGCGCCAAAGGGAAAGGAAGCGAAAACGAGGAAACCCTGGTTGTCGTGCTTCGACTTATGACCGACAAGGGCCGCATGACCGCCATGATACGCTGAAGGTTTAACGAATGGGGGAAAGGAAATGTCTGTGTCTATGCAGTCAGATTGTGCATTGCCATGGTTGCCAGCTTCCACGTCCTGATACCACCAAATGCTGTTGAATTTGACCCGGCTTCTGCTGGATTGTCCACATATGGGCTTGATGGATCAGCTATTTACCCTCTCTTGGACATCCTGCTATCCATGTACATATGCCACATAATTCTAGCTTCTTGTGGCTCTTTTTTTTTCCCGCGAGCAAACCTCCCCTGTTTGTGCGAGTGCTTGTCTCGAAATCTCAACCGTCGAGGCCCAGTTGCATTTCGTATTGAAGCAGAGACCAAGGCCACCTAGTCATCACAAATATTTCAATGTGGCATCCTCTGCGGTTGGGGCTTTCCGGTCGGTGACGGGCCAGCAACCGTGGAGAGCGCGGTGCTGTGTACGCTTTCCATACCCTGCATGATGATTCCATTCTCGTATGGGCCGACCTGCCGACAACGCAAGGAGGTGCCCGTAACAGCTCCAAGAAGTGTCATGCCTTTGGACTGGAAGCCCGAGCAACGCATGTGTCTGCGGAGGTGAACATCTCGGTCAGACCACCGCATGTGATTGCAAATGTTCCCCGTCCGAGAACGCCTCCTCCGAGAACGTCTCCTCCGGAGCAGCAGTCGAAGGATCCCTCCGTCAGACGTCCGGAATTCTCTCTATCAGCTGGGCTTCGTCTGCATTCAACCCTCGCTGTTATTTCTGAGATGGCGTCTTCCTGCGTGCATGTTTGGTCCTCATCCTGTTGTTTGGGCCTCCTATGCACTCGTCTCCCGTTGTCATTTTTGGGGGCAGTGTTTCCCTGCAGTCAGATATCTAGCACCTCTTCTTACAGCAGATCGAAATCATCCAACTTCTCTCTATACTGCAGCACCTGCCTCTTGACTTTGCTGCCGTCTACCCATGTGATGAAGTCCTCCATGCCCCTGGACACCAGAAATGCTGGATCCGTCACGACTTCCGTCCCCACTCTCACGTGGCCCTGCTCCACGAACTTGTGCGCCGTGGCGACATGTTCGACCATGGCGTTCCGCACCATCACAATCCCCAGCCGGCGGCGACAGAAGGCAGAGACAGTCACATCTTTTTCTATGCTCGACAGCCCGGCGCCCTGGCTGCGACTCTGCTTGAGAATCCCCATCTGGTGCAGTTTCTCCAGCATGGTGGCTTCCATCTCGACCCGATATGGGTCTGTCGGGTCGAGGTTGCTCAGCATGTGGGCCAGCTGCCTCAGTCGACCGCACAGGGCGTTGTACTTTGAGTAGTCTAGCGGGTGGTCGAGGTGGTAGCGCCGCCGGACTGCGGCTTCGCGGTGTGAGGGTCCATCGGATTTGTAGGTGAGGAGGTCGACTTTGCGGAGGAGGCGGGACTCGTGGTGTTTGAGTTTGCGCACCATGATCAGACGGAATCCAGATAAAGAGGAGAGGAGAGGGGGTGCGAGAGATAGAACGTGTAGTGGGTGAGTGCGTGCGTCCGCGGAAAAGCGAAAGTGCCGAGGATTGAGAAAGACGGACTGGTCAAGTCCAGTCGAACTCAAGTCTGCAAAAGAAAAGTTCTGAGCAAGGCTGCGCAAGCAGGCACGAGGCTGTGCTAGGCCGACCCTGGCCGATCAGTGCGGGGTAATTTCTATGCCTCTGCGACGGCGGTTATCATCGGATTTGGATTCCTGTAGTTTCAAAAGGTGCTCAATTCGAAGTTGATTCTTCATCCAGTAGAAACCATTTCTTCTTCCCCCGTTCCTGTTATGGTCGCAGCCGAGATAATTGTATGCTAATTCGGGGTATAAGGGGTCCAACTATATCGTGGGTTACGGACATCGCTGTGCCAGATCGACGGCGCTTGCAGGCATCTGTCACAAAAGCCGCCACTGCGCGTGAGGGTCTTGAACTGATCGTACGAGCGACTGACGAAACTGTTGTTCCCTCCGTCGACCAGTGAGTGTCTCCTGATTACTGGTTACATTGGCTTCCACCACAAAAATCCTATGTACATGTACACCAATGGATTCGCGTCGACCTTGCTAGGATCTGGTTTATACTAGGAGCTAAGCTTTTACGATGATATCTAGCACCAGGGACAGACAAGGAGGTCACCATTACCCGTACTCACTTTATTTTCGTGGCGTTTGACGTATTGTCCCGAGGTTCGTCCAGTGCCGTTGAATTTACATCACCCAAGCTTGAGTGTCTCCAATCGACGCCCGCGGCCTTGGATGGTAAGTGGAACCAGAATCCGCCCTTGAACACTTCTTATTCTGCGGTCCGCCCCCTTCCGTGCAATTGTATCCCATGCCAACGCGTACATCTCATCCTTCATCTTCTAGACGACAGACCAGACAAGATCCTCAGTATGAAGGCCATAGTAATGGATGGAGAGCCTGGCAAGGCATCTCTGGTCACTGACCGGCCTTATCCCAAGCTGAGACCGGGTTATATTCTTGTCGATGTGAAGGCCGTCGCACTAAATCCCACAGACTGGAAGCACATTGACAAAATCAACACGAAAGGCTGCCTGGTAGGATGTGACTGTGCTGGCGTGGTTGCGGAAACAGGCACCGGTTATGAGACACCTTGGAAAGTTGGAGATCGAATTGCCGCGTTCGCCCATGGCGGCAACTCGCTGCAGCCGGAGGACGGGGCATTCGCAGAGAGAGTCGCGGTCAAGGCCGACGTTCAGCTGCATGCGCCGGCGAATATGTCGTTCGAGGACGCCGCAACGCTAGGCGTGGGTGTGATCACCTGCGGACAAGGACTATTTCAGAAGATCGGTTTGAGCTGGCCGACCGAACCGTCAACAAAGGGAGAGTTCGTGTTCATCTATGGGGGAAGCTCGGCAACCGGTGGTCTAGGAATCCAATTTGCGAAGCTGTAAGTCAAATTCAGCGCTGCCTCACTCAAAAAAAATACTCACTTTTCCAGGGCGGGGTATCGAGTCATCACCACTTGCTCGCCGCGAAACTTCGACCTGGTCAAGTCTATAGGAGCCGAGGCTGCCTTCGACTACAATGATCCCGAAGTCACAGCCAAGATCAACGAGTATACCGGAGGGAACCTCTACTACGTTTGGGACACGATCTCTCTGCCGAAGACCGCAAAGATTTGTTCCGAGGTGATTTCGTCTGGTGGCAGATACGGCGCCATCTTGGGGGTCGAATTTCCACGAAAGGATGTCACGACAACAATGTCCATGGGATATACTGTGACTGGAGAGCCTACAGACAAACCGTTCTTCAAAAGCTCGAACAACGAGGGAGATTTCGAGTTCATGAAGAAGTGGGTGAGGGCTGTCGATCCTCTTCTTGCACAAGGCAAGTTGAAGGTCCACCCTCCCAAGGTGGGCAAGGGTCTGGAAGGAGTCATGGAAGGCCTCGATCTACTGAGAAAGGACAAAGTCAGCGGGCAGAAGCTGGTGTACACCCTGTGAGGAAAGAATGGGCTGGGGGCTTGCTATGCGGGGCCTTTGAGAAGTTGAGGTGCAATCATTTGAGGGTCATTCACGGTGGCACTTTGAGAGGAAAGCGAACGTGTAAACTCCCTGTGAACCATGTACATAGGCAAGCTGCGCGACGCAAGCTGGATACAAATCCATACCCACGAGAAAGGTTGCGATGGTCCGACAACCCTCAGAGCCACCTCACTTGGCCATATGGAGTCATATGGCGCGGCCACCTGCCCTGCCAAGTGCGAGCTTGTTCCGGCGGGCCCCCATGACGCAGTCATCCTGCAACCTCGATGGCCGCCGCCAAAAAGTTGAAACGCGGATGCTCAGCCATGAGAGCAACAACAGTGGCTGTGAAACTGGGTTGACGAACCAGTCACCCATATCGGTTCGTAGTCCCTCGGTCAACTAGAGTAGCTTCTTCAAAGCCACAAGCGATGATGATCACCTGTCAACAGACAAGCTTTACCTCATGACATGGGAGTGAATCTCCGGACGCTGCTGCTGCTCGTCACTCCAAGCCAGGCCACGTAACAGAGCGGACTTTTTGATTCTTCCAACTTTTGTGGGAATATATGCTGCGGAGTGAGCCCGACTATTTGGCTGAGGACGACATCTTCGTATTCCCTCGGTCCGCTGTGCCCTCCCTTTCTTTGCGCACTCATTATGGCCACCTACGACGCGGTCACAAATGGCAGCTCGAAGCCCGAAGTCGCTGCTGCCCCCACCGTTAATGGAGACGTCAAAGCACCCCAGATCAAGGTCGAAGCTCCCAGCGGTGCTCGGACTCCATCCTCAGGCTCAACACCAGCGCCGGGGCAGTTGCTGACGGGCAAGCAAGAGCACTATCTCAAGCGAGAACTTATCTCTCGCCAGGTCTCAGATGAGATCGCGCAACTCAGCACTCCCACGGCCCTCCAACGATTTGGGGCTCCCTTCCGCTCACAGTATGGCGAAGTCTCGCCCATGGACTCGGAGCTGCCCATCCTGCGGTATATCTTTGTCAACCATGTACGCAAGTTCCCCTTCCTCAACCAAGCGAAAGAGAAGGAGTTCTGGCAGGACAAACTACAGACCTTCCTTGAGTCCTTTGCCAGCAAGTACATATCCTCTTCGGAAGACAGGTTGGAGGAGACCAAGAGAAGGAAGCTGGCGAAAAAGTCGGAGAAGCTGGTCGAGCTGATGATGGTGTCTGGGTTGCCTACCGCCTCCGGCTATGAAGAGAGAATACGTTTTGCCGAGATGGAGGTGGTTGACCGCGGCGCCAATGAACAAGGCTTGGTCGTGAATATCCCTGAGGGAAACTATATCAATGACTGGGACGTCAATGTCGCGGGCGTCAGAATCGCATCGGTCAAGCGAACGGTCCGATACCACCAGCACGCAGAATTTTTGATACGAGTCAAAAGGCCCGATCGGCCAGAAATCTACATTGGAAGACGTTATGGGGAGTTTGCGAAGCTGCACAAAAGGCTGCGCACAGAGATGCCTGGCAAG